AAATATTACAGACTTCCATGTAATGGGATCTATTGCATATGTTGACTCTTTTCCCTTGGATCCAAGAGGAGACATTTCTGATATTTAGGGTCCAGTTTGAATGCATCTTAAATCCATTTTTAATCCATTTTTTTTAACCTATGAAACAAGATATCTTCAGGTATTGACTTGCTACATTAATTAGTACATCACACATTCGGAAGTAGGGATAAAGCATTCTTAAAATTCTGATCGCCAAATGATATGTTCAGGTGTGTGCTGAATACGACCAAATTAGTCACAACATTCAGGGATGAGTGAATACAGTTTAACAAACCCTTTACTTCGTAATATTGCATGAATATCAATGTGTGTGCAAATATGTTTTTATGAAGTTTGTATCATAACACCCTAGCACCCCTCTTAAATCAATGGATGGGTCCACGGGGCAAGGGATGGATCCCAGAAGAACATTTGCTGTGAAATTCACCATCAAAATAAAGGGTTTCTTGTCACAACCCTATATACTACTCATTTTTTGATAGGGATAATCAGACATGTAAATATATTAAAATATACCTTGACATAAGAATCAGTTTTCTGTGTCATGTCATAATAAAAATATCCCTATCAAAAGTGGAGTAGTATATTAAAGGTTTATGGGGTCCCTAGATTCCAATACTCTAGACGACATCCTCACGGACCCAGGATCCCCTTAACCTGGAACTCAGCATGTGACTATGGCTTGTAATATCCTATGCATCTCTAAAGGTAGACTAACATTTATTCTATGAAATCTTATATTACACAATACCCTTCTCGACTCTAAAATTTAACAAATAATTTTCCCCAATGCTGATTTCATATAGAACTAGTTTGAGCTGGCTATACTTGCTTTTGCATACATATCTACTTTGGTTTTTTTTCATAAAATAAATATATTCCAGAGTCATGGAGCAGGACTACTCTAAAGGATGTTATGCAACATTTCACCAGTTATTATCATATCAAAGTCCTCACACATGATGATAACTAGACATAATGACCATCCACACCCCTCAGATAATTGCCTGCTGATGGCCTAAGTGCAGCTAATTAGTCAGACAATGAGTTCATTGTTGCTAAATAACAGCTCAAAATAACTGACAATAATACTGTATACACAGTTAGCACTTGAGAACTTGTGAAGCACACAGAATGTGATCCTGCCATCTGATGATCATTTCAAAACTCTGAGCATTGTCTAATAATATTTTTTTTGTAAATCGACACATATTTATTCGTGTATTTTTCCTGGTACTACATTTTGTGTAATCATGATTTGTGCAAATTTCACATAGCTTCTCTTAATTAAAAAAGGATAGCCAATTATTTTGGGATTTCCTTATATCATGTATAACTTTCAGAGTTTCTTACTAAACATAATTGTGAGTAATGGTTAGTGTTGGAAATGTTTCTATTCATCAGTTAGTTGATTGTATTTGTTTTAATCGTTTTCATGAAATAATGACATAACCTACAGGTATATGTAGCTCTAAAAAACATATTGACCCATGATTCCTCCAACACCTTTTTAAAAATATTTTCTTAAAGCTATGTATTCCTGTGCACAACCCTATTGTACAGATCAAACCATTGGCCAATTACTTGGTCAGTGCTAAAGCACCAATATCTGCCTGTGTACTCTTTTGAATTTTGAAATGACAACAATGATAAAACAAGGTCATCTCTAAATATAAGGAATCCATCTCTACATGAACACATATGAAATTCAGGTCACAGATGTAAATATGTCAGTGTTCAAAATTAATGGGGGCATGCTGGGGTCCTGGAAGTTTCTGAATCTGTGGCCCCCACATCTTTACATTTAACATAGGGTTGTGACAATGACTCACTGAGGCCTCATGTTCTTTCTTAGTTGTTATTAAGACTGACACACAAAATATACATTCAAATAAGAAAGAAAATAACACCATTTTTAACCCAAAATAGTTGGGCCTACTCTGTTTTCCAATTAGATGAAAAGATGAAAAGATAAAAAAAAACAAAAAAACATGAGCTTTGATCACTGCTGTCTGTATAAAATGGTAAATAGTATGTATAAAAATCTTTAATCTTAAAAAAAACGAAACCCAAATAATTACCTATGTAAATCTTCCAATGTTAAAACTTGTTGTTTTTCATTTATTAGCAGCAGTACGAATGTGGAAGATGAAGTTTCTAAAAAACAATTCAACCACCAACATTGAATATCAGACCATTATTTTTGCAAACCAACTAATAAAAAAAAAATGGCTTGACTTTATTGCTTTATTTCAAACAATGTATGTGACCGTGCTATTATTTGACCTATCTCCACATGGAGTTTACGATTGTACTAATACAGACATGGTGAACAGTAGGACATCAACTTGTTCAACACAAACATCAACTCAGCACTGGACTCCATTGCCAACCTATTAGACGTAATGAGGCCAGCTACATACTTGCTCTGGGCCTGTGTGTCTTATGGGAGAGGTCACGCTATCAATCATCTCAGTTATGTCAAACTGTGCAGCTCAAGTCTTTACTTTTCCTTCAGTTGACGAAATGGGATAGGTAACACTACCTATATAAGCAACAGCAATGTGGATCATCAGTTGAATGGTAATGGCTGACCTTAACTTGATCTAACAAATACATGACAGTCAACATTTTTGGGAAATGTTGTCCTTAAACATGTTAAGAGAACTTGAGACTTCTAAATGATTATAGTTCCTAGATTACGTTACATTGAAAAATGAAAATAATTGTTGAACATCAAATAATCCAAAAGGTCAAAGTCAAGAAGAATATAGGTCAAAATCGTAAATCATAGAACATGTAGAACATAGCATTCTTTTATGCTTTGGTCATTTCTAGGACTTTGGGTATGTAAAACAACATTATAGGGAACAAGTGACAAAAGAATCAACTACATTGTATTCTAAAAATACATCACAAAACAACTTTCTGCACAATGAAAACCAAACATAAAAAAGTGACTGAAAGTGTGGATACCTGAGAACTCAAACATACAACATGGTTGCATGCGGAAAGTTAACCTGGGCAAATAACACAAAATGTCACTGCACAATTGACTAAAGCTAATTGTCCAACAAACCAACCTTAAAAAATGTAAACCATACAAGTCTTTGACTACAGTTTGAATGTGGTCGTATCAGCTCTAAAAGAGACTGAATAGTCCCCAACAATAATCTTTCCTGATCATGCTGAATGTCAACTGAGGAAGCCTGTGGATTCACTACCTGCAGTGATCATCACACAATGATTAAATGCAATGCAGTGAGGTAAAAACATGTTTATCAGTAAAAATTTCATGAGAAACATTCATGAAACAGCAATTTCCATTTTTTATATCTACTGTGGTTAGTTGTTCAGAAGAGAAAATGTCAAGGTACATGTACTATGTAGAAGAATACAGTGCTGTCAATGTTAAACCTGAAAAAATAATCTGGGCTACATAATATGTGATGACCATGTCTCGTGTGGCAGTTTAACTACATTCAGATGAAGAGAAACAGGTGATAGATATCACAAACACGTTTTCTCTTCACAATTTGAACAAAGTACTCCAACTAAACATGCAAAAACACTTGAATATTGTCACTATGACATTTACCAATGACAATATTCAGATATGTGATTAGAGACATCAGGTTACCTCAACACCACATGATCATGTCATATCGTGTATCATTAATCATGTATATATAGTGTATGACTATTTCTTGAAGGAATTAACAGTAAGAGCATGCAGGTTATCTCCCTTCACTGTAAACAGTTGTATAAGCATATTGGTCTTTGAGTTAAACAAGATGGAAATTGTTTGACCATGAACTAGGATCAAACAAATAAACAATTAGCTAACTTTCAAAAGACCCCAAAAGCAACAACAAAACAGACAAACTCAGTAACAAATCAATGGATGCATTTTACTGCCTACTTCTGAATATTTAATCATCTGTGGTAATATTAATCAATTAAAGTTTTGAGAAAACCAATCACCAGCCAATTATCTGTGTTCAATACACAATACATTCTTGGTGATATTATTCCAGGTAAATTGTCAGTTTAGCACTTCGGTAATTGAGAACCTAATCAACAAGTAGCTCAATATATGATGACTGCAAAAATATGTCTGTGGGATTAATATGAGTAAGCCCTTTTACTTGTTATTCCTTAATCATATAATCCAGAACAAGAGATAGTTGACATTTTTACATGCTATTCTTTGGCCACATGGTCATGACAACATAGCTTACTTTAAACTGCTATGCTTGACATGCTCGAGGGAAACAAACAATCAGCATATCATCATGTTTAAAGTCATGATCAATGAACATTTCACCTAAATTTATACTTTGACACTGGGTGTCGATGTTCTTATTATAATCATAAACAACTTTATAAATATGATATGCTATCTATATGTATCATCACTAACTAACCTTTACTAACTGTATCTTATTCTGTGACAGTCTGGCCAATACCAGTACCATGTTAATCAACATCTAACCAACAATTTCTAAACAATGAACCAGATCTGTTGAGCAAGTAGGGAATATATATGTATATGTATCGTACGAGTGTGTAAAATTAAATATATCAATGTGACATGCAGTAGTAACAGCGCACATCGCTGCTTCTGACTGGTTCTGCGTCTGAGCCCCATCTTTACTGACAGCAGACAATATTGTTTTTATGCGGGCGAAGAAGATAGTAGATACACAAACGGTCCAATCACGTATAAGGCATATACAGTATCCGTACATATACGATATGAAAGAAACAATATCAATTTTCAAATGCTTCGACCTGATTTGCATGTTGAATTGATAATCAGATGACGAATCCATGATCATTTTGCATGCGTCTCACTGAGACGCGACTGTCTTCATCATCGATGAAGACACACGACGTTGTCGGAAAATACCAGTAAATCCTCCAAAAGTAGAAATCATGATTAAACCACATCTTACCCACAACTCAGTTCCCCAGCTCATGACTGCATAAGTCCAATTTCGTTTGGCAAAAGCCGGGAAACGTTATGTTCTGATCTATCTGTCAGTAGACTATTTCCTCTATTCTGGGATCAATAGAATCATGGCGGACACCTCACGCGCACTTCCGGAAATGCGAGATGTGTAACAATTTCAGAAACATATACCGTTTGATGTGTATATGGGTATATGTGAAAGACAATGAGCATTGGGACGCTCCACTGCTTGAATTGGGACGCACAACACTCGACAAATTACAAATTAGACCGAAATATAAAATAAGGGGAAGTAACTCCTGGTAGACAAAGGAGGTGCGTCCCGCAAGTAAGACTCTTTGGAATGTGTTATTGCATTACATTGGAATTTTGAAGCAATACGATAGATGATATTCTCTGAGTCATTCTTTTGATTGGTGTTAAGAACGGATTCTAGTATTTTGAAATTGACAAGTTTCAACTGTTCTCGACAAATCTGTAAAGTGACAAGAGAATATTTGTGAGGAAAATAATATTTAAAAAATTTAAAGCGTGATGAAAGCGGTTCTGTTTCTTCAAGTGAATCCATCCTCACATTTACTGTGATCAGAAGTTTTTAATTAAACTTAAGTATTTTAGTTATATTTCACAGCATTTAATTTCTGATATATTTAGTCTATTTACCAGGATAATGGAGAATATAACTGGTAGGGCTAACTGGTTTCTAGGGCTTCGGTCCTGCCCCACCATGAAGCACATGCACCACATGTGGTGTCTCCTTTGGCAAGTGACTTTGTTCGAAATGTGCCCCTGTTCGCCTAGCAGTGAGTGGGTACCCGGTAGGCTGTTAACCTTCTAGCGCCTCACAGTAAGCTTGGGTTGTATACTCCCCAGGGAGCTGAGAATGAAAATCGAGTGCTCACTGATCTATTGCCTGTAATAATGTAAGCGCCATGAGCACACTATTATTATTATTTTTTGTTTTATTATTATTATTATAATTATTATTATAATTATTATTATTATTATTATTATTATTATTATTATTAATGGTAGTTCTAACTATACAGTTCCGTACTGGGGTTTCTGTATACATACCTCATTTTTATCTTACTTCGTACGTGATCGTAATCTCCAGCATGTAAAGGGTATATTTTTCTGTAAATATTCAGGAATAAAAAGCTGTAGTAATATACAGAGTTTATACAATCCTGTGAGTGACCTAGCTACTGGTTTCGGAAGAAGTGTCATAGCTGTCTGGTGTCCAGGAGAAAACACAGGTCAACATGACGTCAACAATTATCCAGTGTGACGTCAGTACACATTACATCAACAATGCTGTCTGATTTGCTGTAGAGTGCGTGAAATCATTATTACACATGGATTGGTTGTATGGTATGATATTGTAATCACTGCGCATTTGTCAGTAATACTGTATGACGTCATCATTGGAATGTTGCTGCACATTGTTAACCTTAAGGATAATACAACAATTTTGCAATCCATATATAGCATTTTCTTCAGAATTCTTGCAAAGTATGCGAAACCATTCCAGTCAGTATTTCACATACTATTCTGTATAAAAGACCAATAATGGATTGGTGTACACATTAAATTAGAAAAGAAAACAACAATTAACTACCACCTAAAAAGTCCTATATTTTAGATCATAATTACTTTGCTTTGTATATTATCACGAGGTATGTTTATATGTTCAACGTTTTGTCCCAGGAAGTCGCAAACAAATTGTTGTGAAAGTAATCAGAGACGTTCCCACGATTTCAACAAGTGAGAGCTTTGAAATGATAACATCAATGCATGGCTAAGGAGTGTCTAAAGGGAAAATATACATGCATTCGTAAAGCGGTGTTACTTTCTTTTTGTTAAACATGTCTTTGACGCAAGTTCATATTTGAGGAATTTTGGGTCACGGATTTGAGATCCTGAAAGGTACAACAGCACGGGGGTAGAAGACGTAGCTAATTCTGTCAATAATTGGTTTGTCTGCTCCGGACTCAATTATTTTTAGGTCGTCGTGATGTGCCTGTAATTGTGACTGTGACGTTAAATAACATACAAATCATAGTAAACGGTTTGTTTGTTTGTTTGTTGTTTAACGCCGTACTCAGCAATATTCAAGCTATATGACGACGGTCTGAAAATAATCGAGTCTGGACCAGCCAATCCAGTGATTGACATCATGAGCACCGCTCTACGCAATTGGGATACGATGACAGGCATCAACCAAGTAAGCGAACCACCCGATTCCGTTAGTCGCCTCTTATGACAAGCATAGTCACCTTTTACGGCAAGCATGGGTTGCTGAAGACCTATTCTACCTCGGATCTTCACGGGTCTATTAAAAGTGTTACATCAGTATGACTGTGTCGTTCAATATGGGAAATGCGGCTAACAGGCCCCCAATATTCCCCATGCATGTAAAACAAATAGTTCATAAATCGATACCAGTGGCCACACTGTGTGACCCGTCTGCCTGTGTGTCAGCCACGCCCTTACCAATCACCGGTTTGTATGGTTCAGGTTCGAGCCTACCTAGGACGTCGCGTAAAACAACAATCACTCATTCATGTCTTTGATATATGAATGTAGCGAAACATTAGTTAGAAGAAATCCTATTCCCATGTAACCTACTGTGTAAGAAGACGTTATACGAGAAAATAGTGCTTGAATAAAGCTTTGAGGACAATGAAAGATGAACATTTGCTCGTAGTGTCGATAACTTTCCGTAATATTTATCAAAGAGGAAATACAGACATTTTGACGATGGTTCATATCATGCTATTTGCAATAATCTATATTGCGTAATATATTCCGGAAGAAAGGTCGAATAAAAAACTCAATCTGCAATTAAACCAGTCAACTGAAACCTGTTTGCCCAAAGAGTGTAATTATGACGTCATAGTAATAACGTGCAGATTTTTTTTCAGTTTATATATTCACAACTTATAGGTGCCAAGCCTTTGTCATCTTCCCGAGGCAAGGGAGTTTACTGACTATTAAAGTCCGGTTTCCACCCTTGGCGAACTTGGCTTGAATTCCTGGGCGCGATCGTAGCGCCACCAGTGTCTATTACGAGTCATGTCCCTTCGAAACCTCTCCTATGGACAAATAAGATTCCACCTATCACTTGCATTTGCTTCAAACAAGTGAAGACGATCTGATTTCTTATCGAGATCTATATTGTTATAAAACGGGTCTTACATCGCCAAGTGCATGAAATTGACGTGAGCTCCTTGATTAAAAACATGAAAAGATTTGGAATATATCTGTTGACAACGAGTTGGCGGTGCACATGCTTTGCAAATCCTGCAATCGACCGAAATCTGCACGACAGTTTACGAACCGGATTTCAATTTCGTCGGGCGATTTTCATTGGACTATGCATAGACTCGTTAGTCCAGCCAAAATGTAACTCCATAATACCAGCCTAGTTCGGCAAGGGTGGAAACTGGACTTTCAAAGTCATTTAACTCTCTTGCCTCGGGTGGAAACTGAACTTTAAAAGTCAGTTACCTCTCTTGCCCCGGGTGGAAACTCGACTTTTAAAGTCAGTTAACTCTCTTGCATCGGGGAGATGAGCTTTTGTGTATACACGTTATTGTACAGGTACTTATGTGGAGTAATATGTAGTCTCTCAGACCCTTGACAATACATTAAAGGAGTCCAGCTCAAGTCTAGAGAGATTGGTCATGTCTAGTCTGAAATTATGCATTGATCTGGGCTCAATTTGGAGTTTATCATTTTTATTTTGTTGATATATATTTTTAAATAAGATAACTTTATTTCTGCGTCTTGGTGTCTTAGTAATACAGTTCCAATTTAATGAAATTGCGTTCTCCGATTCGAGTAAGAATGTGATTTTAAACACAAAAATGTATGTACTGTATTTATTTACCTAACATATTTGTTCATGCGATATGAATAATAAAAAGTCCCAGTGTAGTTTAAAAACAACCGGATTAACCTCTTGAAATATTAATGATCCGCTTTCGTTTCCCTATTCCTGTAATACATTTGAGAGACCCAACAGGTGCTCTACTTCCGGGAAGAGTAACCTCCCTTGTGTTGATTTTTTTAATAACTTCGAAGAACGTTATTTACGTTGTTCTCACCACTTTCAGCAAATAGCAGGTAAAATTCTTACTGTTTTCCTCAGATACCATCATAGTTTTTTATAGTAGACGTTTAATCAGGATGTTTGTAAAGGAAAGTGAATCATTACGTCTTTTTCTTGTATTTACAAGAATCACAACCACGAAGCTCTTGTAAAATCTTATGTTTACGACTTGAAAATTTAAACATTTTAGGAATATTATTCATCTAGCGAACAGAGAGAAATTCTTCAGGAGCCATTATTCATGTAATAATATTAGAAAAAATATTCAAGCAGATGTGTTTCATGATGCATAACAATTACCATATATTTCGCTGATTTCTATAGGCCTAAACAGCAGTCTAATCATTGTTGTGGTTCTGTCATGTTGCTATTTAATATTTTATATAATATAGGATGGTAAATGATGTTACATGTATTGGGTATTCTAATGGAAACAGTTCAGTTCTCTTTTTCACTTTTATCTCAGAACTCCCACACTAGTCATTTGTGGTGAACAATGTATCTCTAATTACACACTAATTGTGTCATCATTTAGGGTTTGGAAACATGTGAAATAATTCTTCGAATAATTCAATATCTGGAGAAGCATGATGTGATGTATTCCCTTTAGTTCTCATCTTGAACTATATCCGTATTGATAACACGAAGACTGGGATACGTTCATGGGTTTATTCTTCATCATGGCGACAGTACATCAGTCTGCAAAATCAGTCTGCACTGACGTCATCAGCTACGTCATTGCGCGAGCTAGCTGATATTATTTACTATAACACTCTTCACAATGACAAAACGCTACACATGATATATAACTGATAAAGTATCAACTGTCATTATATATATCTTTTTTCAATTCAAGAAGACCTCAGTATGTTCACTGTTGATAAAATATCTCGCTTGTTGGTTGTGCAAAATTATGAAAATGAACATGTCATAAATCTTAAACAAGGCATGCCACAATTGCTTCAGGAACCTAATGGTTTTTATCTGTGTTTTTTTCTTTTATTATCCCCCACCCCAACGAAGTTGGCAGGGGATATAGAAATGGGTTCTGTCCGTGTGTGTGTGCGTGTGTGTGTGTGTGCGTGTGTGTGTGTGTGCGTGTGTGTGTGTGTGTGTGTGTGTGTGTGTGTGTGTGTGCGTCCCGAAATCGTTTCCAGAGCATAACTCAGAAACCGTTAAATATTTCTCTACGAAACTTTGCATGTCTTTCAGACTCATGCTGAACTGGTGCCTTTTGCTATTTAGGAATTTTATAAATTTTTATTTTTGACTTTTTCATGGCAACAAGTTGGACTTAGGTTCTATAAGGGTGCTGTTCGTTTCCGGAGCGTAACTCAAAAACTGTTAAATAATTTCTTACAAAACTTTGCATGTTTACCAGACACATACTGAACTGGTGCCTTTTGCTATTTAGGAGTTTTATAAATTTTTATGTTTTATGTTTCCATGGCAACAAGTTGGACTTAGGTTCTACAGGGGTGGTGTTCGTTTCCTGAGTGTAACTCAAAAACCGTTAAATACTTTCTTACAAAACTTTGCATGTCTACAAGGCACATACTGAACTGGTGCCTTTTGATATATAGCACTTTTAGAAATTTTTATTGTTTATGTTTCCATGACAACAAGTTGGATTTAAGTTTTAATATAGGATTGGTTTACTTAAGTAGTATAACAAATAAACTGTTAAATATTTCCTTGCCAAACATTGCATGTCTATATATAAAGCCCATACTGAACTAGTGCCATTTGATATTAAGGAGTTTTAGAAATGTTTATTTTAGAATTTCCATTGCAGCTATTTTGACATGGGCTAAGAGAAATGTTGGGTCAGTTACCTGGTTTGGGACCATAACGTGTTAAAATGGGTGGGGGATTTAGATGACTTTGTCAGCTATACGCTCGTTTCTTTTAAAAAGAAGTACCTGTTACATAAAATGTGCTTCCGCCCAGGGTAGCAGAAAGCCCATGACATATATCACAACTTATTTCTTACAGAAAATAACATACATCTCACTCACACATTTACTAGTAATACAAACATAAAGTTTATATATCATATTGCAGTGTAGGAAAGTACATGTAGAAACATTAAAGTCTTCAGTATAAAACTAAAATTGAAATGAAAGCTCTTCCTCATTTTCAAAAAGTTTATGATACAGCATCCAAGCACCATGGTGTTTCTGCTGATTACCTGTATTGAAGGCAATATCTTTTTCAATGTTGTATCCTAAAATAGCTTCCTTATTATAAACATGAAAATACCGTTTTGTATTTTGGAATATGCCTCTATAAATATAGAATTTTGCAATAAATAAAAGTAAATCAAACATTTTATCTGTTTTATGTTCTCTTTATGTTTTATGTTTTATGTTAAAAAAAAAGTATCAATTCTGCACAAAATGTGATTTTATATTTATAAACATGAAAGCACTGGTCTATCCACACCGACACTTCATCCCAAAATTGTTTTATTACACCACATTCCCAACACAATGAGTAATTGTTTCCTTTTCATTGTGACAGAAGGAGCACGGATCATTCTGAACATAATTAAGTATAAACGGAAAAGAATTAGTGGTGAGAATTCTGTGGGTAATATTGTATTGAAACCAACACAGTTTTACGTTATTTTGCTTCAGATATTGTTCAAGATGGACACAATTTTATGGATAACAACTTCTTTAATACCGTGAAAAGCTTTTCACGGTATGAAAGAAGTTGGTATCCATAAAATTGTGTCTATCTTGTCATCCGTCAACTTCTAAGTAATGCCTATCAAACATTTTTTCAGATATCGTTCCAATTTAAGACTTCAAATTGTAATTCCCACTTTTCCTGCCCTTTAGTTTTTACTTCTGTAGAAACCAATGAAAAATTAATATACTTTGAACCTGACTTGGAACTACAAAAAGTTTTAACCACACAGCGCTGGTCCTCCACAAAATCTGTAGGAACTTTACCTAAATTAAGAGTTTTAAGATATTGTTTAATGCTGCTGATAACACCATAAAATTCTAAAGAGGATGAACACATACTTTACATTTAATTAAATTCCTCGTGTGATAGAAACTCCATATTTTCCTTGACCAAGTCTATAATTGTCATACCGCAAGATGTTAAAAGTTGGTACTTGTTGTTTTGTCTGGCGCTCAGCATTAAGGGGCTAAAACAAGGACTGGTCAGCTCCGAGTCAGTATACTGTGTTGAAGTAGACTATTTATGTTAAACTGCCGCATTGTATCTCAGTGTGCTGGCACTATCAAATCAGTATTAGTCTGGACTAGTACAAGTAGTACTACCTGGGTACACAGCCCTCTATTACCCAACCCTACCCGGGTACCCGCTGTAGGTCTCAAGACTAGATAGGTACAAACTGTCCGATTGGGAAAGTTTGACTGTAGCCCTGGCAAAATGTATTTAGATACCCATATGAAACGATCTATCCTGCATACACTGAAGTTGACTGAAGTTTTATATTTTTTCAAACATATATATAAAAGTCAAAAGGAATGGGTGCTTAATCAGAAAGAAATATAAACATTAGTGACTTGTAGTGTAAACATAGAGTTTTCGATAATTTTTGTCATTTAACAATTTATCACGTGACTAACCACGGGTCCGGTTTGTCCTATGGGTACCCTTGTCCTACTCAGTACCCACCCCGACCCGATTTACCCGTCCCAGCCCTCGTGGACACAGTAATGCAAGATGAGCAGAGAGAAAGCCTTGTAGTGTGATTATAAAGTCTGAGGAAGAAATGGGCAGGCACCGGCCTGATTGTTGAGAAAAAAAACCCAAAACATGTTTTAACCCCAGGGGTGGATTTATTTTGTCTTGCTGATGATTTAGACTATAACTTTTTATTGTCTGTGAGTGAGTGAGTGAGTGAGTGAGTGAGTTGGGTTTAACGCCGCTTTTAACAGTATTCCAGTTATATCGCGGCGTGTCAGCTTAATGTCGGAGGAAAGCCCGAAGTGATGCAGGTCTCAGACGTTTACCACTTCGGTGAAACCCACGAGCACAAGTATGGTGCTGACAAAACTAGAAACATAATTGGGGCGAACCGGGATTCGAACCCACAATCATAGGTTTCTGGCGTGCCCAAGGGACACAACTCTGCACAGCGAATCGCGGCGCCTTCGACGACTGGGCCACCCGTGCCCCCTTTTATTGTCTGTTATACACTATGTCCCTTTTTCATGTTGGATTTTGGTCCAACATTTGCATGCCCTAAAGTATTGGAATCTGCAAAGTTGCTATGCTCTCTTACTTGTCCTTTAGCATATGTGTCGGCTTGTTAGTGTAACCTTGTAATGCTGTAAATGACACAGAATTTAATAATAAGCCAATTATGTTGTCAATATAGTGGCACTGTTATTTCATATTAGTGTGATTACTGATACTATGTAGTGGTTTGTGTTTATTCTGGATGTGACAAGCAAAAAATGTCCAAATGTACTGTTTTGTGATGAAAGATTATCATCAGACTACCCCTGTCTATGACATCACATCAGGTGACCTTTGTACTTACATTGCTGTCAATTGTCATGATCTATAATTGTTTTTTCGCTCGTCATATTAAGCGGAAAAATGATAAATGAAACACTCTTAATTTAGGTATATGAAGCCAATGTGAACTTTGTTGATATTAAAATAGCAATAGGTGAGGTGAGGTGAAATGGGGTTTAATGTCGTGTGAAAGATTATTGCATTTATATAGCGACGTGCATGTACGTGTGTGTGTTTGTGTGGCTGCTTGTACTAGCCCGGACTGATGCCGATTTATAGTGCTAGCTCACTGAGATACCATGCCGCAGTTGATCATGAATACCCCACTCAGGCTTAGTACTGACTCCGAGCCGACCAGTCCTTGTTTTAGCCCCTTAATGCCGAGCGCCAGACAGGGTAACAACAAGTACAATCTTTTAACGTCTTTTGGTATGACGCGGTCGGGGATCGAACCCCAGACCTTCTGCTCTCCGGGCGGACGCTCTACCACTAGACCACGGAGGCGGTCTAAAATAGCAATAAGCATGATAAGTTATGTTGAGGCTGAGTGAAGCGTGCCACATCTGCTAGCATTTCGACACAGGATTTGTATTTTTGTGTGTCAAATATATTCAACCAAAACACTTCAAATTAGGATTGTTGAATATTTAAGTCATTTAGTGTATCATGCAAATTTTTCTGGAATGGTTCATAATTTACAATTGTGCTGTTTTTTGCCGAATAACAAATACAAATTTAAGCTCAGTTAAATTTACGATATCGGAGATATGATTATTGAAATCAGTTTGCACAAATTTAACAATTTATACAAGTTCCTAATATGAAACACATTCCACATTCAATCACGTTATTAAGGTAAGTTCAAGAAAATTTCAAATTTGTATGTTCGCTTTGCTTTTAAGCTCTGTATGTTTGAAAATATCTGGATACTTTTATAGATAAAATTAATGTGAATTTTTCTATCAGGAAGAAATGTGCAAAATATTTCTTCAACTGTTCCATGTTCAATGAAGCGACGATCTTTTGAAATCACCCACTCTCTTTACAGTGCCTTATCCGAAAATTAATCCAGCAGACAGGGTTAAGAAGCTTAAAAACAATTCAGCAGGCTAAAGGTTAAGTGTGTTAAACATATAATACTTTTGTCTAGGTTTTAACTAGATTTTGCAATGAACTGAAATATAATTTCTTTTCAATTGTTCTTTGAAACTGCAAGGTCTTGGAATCTTGAACATTTGTATTCAGATTTGTTCATGCCAGTAAATAGAATTACAATTTTTGTTATTAAAATGGAAAAAAATCTTTTGCTCAGAAACAATAATACATTTGGAAGATGCATTTGATCATAATCATGATGATATTATTTGAAGTTTTGCATGGAATGGAATTGAACAAATCTTCTTGTTTGTTAATTTTTAAACGGAAAATTGTTTTCTCCTTAGACACCTTATGGTCAAGAAACCTCATGAAGCAAAACAATGGGAGTCTGATTTAATTGTTCATTCCAGTTGATCAGATTAATTTTTAAAACATTTTTTAAGGCATTCGTCTTTCAGAAGCATATTCCAGGGAGATGAAACTTTATTATTAAGAAGTGTTAGACCTTATTATTAATATGACTTTGGCTTGTTCATGGTATGGAATTGAAAAACCAAGTAAGTGATCAAGCTTAAATTTTGTATGGATGATAATTTAAATATCAGGGGTGCACTGATGCATCAAAATCTGTACTTATTGTTGAAGATGGTAGAAGCTGTTTTACCAAATATGGCGATACTGGGGTCCAGACGGTTCCCCACCATCTTCCAAAGGCAAGAGCGTCCACTAACCTTTATATCAAAGCTTTGTTTCCACCCTTGCCACATCAAGCCCACTTACTCTGCTAAATATGATTGGACTATCGCACATATCGATAGTCCAATCAGGGAATGTTTCACAAAATCAACATCCACGACTGGTACACCTTCGTATGAAAGTGATTTACCGCTGCCTGTCTTTGTTGACACAAATATGTCTTTTTCATGTTTTAAACCCCAAACCATTGCCTATGTTTTTGTGTCAGGGATGAAATCGCGAATATTTTCATTATCTGATCAACTAGGTCGTCGCCTTTATTAGTTGACATCTTTGTGAAGCTATATGAGATAAGAACAGCGATCTGATTGGATATCACTTTTTCATTACAAGGGGTACAATTCGTGATCTACGCCAGGTGGCGCCAGGGTCGAGCCAAGAAAAGTGGCCTTTATGTGGCAAGGGTAGAAACTTGGATTTGATATAGGTAAGTGGACACGCTTGCCTCGGGAAGATGGTTCCCCACATGGACATTTCCTCACTGGACAATTTCCCGCTCTAAGTCGGACATTTCCCCACACCCTACTTTTATGTGCACTTGACAGGTAATGATGATTTTGATATTCATATTATTATAGTTTGTCAAATTGTTAATACAACTGTCGTCTGTTGTTTGTCCTTTTTGTATGTCAGTGTCGGGTATTGTCTGAGTGGAGAAATGTCTGTGTGGGCTAGTGTCCGAGTTAACAAGACTTTTTTGTTTTTGACTTTCATTCTAGACCATATTATCATGATTATAGATTTGCATTGCGCTCATTTCCATTCTAGACCTAGACATTATGATGATTCAGGGTGATAGTGTCTTATGTGAAATTGAGACACTAATGTATCTGTGACTATTAAGGCAATCCTTAATTGAAAATAGTTTAAGGGGTACATGTGTAAGACATTGGAATAACCTGATTTAAGCTTGCTGTGACTGCCAATTGAGTCACAGGGCTAAGACTGGATGGCCTTTAACCTGTTGGACAGGATTGTGTCAGGGGTGATGTGTGTGTCTGACAATCAGGGATGGTCAGTCATATGTAGATCTCAAAAACTTGTAATGTATGACTTGTTAGGTGCCTGTTATGTTGTAGCAGGTGCTTGTTGCTGATATGTTTGTAGCAGGTGCTTGTTGCTGATATGTTTGTAGCAGGTGCTTGTTGCTGATATGTTTGTAGCAGGTGCTTGTTGCTGATATGTTTGTGACAGGTAGGTGCTTTTTGCTTGAACTAGAAGAATTGTTGCCAGTCCAGGCTTTTCTTGACTAATGAACAAAAGTAAGAAAAGGGTAAACGTAAGAATAGTACTGTTTAATGTTAGTTCTCAGAAGATAACACACAAACAAACAAAAACAAAAACAAAGAATTCAAACTTCAAATATCAAATGATCATATTTATTCTGAAATATATTTGGTGAATTTAAATAATTGAGAATGGAGAAACTAAATTGAATGAATGTATTCTTTTGTTTCTGGTTTGTAATTATTGGTTGTAAAAAAGTGATTTTAAAAAGTCTTGAGTGTAACATACTGTGAAATGTATAAGGTATTAAATGTTTATGAGAATATGACAGATTTATCTAGTCCTGACCAGAGGTTGATATTTGGCCCGAGTCTGCAGCAAACGTCAGCAAAATTCCAAAATTGGAATTGAAAACCTTTCCAATTCATGTTACTATCATTATCGCTAATGTGGCCATGTAGAGACTTGTGTTTCACTGATAACATGGCCAAAAAACAGGATAGAGAGGAAGTGGTTAGAGATTATTGCATTGAATGCAATGCTGTAAATACATTGATTAAATACCTCAGAATGTAAAAAATCGAACTTAAAAGAATCAAAATAATAAATAAAGATTTTTTTCCATTTTGTCTGGAACACTAGATAAGTCCCTGTATGATGTAGAAACGTTGGCCATCAAAGAAAGTATTCCTGAGCTGGTGGAAATATGACCCTGCTGGGCTAGTTTCCTGGGCTGCTCTCTGCATCTGTTCATGATTGGATATCAGCTTGGTTTCAGACAGGAAAACCTAGTTTATTATTTCTGAGGATTACTTAAAACATCTTTTTGGTATTGATAGCCGTGTGGTTGTTATGTTTGCTATCTGAATTCCCCATCTTCAATTGAAATGTACGGTGTACATTATAGTGCTTACTGTGATGTTATACTGATGGATTTGCAACTGACTGGACAGGTACTACTAACACTAACACTAATAATACATGGATTTTTGTAATGTGTTAGATATCCCTTGAAACATGCTCATAGGGCTGTACTAGCAGATTTAAACATCAATGCTTTAATAACATGTTTACATGTAAATATATGCTCAGTAATTCATATTAATTAAGTCAATAAGAAAAACTTGGAGGCTTAATCGACCAACCAGTTGAATTTGTTGTGTGTTAAAAGTTATTTTGAGTTGTCATGTGTTTCCCTTTCTTTTTATAAGTCCTGTATATATACGTGTTTGTCCAAAGGCATCTTGTGACTCATGTACTTACTTGTATCTAGTTTTAATGTCATGGTATTAATCTCTATCAACCAGTATGATAGAATAGACTTTTTTGTATTTAATTTCTGAAATATATTCTGTTCAAAGGTACAGAATGATTTGATATTTAAATCTGTTGATTGATAAGGGTATCATATTTGTCCTGATAACAATGTCCCAACATCAACCATAGAGGGCCCCAGTGACACATTTAAACCCAACCCTTTGTGGGCCCCAGTTGTTGCAACCTTTGATGCGAGTTGCTCATCCAGTGATCAAGGTGGAAATATTCCTGCAACAAGTTCTACTGGTAGCCAGCCTGGCAGGTGCTTGTTTGGGTGTCAGATGTTTGTGTCAGTGACTGGCGACTCCCTGGAGATGGGAGGTATAAATATCCCATACAGGGGGATGTGAGTCACACCAGTGAGGCTCCCACTTTCCAATCTTTCTCCAGACAATATCATCACTTCGCCATCGGACAAGTTGCTCTCAATTCTGTTTCTGCAATTAGTTGAGACCAGTGAAAGTGTAGCTAAAAGCTTAATAGCTATACAGGCAGGCTCATTTTCAGGAAAGTGGTTGCTTTCATAATTTCAATTTATTTGTTTCGGACATTTGTGTAACAAATGTCTCTGATTCGCCAAGTGCCGGTATCCTGGGATGCGCCCACTTCCTGGAACAGACAGGGCTGGAACATGGATTACTTTAATCCAGAACGCCAGCTCGGCATGCTGGATCGAGAAATGAGAGATATGAATCTCCGATCGGGACTGCGCGATATGAACATGAGTTCCGACAATCGAATCTCCAACTTCCGATCTGGCTTTGACAATTGGGCGCCATATCCAAGGTCGTCATCATCGTTTCAACCCAGCATGCCGATGATGACGATGCCATCATTTGATGGCGACTTTCAGTATTCCTTGCGACATATGGATAGAGAGATGAAGAGAATGACGGAAGAAATGAACAGGATGTTTTCCCATTGTCAACACCTTGTTCCAGTCGACTCGCAGCCTGAGACCTGGAGAACGCGGGAGAACTTCCTTCTGGAGAACCCAATTGTGCACGATCATCAAGGAGGCAAGAAATTTCAACTTCAGTTCGATGTTCGCCAGTTTAAACCCGAAGAAATTATGGTGAAGACTGCTGACAAACAGCTCTCGGTGCACGCTCGCCACGAGGAGAAGGGAGACAACAAGTCTGTGTTTCGCGAATACCATCGCCAGTTCATGCTCCCTACAAACATTAACCCAGAATCCCTTGTGTCCAAGTTGACCAGAGATGGTCTCTTGTCCATTGAGGCGCCGCTACCAGCTTTGGAAGAATCGCCTAAACTCATTCCCATTGAGCATAATTAAACAACCATGAACATTGAAAGGAGGACAGATGATTGAAATGGACCAATATAGTGTATCTTTTCGTTCTTTAATATTGTGTAATATTGGGATCTGGACTGACGAAATCCATTCAGGTAGAGGATTGCAGTATCTGTGAGTTTTCTAGTCATTTCTTATACTATGACATTTAATTATATTTATTACAGCCATTTGTAATATGCAGTGTACATATTCTGGCTAAATGCATATACCTGTTGAACAGGATAATGTTCTATAACTGATTATGGTGCTATTTGGGTGGAGTTTGTTGATTGACAGTACTGCTGTGTTATAATTGAGGGGAGTGTATACTATATTCAACCTAATTAGTGCCCATTCCCCATGTATGAGCCAATGCAATCCTATATGCAGGGATAATTCTAGGGTGGGGCCTTGTGCTTTTAGCCCCTAAAGTTTCAAATACAATGGGGCATTTTAACATGGTGCTGTATGGGCAAGTGTGGGTGTACTTCTGGAATATATGAAATGTTCACATAAAGGTCCCATGTCAGAAAATTCCTAGAGTGATCCCTGTATATGTATGATTTGATCCCTCTTTTTCTTTGTGTCTTTGTATGGACACTCATTAGGTTGAAGTTAAATATGTTATTTGAACTACGTATCAGATGTTTTATGTTCAATATATTTTTCAGAAATATTGCCATGTCATAATATAAAAACTACTCAAAAGAAGAAACGGAACACCAATTTGTTCATATAACTATAGTTTATCTGTCATGACAGATTCACTATGGTAATAGGAGTGAGTGAGTTGGGTTTAACAGCTTTAAACAGTATTCCAGTTACATCGCGGCGTGTCAGCTTAGTGTGGGAGGAAGTGATACAGGTCTCAGATGTTTACCACTCTGGTGAATCCCATGAGCACGGGTATGGTGCTGACAAACCTAGAAACATAATCGGGGCGAACCAAGATTCGAACCCACAATCACAGGTTTCTGGCGTGCCCAAGGGACGCAACTCTGCACAGCGAATCGCGGCGCCTTAGACGACTGGTCCACCCGTGTCCACTATGGTAATAGGAACAAATCATGTGTTCTTTAACTTCTTTTGAGTGGTATCCATGTATTCCTATATTATATGCCGGATATTTATTGGCCTTTTCAGTCCTGCTAAATACTCAACATGTAATTATTGTTATTATTGGCAGATGCTTGTGGTCAGTATCAATCAACATTGCATGATGGACATGATAAATATCAGTGAAACTACTGCTGAAATCTGTTGTATTTATATTTGTATTTTTGTTATATATTAAATAAAATATTTCAATTTTCAAATAATTTTTGTTTTCTTTTTGTTCATGCTGTATGTGGTTACTCAGTGTCCACAGATCTATAAAAGGCATTGAGGTGGCCTAGTGGTTAAGTGTCCTCCCATCCTGATCTGGACCCTGGTTCAGTTCTTCAAATGGGTACAATGGACATGATGTATACACCCCATTGTTTCGTAACAATAGGGGGGTGGCCTAGTGGCCTCCTTATGCCGAAGACCTGGGTTTGATTCCCCACGTGTGTACAATGTATGAAGCCCATTTCTTATGTTCCCCGCTGTGATTTTGCTTGAATATAGCTAAAAGTGGAGTAAAACCACACTCATTCACTCACTCGTAACAATACATGTCCCCCCGACACTCACTCACTCACTCACTCACTCACTCACCAACATCTGTCCAAAGTTGTTAACATTGGTTGGTTGTTTTTTTTGTTGTTTTATGCCACACTTAGCAATATTCCACTTATATGACGGCGGCCTGTTGGTAATCGAGTCTGGTCCAGACAATCCAGAGATTGATATCATGAGCATCGATCCACGCAATTAGGATGGATGACATGCTTAACCAAGTCAGCGAGCCTGACAGATCCCGTTAGTCAACTTTTACGACAAGAATAGTCGTCCTTTACGGCAAGCATGGGTTGCTGAAGACCTATTCTACCCTGCATCTTCACGGTTCCATTAACATTAGAGGACTGGTAATATAACTGATTATAACACAATGCTTGGTTTCAGTTGAAGTAGTTAAACCCAGAACTGGTTTCTCTTTAATTTGTCACCACTGGAATACCAACCTGTAGAATTCTTTTTCATTTTTTTATTGAACCAGGTCAATCTTTTTTCTTTTTTTTTGAACAGCTACATAAACCTGTGATGAAACATTATTATTGGGGATGTGTACCAAACTTCTCAAACATTACCCTTCGGAATATCTTTTCTTCAGGAAAATGTCTCTGATGAATAAATGTGATTTTTGTAAACATAGGAAGGAGACTGAGATCCCTCAGCCAGAGTGTGTGACTCAGCCAAGCATCTGCCCTCCAGGAGGCTATTTGTGGAAGGAATGTCCGTATTCTAGTGAAGTGGTCTAAAATTACATTACATTATACTTTGCATACACATGATTCATGTTAAAGAATGTACCTGTAATCTTTGTATAGTGTAGATTATTGATTGGTGTAGGTTATTGATGGGTGTGTGTTATTGGTGGGTGTAGGTTATTGGTGGGTGTAGGTTATAGGTGGGTGTGGGTTATTGGTGGGTGTAGGTTATTGGTGGGTGTAGGTTATTGGTGGGTGTAGGTTATTGGTGGGTGTGGGTTATTGGTAGTTGAGGTTATAGGTGGGTGTGGGTTATAGGTGGGTGTGGGTTATTGGTGGGTGTAGGTTATTGGTGGGTGTGGGTTATAGGTGGGTGTGGGTTATTGGTGGGTGTAGGTTATAGGTAGGTGTAGGTTATTGGTGGGTGTAGGTTATAGGTAGGTGTAGGTTATTGGTGGGTGTAGGTTATTGGTGGGTGTGGGTTATTGGTGGGTGTGGGTTATAGGTGGGTGTGGGTTATTGATGGGTGTGGGTTATTGGTGGGTGTAGGTTATAGGTGGGTGTGGGTTATTGGCAAGTGTAGGTTATTGGTGGGTGTAGGTTATTGGTGGGTGTGGGTTATTGGCAAGTGTAGGTTATTGGTGGATGTGGGTTATAGGTGGGTGTAGGTTATTGGTGGGTGTGGGTTATTGGTGGGTGTAGGTTATTGGTGGGTGTAGGTTATAGGTGGGTGTAGGTTATTGGTGGGTGTAGGTTTTTGGTGGGTGTGGGTTATTGGCAAGTGTAGGTTATTGGTGGGTGTGGGTTATTCATGGGTGTAGGTTATAGGTGGGTGTAGGTTATTGATTGGTGTTGGTTATAGGTGGGTGTTGGTTATTGGTGGGTGTAGGTTATTGGCAAGTGTAGGTTATAGGTGGGTGTAGGTTATTGGTGGGTGTAGGTTATTGGTGGGTGTGGGTTATTCATGGGGGTAGGTTATAGGTGGGGGTAGGTTATTGATTGGTGTTGGTTATAGGTGGGTGTTGGTTATTGGTGGGTGTAGGTTATAGGTGGGTGTAGGTTATTGGTGGGTGTTGGTTATTGGTGGGTGTGGGTTATTGGTGGGTGTAGGTTATTGGTGGGTATAGGTTATTGATGGGTGTAGATAATGTGTAGGGTGTTGTTGTGTCACAATTTCACGTACTTTGATAATAAAACATTGTAACAGCAATTCCTTTCCCTTTCATTCAGAAATAAATTATTCGTTGACAAATACTTATGTTGACAAACTTGAATAGGTGGGAGTGGGGAGATGATGAAACCTTGCTTTGATCTACACATCAGAGGCCAGTGGAAGGGCCATTCTGGGAACACCTTGGCAGGACTGGTTAAACAACCCTTGCTAGCTTTCATTTCAATAACGCAAGATTAATCCCACCTGCCCTTACTGCAAATTCCTGATTGTTTAAGTTTCCATAAGATACCCCTCTTATTTATCCTTTCAACTTATTTGACATATTACCCTTTGCTATGATGCTGTCATACTTACCCTACCTGAGTTTTGAGTTCTCCCTGTGAGGTGGATCTGATGTAGACATGGTGTTGAGTGTGATCGGTGAACAGGTCTGATAGAACAGCGGTAGAAACTGACATTTATAGTTCATTAATATTGATAACATATAGCAAAACCCTTAAAAAAGGCAGACTGTTACCAGTCCTTATGATACATTAACTATTGGGCAGTTTGGCAATGACTACAGGACTAGTGCCAATTTCTAACACTACTCCGCATGCTCCAGAGTCAGTATTTGTTTGATTTTGTTTGTTTTGTTTGTTTGTTTGTTGTTTAACGCCCCACTTTGTAAACTCCAGTATGACGGCAGTCTGTAAATAATCTTGAACCGGACAATCCAGTGATTGGCATCATGAGTATCGATCTAAGCAATTGGGATACAATGACATGCATCAACCAAGTCAGCGAGCCTGATCCCTGATCCCATTAGTCGTCTCATAATTTTGTTTGAAAGGCACTCGTGGTCGAATGATGTTTATTAGGAGGCAGTGATACAATTAATACATTGTGATTCGATTGATACAATTTGATACCATTTTTATGCAATTAACACAGCTTTTTGCAGTTTGCATTGTAATACAATCAGCACTTTTTAAAAGCCAGGATTCCAGGACAGAGTAGGTCCCCCACCCAGTACCTTGTGTGTGTCGACCGCCTCCGTGGTCTAGTGGTAGAGCGTCCCCCCGGAGAGCGGAAGGTCCGGGGTTCGATCCCCGACCGTGTCATACCAAAAGACGTTAAAAGATGGTACTTGTTGTTACCCTGCCTGGCACTCGGCATTAAGGGGCTAAAACAAGGACTGGTCAGCTCAGAGTCCATATACTGTGTCTGAGTGGGTTATTCATGTTAAATCTCAGTGTGCTAGCACTATAAATCGGCATCAGTCCGGACTAGTACAAGCAGCCACACACCCACACACACACATACATGTGCATGCACGTTGCTATATAAGTGCAATAATCTTGGACGCGACGTTAAACCCCATTTCACCCCACCACCTTGTGTGTGTCATGAGAACTGATTTAAAAGAGGATTGTCCCAGACTTGATTATTTCCAGGCTGCAGTGACATAATTAATAATGCTGAATAACATACATTTTTGTGAAATTAATAATAAAAAGTCTAGAGAATATCTGTTATTGACATGATTAATGTCTGTGAGACTTACGATCACAACCAAGTTTATTTTTGTCTGCTGACAAATACCCCATATAGTTTATTGGTGAGAGGTTATCTGCATGATGGAATAAGACCAGTGGTTAAGTATCAGTCATCTTGATGATGACTTAATGACCACCATCATATTTAATAGCAGCCGTGACCTTAAGGCGTCTCTCTGTGGTGGTGTGATCTGTGATGGCTGTATGGCGTCTATAAATAGGAAACGAAAAGTTTATGGAACTAATTAAGAGTATGCTTGACATAAACAAGATATGAAGGCATGTTTTATTGCATGAGAGCTGTGCACTGATTGTATTTTTCAATGATATCCAACAACATTAACAACCTGCTGTAACACCTGAAGGTACATTCTCAGTTAACGCTGTCTGTTGCTGTGACTTCACTGCTGGACAGAGTTCCTGAGGAGGCCTGATCTGCTCTGCTTCAGGATGCACACATGGTGGGCACACTCGGAGCATGGGCGCAGTTCTAAAACTGTTCATGAAAAAACCCACAGTGACGACATTCAAATTGACAGATGCATTGTTGAGATTCCAACAATCCACTTTCCTGATGGGGTGTTATCTGAAACACAAAGTGTGTGTACCTGTCCTGCTGAGTTTGTGTGTGAGCGTGTGTGCGTGTATGTTTGTCTGTCTGGTTGTCCATCTGTGTGTCTCTCTATCTGTCTGGTTGAACATGTGTGTGTGTGTGTGTGTGCATGCGTGCATGATGGTCTGTCTGGTTGACCGTTGTGACCGTGTGTGTGTGTGTGTGTGTGTGTGTCCATCCATCTGGTTGACGGATTGTGTGTGTGTGTGCATGTGTGCTGCATGGTTGTCTGTCTGTTTGACCCTTTGTATGTGTGTGTGTGTGTGTGTGTGTGTGTGTGTGTGTGTGTGTGTGTGTGTGTGTGTGTGTGTGTGTGTGTGTGTGTGTGTGTGTGTGTTTGCTGCTTAATTTCCTTACATGGTTTTACTTTGAGTAACAAACGTGGGGGTCCAGGGGATCCCCAATAATTAATTTATAAGGAACCTTGCAGGCAATATGAGGGTCCTGTTAAGTAATGAAATGGTGTAGTGTACTGTATGTTTAGATAATTACTTTAGAGCCTGGAATGAATCAATTATCAAATGGACAGAGGTCATGATTGATGACTGAAATAACAGACACCCATCATAGCTCTTGATATGCTGTAGGTACCATGAATATTATTGGGATGCAGTATATTTTTTTTATGTGTCCATTTTCTACTTTTGTGCATCACATAAAACCCTGTACTTAGCAATATTTAATGTAAATAATCGCATCTGGACCATCCAGTGATCAGTATTGTGAGCATTTTTAGTGAGTGAGTTGGGTTTAACGCCGCTTTTAACAGTATTCCAGTTATGTCAGCTTAATGTTGGAGGAAAGCCCGAAGTGATGCAGGTCTCAGACGTTTACCACTTCGGTCAAAACCCACAAGCATGGGTATGGTGCTGACAAACCGAGAAACATAATTGGGGCGAACCGGGATTCGAACCCATAATCATAGGTTTCTGGTGTGCTCAAGGGACACAACTCTGCACAGCGAATCCCGGCACCTTAGACGACTGGGCCACCTGTGAACACATGTGCAATGATATTTTTACACATTGTATGCATGTCAGGGTGGCAGCTTGATGACCCTGTCTACCTTTTACATCAGTGTGGTGTGTGATAGTTTATTGTTTCAGGTCATGGACCTTTGCACAGATTTGATTTGATTTGATTTGATTTGATACTGTTTGGTATCCTTGTACCAATTGTTTTAGTTTGATTCATCACAGAGTTGAAGGTGTGAAACCATTTCTTGATATCCCGTTATGTTGCATCAATGCTGTTGAAAGCTGAGTTGCCACTGTCTTGTTGTGATGCACATGTTTCTGTTGCAGGTGGGTAAGTGATGTCTCAAGATGGGGGAAAGTCCTGTGGACGTACCCGATGACCCCGGACAGGGAGCAGACGACTGTCGTCTCTGGATAGGCAATCTGGACTCCAGACTGACAGAGTAAGGCTACAGATAAGATTTCTTGATTTATTCATGGCATAGCTTAGTCTGTCTCCCAGACCCTAGAGAATAGATTAAAAAAGGAGTCCAACTCAAGTCTAGAATATTTTGGCAAGTCTAGATTGCCTCAGCTTTAGGGAGGTCAGCGGTGACACACTGAAGAGAGAAGAGGGGAGGGGGGGAGAAGTTGTGGGGGTGGGGTGCCAAGGGAGGAAGGAGTGTTCATTAATAGGCCGTCTGAGTAGCTCTGGCATGTAAACAGAAATGAAGGTTGACATTGACAAGATTACAGAAATTCCAACAAATTAGAGCCTTACAGATTTGGTTAGTTCCTGAAATTAAAGATTGATCAAGGCTCCATTTGGATATTATTTTTTGGGGATTTTTTTTGTTGTTGTTCGTATGATTGGTTCTGTGTGTGTTTGTGTGTGTCTTGTTGTGGTCTGCTGGTATGTACATGTACCAGCTCACATTGACACAACATGGTTATCTCCCTTGTATTGTTTGAGAAGCCCATGCATAGTGTCCTGCATCACTGCTATATGTGCCTTTTATCATGTCTTACTTTTTAGCTCAACTAAATCAAGTGAATTTATGTGATGGCTTGTTGTCATGCTTTTGCATATTTGACATTGGCTCTGAAACCGTAAAGCCGATGGACCTGACCATTCATAGAGGTGCGCGATATTACCTGTATACCGGTATACCACAATATGAAATACCAACGAATATACGCAACAATATGTTTGGAAAATACCGGTTTACTGCATTTTTCAAAATTCTGCATGTAATCTTGTTTAAAGATTTTACAATTTCAAATGGAAATTAAGAAATTAAGAACTTTTTCCTGATGCTACAGACTAGGACTGACCCCCTATTACCCAACCCTACCCGGGTACCCACCGCAGGTCTCAAGAGCTGGGAACAAGATGTCTGCTTGGGAACTGTTTCATTGCAGCCCAGGCAGTAACTATTTAAATAAATGTATGAAACGATCAGATCAGGCGTACACGGAGGTTGACTGAAGCGTTATCTTTTCTCAAACCTACACTAAGTCAAAGGACTGGATGTATCGTCAGAAAGAAATGCGAACATTAGCGACATGTAGTGTAACCACTGAGCTATAGTGAGTTTTTGTCATTAACAATAATTCACATGACTAACCACGGGTCCGGGTAGTCCTATGGGTACCCGGGTCCTACTCATGACCCTCCCGACCCGAGAACCCGATTTTCCCGTCCCAGCCTTACTACAAACCTATTTTTTGTTTGTCCTCTTTCCAAATTAGGTTGAAGTGTCATCAAATCATTACTTCATAAGTCAGGTGAGATAAAAAGTTGGGGCACGACTAGCCTATTTGTCTAAGATGCCGCTATTCGCTTTGCAGAGTTACGTCCCTTGGGCCTCCAGAAACCTACAATCATGGGTACAAATCCTGGTTTGGTGTGATTATGTTTTTAGTTCTGTCACCTTACTTCTGCTCGTGGGTTTCACCGAAGTGGTAAACGTCTGAGACCTGCATCACTTTGGGCTTTCCTCCCACATTAAGCTGACACGCCGTGATGTAACTGGAATACTGTTCAAAGCTTTGTTAAACAAAACTCACTCACTCATGCTTGCAATATGACGGCGGTCTGTAAATAATCGAGTCTGGACCAGACTATCCAGTGATTAACATCATGAGCATCGATCCTACAATAAGGATACGATGACATGCATCAACCAAGTCAGCGATCCTGTTAGTCGCCTTTTACGACAAGCATAGTCGCCTTTTACGGCAAACATGGGTTGCTGAAGACCTATTCTAGCCCCGATCTTGAGACATATGCTGACTCTTAGGAAAAAAGGGGCGTGGGGATGCACTGAATTTTTTTAGAAATGAATTGAAATAATTAGGGAAACAATGTGTGTTTGGTAACAAAAATTGATTATTTTTGTTGAAAACATTGTTGAAGTAATTTGGTTACTAGTTTCAAAAAGAGAAGATTCCTGTTTAGAATATGTCTTCAGCAAACCATGCTTGTCGCAAGAGGGGACTAATGGGATCGGGTGGTAAGGCTCGCTGACAAACAACAAACAGACAAACACAAAGGGAGGAGTGCGCACCCCTGCACCACCCCTTCAGTTCCATGTCTTCTTGTGCGACCACTGATCTCCATTATTTGTGTTGTTGAAGGTTCACCCTGCTGAAAGTAGTCCAGCGCTATGGTGAGCTGCAGAAGTTTGACTTCCTGTACAACAAGGCGGGGCCGGAGATGGGGAAGCCACGAGGCTACTGCTTCGTCAGCTATCACAGTAGACAGGTAACAGAGACAGATCACCCTGATACTTGTTCCTATGGCTAAGGGGCGGTCGGGTAGCCTAGTGGCTAAAGCGTTCGCTCGTCACGCCGAAGACCCGGGTTTGATTCCCGACATGGGTACAATGTGTGAAGCCCATTTCTGGTGTCCCCTGCCGTGATATTGCTGGAATATTGCTAAAAGCGGCGTAAAACCATACTCACTCACTCACTCTTATGGCTAAACTCATTCATCCTTTCTGTGGATTTTTTAAGGAGGGAAAATCATCCTTTTCATTAAGTTGTGGGGTATAGTTTATATATTAGATGCCATCACCAGAAACTTTATTGTCAAAAACATGAAATACTTGATTTTTATTCATGATATTACAAAACATTTTCAGTGATTGCTTGCTTGCTTGTTTGTTGTTAAACGTCGCACTCAGCAATATTCCAACTATATGCCGGCAGTCTGTAAAATAAACAAGTCTGGACCAGACAATCCAGTGAATGACATCATGAGCATCGATACACGCAATTGGGATCGATGACATGTATCAACCAAGTCAGCGAGCCTGACCACCCAATCCCGTTAGTCGCCTTTTACGACAAGCAGTCGCAAGTATGGGTTGCTGAAGACCTATTCTATTCAATGATTGATAATATGTACTTTTCGTTTCTTGCCATGTGACAAGGTCATGTCATATGTCAAGGTCAATTGACACATAAGAAGTATGATCGCAGTATGCAGCTTGGTTTTGTATAATTAACCAAGGTAACTAAAGGTACAGGACTTATGGTTTTAAAGTGGTTCTGCATTGAACATCATAAGGGATCAGAGACGAATATCAGTTTGAACCTGATTTGTTGAGGTCCAAATGGTTCATGTTGTATGTTTCTGGTGTGAAAGTTTTTGGGCTGGTTTTCTTTTTGCATGTACTTAAAAAACGTTTCTAGTTCTTTCTGTTTCTGGCCTAATACATGCTTGGCATTTGTTTCAGAATGCTGAGAGGGCCTTAAAGGCCCTGAATGGCAAGCTAGCATTATCCAAAAAATTGATTGTTCGCTGGGCACATCAGGAAAAACAGGTTTGTTCTTCAGCAGTTAATGAAGCACACTGGTATTACATTTTATTACTGCTTGGTTGTTTCGCATGGAAGTTTCACATAGCTGTTATATAAATACTGTTTAAGGTGGCATTAAACCCCACTCACTCGCTCACTTTCAAAAGGGCTTTGTTGTGATGATGTCTGAAATGACCAAAGTAACATTGTCCAAGACCTGCATCACTTTGGGCTTGTATCCATGTTAAAATGACTTGTGGTAATATACCTGAAATATTGTTCAAAGTAGTGTTACACCAATCTCTAAGATGGGGTCTGTCTGTCTGGAACATGTGTATAGTCTGCATTCCAACATTTATTTGTCACTATACATGTACTACTCTTGCAGAAAACCGACATAAATGCGAAGCCACCGGAGAAGAATGTTCCAGCAGACAGGTATGTGAGCTGACGGGATCTCGACCGATCTCATTGAGATCAGTTTTGACCCCAAAACGATACCTCCCTGTGTGAAGATCTTACAACTCTTCATAGGAGGTCACAATCAAATGATGTCAATTATCTCTTTGAAACTGAGACCCGGGAAGGTCCGGGGAAGAATAGGTTTTCAGCAACCCATGCTTGCCGTAAGAGGCGACTATGCTTGTCATAAGAAGCGACTTACGGGATCGGTAAGTCAGACTCGCTGACTTGGTTGATGCATGTCATCGTATCCCAATTGCGTGGATTGATGCTCCCTGATATCAACCACTGGATTGTCTGGTCCAGACTCGATTTTTTACAGACCGCTGTCACATAGCTGGAACATTGCTGAGTGCGGCATTAAACAACAAACCATACCAAACCATAATCTTTGTAACTAAATCTGGTTAGTGCTACTTTTTACACTCAAGACACTGGTTACAAAATGAAAAAGTTGAAAAAATGATTGTTGATGACAAATAAAATCTCATCCTCGTGTCAAACACTGATCGATGTAAGTTTAGAACTCCTCTGCAAGCATCCGAGTTTTATACTGTTATCGACTCATGTCGATATATTATGTATCAATGCCTCACAAATTTTCACCTGATGCTTACCCATGTATATGTTGAATATATCAATATTTTGAAAGTTACATTTACGAGGATTTCAGATAAATTCTCGGCCTAGCTTTACCACCAATCATGCATCATAATACTCAATCTGATTGGGTCTTGCTGTTAAAATGAACATCAGTTAACCAATCATATACAAACTGGCTGCTATTGACAGTGCAACGTCTTGTCAGTTTGGCCGCTTGGAACATGATAACTGGAATGAAATTGGATAAATGTGTAGTTAGGTGTTTGAGTCCCGTAAGCTCACAACGTACGAGATTAGTGCATGACCCATTTGCTTGCATGGTGATCATGGTAATGCAGGGATGTGTTCGGGTGAGTTTTTATTGGGTGAATTGTTTTTTAGAAGCTGGAACTTCATTCAAGCACATTTCCATGTAGTTCCACAGCTAGTTGTTACATGTGTCTGTCTTTGTTGACTTTTGAAACTGTTGATTACACCCAGGTGAGCTACAGTGCTGTTGCATTATATTTATTGAATTGTAGAGCCATTTCTCAGTCAGAGTATAAAATTACCTAAAAGCCCAATAGTGTTTTTAATGTTTACAGTAAATTTACTTCTTAGATTGAATTAAAACTAGAATGCTCAGGTAATTTAGGGAATACAATCTCAGCCTGACAATTTGGCGTGTTAACTTTTCAAAAGTTACCGTCTGTCAGCAAAATAGACCATCTCGGACCGTCCGGCGGACACTGTCATAGTAAAGTCACAGGTTGCCAAGTTGTCATTAGTGTGTTAATTCACTGTGCAGAGTTATGTCCCTTTGTCATATAAGGATCCAATGATTCAATTTGTCGTTTGTTTGTTTGTTGTTTGACTCGGCAATATGCCAGCTATATGACAGCGATCTGTAAATAATCGAATCTGAACCAGACAATCCAGTAATTGATATCATGAGCATCGATCCACGCAATTGGGATACGATGACATGCATCAACCAATTAGGTGTATGACCACCCGATCCCATTACTCACCTCTTATGACAAGCATAGTCGCCTTTTACGGCCAGTATGGGTTGCTGCAGACCTATTTTACCCCAGATCTTCATGGGTTGATTTCGCTTTCAATCAAGTACTCATGGTATTCAACAAAATGGTAGACGTAAAAAAATCTGTGTTACTTTGGTCTTTCTGCCAGTCACTCATTATGTTTAATAACGGACCAGAGCTCCAGATAAGCTGCGTATCTGCATAAAAATATGCATCAGAAATATGCAGTAAAATAAAATCCAAGCGTATCAAATATGCAACGAACATTACAGATACACTACAAAAATATAACTTGTGCGTATCATCAAAATATTGTGAAATAACCCTGCGTATTCGATTAGCAAATCAGCAACTAATTTTGAACTTATAAACAGGCATTCCGTCAACCTTGCCAAACTCCTAGATGACAGTTACATCATGATCATTTGCCATCACACTTTCTTGTGGAAGTATCATGGTATTTTTTAGTCCTACAAAGCTCTCGAACCCACACGACACCAGTTTGCAGGGACTAGATGATTAGTGTTTTTAAATATTTAACTTAAATACCCACATGTGTAAAAACTAGTGGGTAACAGAAATTTGAATACCCAGATAGAATTACTGATACCCAACGATTTTAAAATGCATGGGTAAAATACCCACAACACCAAAAGCTTATCTGGAGCTCTGACAGACTGTTCTGTTTCCAGTGTTGATGTGAAGATACATGCCATTGAAGCCAAGCTGGAACAAATGGCAAAGACACAAAAGGACTTTACAATATCCAACAAAGTGGAAGCGCCCCCTGGGAGCAGTAAACTGAGTGTTGCAAACCCAGAAAACATTCGTAATCAGCTTGTGCTGAAACCTAAACCCTACTACAGAAAACACAGGAGGTGACTTGGGTGGCAAGCATAACAGGTCAAGTTTTTGGTGAGGCAACAATTAGCGATATTGCCATTATTGCTGTCTAAGGAGAAGACACTGGCAGGAGCTGATTTCTGTTGGTGACCAAAGGAGAGTCCTCTTTGTGGATGAAAAAGATTTGTGTTTCTGGTCTGAAGATATTCCTGTTTGTGCCCAAATGGATTCCTGTTTGTGGCCAGGGGAGATTCGTGTTTGTGGCCAGGGGAGATTCGTGTTTGTGGCCAGAAGAGATTCGTGATTGTGGCCAGGGAAGATTCGTGTTTGTGGCCAGGGGAGATTCGTGTTTGTGGCCAGAAGAGATTCGTGTTTGTGGCCAGGGAAGACTCGTGTTTGTGGCAAGGGGAGATTCGTGTTTGTGGCCAGAAGAGATTCGTGTTTGTGGCCAGGGGAGATTCGTGTTTGTGGCCAGAAGAGATTTGTGTTTGTGGCCAGGGGAGATTCCTGTTAGTGGCCAGGGGAGATTCGTGTTAGTGGCCAGGGGAGATTCGTGTTAGTGGCCAGGGGAGATTCCTGTTAGTGGCCAGGGGAGATTCGTGTGTGTGGTTGGTGGAGATTCCAGAGATCAAACAAATGTACATCAGATGTGACTTTTGTTTCAGCTGATCATGTGAAGAAATAATAAAAATAAAAAGAAGTTTATTTGTTTGTTGTTGTTCACACTGGAATGTGGTTTGATTGTGTTACTTTAATAGGTACATGTGTTCTTCTATTTGGCTAATTTGTTTGACCTTCCCTCCATCAGGACCCTCTAATGAATGGAATGACTGACACCAATAATATTGAGGTATATACGGTAGGTAAGACGTGATATTTCTGTTCTCATTAAAAATACAATCAATGGTCGGACAGTCCGTGTCAGATTTTCTTCACTGTTACATTGGAATAATGCCCATTGATGACACAATGTTGTCTTGAGTCAATGTTGTTGATTCGGTTATATTCAGAACAGACCTGTACACCTAGTACACAGCAGCACTCTGAACCAGACTAATGTCTAACGGTCATTCCCCAGCAACCTGCCTCCCTTACGTCACATATACCATCACACAGAACATTACTTACCAGTAACGTTGGTTGGTTTGTTGTTTAACGCCGCACTCAGCAATACTCCAACTGTATGACGGCGGTCTGTAAATAATGGAGTCTGGACCAGACAATTGGGTGATTGATATCATGAGCATTGATCCACGCAATTGGGATCGATGACATGCTTCAACCAAGTCAGTGAGCCTGCCCACCCGATCCTGTTAGTTGCCTTTTACGACAAGCATAGTCGCCTTTAATACCAGTAACAAGTTACCTTGATGACATCAAAAGTGATCACTTCCTGGGCAATGCCATCTTGAATGAAGTCTTGCTCTCGTTTTTTATTTACAAACTACCTTTTAACCTGTTCCAAACAAACTTTTTCTGAGATCTTTTTTTCTTCTCCATTTCACTTGAATAACAACACTTTTAGAGTAATAAAAGTCATTTTAAAGTTGTATTTTCATTTATATTTTAAACACTTACAAAACTCTACAAAATATTAATATAGAGAATAAGTCCATGGATGTAGAGTAATTTGTTCCTTGTAGTCAAGTTGAGATAAGCCAACAAGGATGTCAGTCTTTTATAGGGACAACTTGTTCTTATTATTTCTATAATCTAGGAATTATGATTTAAACAAATAATCATTTCCTTAGAGACTTATGCTGAAACAAAGTATATGAAAACTCCTAAGCAAGATGCAATACTTAGGGAAGTCTTGATATATTAATGGATAAATTCCAGACTAAATGTTATTCTAGAATGAGGTGAGGTGAAAATGGGTTTAACGTTGCGATGTGCATGCACGTGTGTGTGTGTGTGCGTGTGTGTGTGGCTGCTTGTACTAGTCCAGACTGATGCCGATTTATAGTGCTAGCACACTGAGATACCATGCCGCAGTTTAACATGAATACCCCACTCAGACACAGTATACGGACTCTGAGCCGACCAGTCCTTGTTTTAGTCCCTTAATGCCGAGCACCAGACAGGTTAACAACAAGTACCATCTTTTAACTTCTTTTGCTAAGACGCGGCCGGGGATCGAACCCCTGACCATCCGCGCTCCTGGCAGACGCTCGTCCTCAAGACCAAGGAGGCGGTCTAGTCCAGGATGAAGCCAGAGTGGTCAATACTGAGAGTGCATGTTTTCCTTACACATGGTAATACATTTCAATAAATACCTGGATGTTTTTTTTCACATAGAAGTGTGTACACAAGAACATGGAATATTTTATGATATACCGTATTCGACGTAATAAGCCCCCAGGGCGCTCTCAAAATTAGTAATAGGGGGCTCTTATTGGAATATTATTTTGGTGAAAAAAAGATTTGAAAGATCATAACTTTCGTGGTTTATGCTGAGAGCCTGAAATGTTTATATATGACATACCGTATTCGACGTAATAAGCGCCCCGCTCTAAAAAGCGCCCACGGCGATATTTGCTGATATATTGGCTAGTGAACAAGCCCAATTTGCATCCCTTCCGATTGATCAATGTACAAAGGACTTATTTATTCGCGTATAATACGCACTCGTGTGTTATATACACCCTTAATTATGGGCAATTAAATTCTGGAAAAATATATCTGTCGCATATAAACACTTCAGGCTGTCAGCATAAACCACGAAATTTATCTTTCATCTATGTTTTTTTCCACCAAAATAATATTCTAATAAGAGCCCCCTATTTCTAATTTTGAGAGCGCCCCGGGCGCTTATTACGTCGAATACGGTATATTTTTCCTGAATTTAATTGCCAATTATTCAGGGTGCATATGATACATGAGTGAGGATTATACACAAATAAATAATTCTTATGTACATTGATCAATCGGAAGGGGTGGTAATTGGGATTGTTCACTAGCCAATATAATAGCAAATATCGCCATGGGCGCTTATCACGTCGAATACGGTAACCGCTCTTCACTAGTGAAAGGTAAATGTAGCCGATGTTGAACAAATAGATTTTTTCATCATATACAAAAGCATCAACAGCAAATTAACAGACATACACCTTACTAGACCAAGAACAAAATGCCAAACAGCTGATTATGTCAAGTCTCAGATCCAGTCATCAGAAGGACTAAACCTGGATTGGACAAAATATCAGTTGTCATCCCTCAATCTGGACCCAGTCTCCATGGTTTGATTTGTTTGTTTGTGCCACACTTAGCAATATTCCAACTACCGTATTCGACGTAATAAGCGCCCCGCTCTAATAAGCGCCCACGGCGATATTTGCTAATATTTTGACAAGTGAACAATCCCAATTAGCACCTCTTCCGATTGATCAATGAACACAAGACTTATTTATTCGCGTATAATACGCACTTGTGTGTTATATGCACCCTTAATAAATGGGCAATTAAATTCTGGAATAATATTTCTGTCGTTTATAAACATTTCAGGCTGTCAGCATAAACCACGAAAATTTATCTTTCAACTCTGTTTTTTTCACCCAAATAATATTCTAATAAGAGCCCCCTATTTTTTAATTTTGAGAGCGCACTGGGCGCTTATTACGTCGAATACGGTATATGTAAATGATCAAGTCTAGACCAGGCAATCCAGTGATTGACATCATGAGCATCGATCAACGCAATTGGGATATGAAGTGACATACATCAACCAAGTGTTACGACAAGCATAGTCGCCTGTTAGGGCACGCGTGGGTAGCTGAAGACCTATTCTACCCCGGATCTTCATGGTCCCATGGTTTGAACCCAGTCATCAGAAGGGGAAAATCTTCCACCGTATCACCCGCCCAAAAGTTATATAGATCTGTGTATGCATAGCCCTCAATCCTTTTACTTTTCTTTCTGCGGGGGATACGGACGCAAGTCCTACCATTATTATTTTAACCCTTGTGTACTAAACTGTATTTTCATTTGAGGAACACAAACGCATACATGTGACAGAATAGTTGGTGTCTTGGCCCCGTAACGATTCATGTAAAATAATACACATTTCATTTACGATAATGCACATTTACTGATGAGGTCTTACGCACGTTTCTTCTTTGTAGTAGTATTTCTAAAACAAAAGCGGCGACAAAATAGAGCAGCGAGTGGGATCTTATCTGCAGTGAAAGCACCAGAACGTCACATAACCCACTGACAAGATCGAAAAAAACAACACGACAGACATGAGCAAAAAACAGTCAGTTTTTTTCAATTGAATTATGTAATGGACATTTTTTATTAGCATTGTTACTGACGACCTTGCTCGAAACATTTTTGATATCGAATTGTTTACTTGAATAGTTCGCTTAGAACCAGTACAGGAAGGCAGTAGCCGGAAAATTCTGGATCTTACGGACATACTTCATTACAGCGCTTCTAGTTATAAGTCTATATGAATGGAGCTCTACTGTCTGTCTCACAGTCCCTGAACCATATGAATTTTCCTTTCGCCCAGTCATTTCGTCAAAATCGTTAATAAAGCAGGTCTATGTTTTCTCAGGTTCAGAGTGACAAAACACTCTCCACAAGACTGCATGACAAGAGGGATGACTTCAACTTTTCAATTGCCATCTTTCCCATCATATCGAACAATATTCCAGCAGCTTCAGCCTTTGGAGTTTACATATCACAAATTTTGAGATAAAATCGAGCATGTTCTTTCTATCGATATTTCAAAAAGCGTCATACGACTCTTGCTCAGAAATTGTTTTATCAAGGTTACAACATTCAAGGCCTCAGTAAAGCTTTCAAAAAGATTTTTGGTAGACATTTGGAGGACATTTCCAAATTTGACGCATCAGTGACAAAAATGATGTCCGATGCAAATTCCTATTTTGACTTGTACCATATGTTCCCGTGTTTATTTATTCATGTGAACAATTGACTTGCCTTTGCACGTGTTTGTGACGGGTGCCACCGGTGGGACAGGATGCGAACACCTGGTATTGATCATTAGTATTTGATAATGATTCATAAACACATGCTCATGATAAAATCGGAATCGTACAATAGACTCTGCTGTATGCACATATTTTTTATATTGTTTGTTTGTTTGTTTGTTTGTTTGTTGTTTAACGCCGCACCCAGCAATATTCCAGCTATATGAGGGCGGTTCGTAAATAACTGGCTCTGGACCAGACAACCCAGTGATTGACATCATAAGCATCGATCTACGCAATTCAACAACCAATCACGTTAGTTGCCTCTTACGACAAGCATCAGTTGCTGAAGACTAATTCTCACGGGTCGTATGTTAAGTTTTGTTTGATTATTGTTTTTTCCGCACTCAGCAATATGACGGCGGTCTCTAAATAATCATGTCTGGACCAGACAGTCCAGTGATTGACATCATGAGCATCAATCTACCCAACATGCATCAACATCAGCGTTCCTGGCCACCCGATCCTGTTAGTCGCCTCTAACGGCAAGCATGGGTTGCTGAAGACCAATTCTAACCCGCGTGCTTATTTACAATATATAAGATAATTAATAATTAATAATTAATGTTCATCATATCTATCTGACCTTCTTCCCTACAGTAAATGAATGTATTTTGTGGAAATACTACTTTCTTAGAGTGAACGTCTTTGCGGTTTCAATCCTCTTTCGTTGTCCTGGCTTTCGGGCTGTCGATCTGTGGTGTCTTGGAAATGTTGAGGCGACCATCTGACGAAACAGTATTGCTTTGTTGACATCTAGGGCCACGCAGGAACTTTCGAAAATGTCTGTCTTTCTCCTGTTGGCTTGTTGATGTCCAGCAGGCATTAGACACTTTAAAGCCTGCAATCCACGGTGTCAGTTGATAGTTGCCTTGGCTAGAGAGGGCACGTCGCATGTCAGCATACTGGATTTGTACAATTGTGTGAAGTTTGTCTATTAAATCCGGAATTTTTAATGATTTCGAACTGGTACATAATTTGATGATTTTGTTCATGTTCTCACAGGCATTGTTAGTCCAATGTAACAGAAATGCTTTTGGTCTTTCTCTTGAAGGCAGGAACATGTCAGTTTTTATAGTTTTAATGACTTTAGAAAGGTAAAACTAGGAATCGGGAAAGTTGTTGAAACAAAGTCTTCTAGTTCCATTGATTTATTTCGAACTGATAGGAGTCATTTTTATTCACCAGTCCGGAGGGTCCAAAAACCTTCCGATGAATGAGTCGTATCTGCTGATCTGAAGGGCCAGCCTGATGTCGAAGGTGTCTTTATATATTTTGCTCTGTGTGCCGTTCACATAAAATGTGTGTGGAAGCGGGGAAACAGTTTCGGATGGCCTGAATCAAGCCCCTTTCTTCATCAGATCCAATTACCAGTTGTTTCCCTTGTGTCTGAGTCCCCCAAGATTTGAATCTAGAAGTGCCTGGGTATATGAAAAGAATCTGTGATATGTTAGGTATGACACATCCCAGTGAAGGTAAATGGGGCCTAGCTTTATTGGATGGGCCTCTGTACCTTTTCTGTATAAGTTTCGGATGTTGAAACACTAATAAAGTCACAAAACATGCCCCTAAATTGAACGTCTTGTCAACGCCAAGTACAACTGTTTTTTTTCTGAGGCACTTGTACAGAACGGTTTTAATTCCTGAATTTGATCCTGTGTGTATGAAATTACTGACGGCGGTTTTCCTTTACACTGAATAATGAACTCGGTGTTAATGAGTGAGTGAGTTGGGTTTAACGGTGCTTTAACATTATTCCAGTTATCTCACGGCATGTCAGCTTAATGTGGGAGGAAAGCCCGAAGTGACGCAGGTCTCAGACGTTTACCACTTCGCTGAGACCTGCGAGTACGGGTATGGCTTCTGACAAACCCAGAAACATAATCGGAACGAACCGGGATTCGAACCCACAATCATAGGCTTCGGGAGTGCCCAGGGGACGCAACTCTGCACAGCGAATCGCGGCGCCTCAGACGACTGGGCCACCCGTGCCCCCGAATCGCGTTAATGATGCTGATGAGGTCGTCTGCGGTGTTCTGTCGCTTGGTACCCTTGTCTTTTCTCACTGACTGTTTTTTGAATTTCCGTGAATGGCACAGGACTGTCAAAATGTAAATAAAACGATAGTTCAGACAGACGACAATGAGCGTATACAGATCGTTTGATCGGGGGAAAACAGAAGCGCCTTTGAGCAGTTATTGACTGGAAGACAAGCTACATGTGTCATTTAGATTTAAGAGTGGTTTATGTAATTATTTTCTAGCTATATGTTATTTTTCATAATTAATACAAGCTTGGTTGATTGGTTTGTTGTTTTACGACGCACTCAGCAATATTCCAGCTATATGACGGAGGTCTGTAAAAAAATCGAGTCTGGACCAGATAATCCAGTGATTGATATGAGCATCGATCCACACAATTGGGATGGATGACATGTTTCAACCAAGTCAGCGAGCCTGACCACCCGATCCCGTTAGTGGCCTCTTACGACAAGCAGCCGGGCCTCTAATAGACGCCGGGTCGATCAATATCATACGGATATCTACGAACACAAAATATTTCCATTTCGTGACGATTCGGGACATTCCTGATTCTAGGTTTGTCAGCATGTCCGTGCTCGTGGATTTCACTTACCGTTAATGTTAATTACTCCGGGCTTGCCTCCCTAATCAACTGAAATACTGCTCAAAGTGGCCTAAAGCCAAACACGTTTAGCTTCATTGTTTATGGACGAAAGCATTTCTTGGCCATGTAAAGAAGTACAGCCAAGTTGGACGGAAGACGAAGTGCTGTGCAAGCGCTCGTCATTTTCACCGAAAAGTCTAGGATGAGTTGATTTCTGTGAAATTCACGATTCCTAGCACAAATTTATTTCAGACAGCTTCACTTTGGAGACTGTTTGGAAGTATTCGTTCATCGATACGATGAGATTGCAGGCAAGTTGAATATTATTTCGTTTTACATTTGCACTGATAAGACTTGTTTACTAACTCAAATACTTTGTAACTAACGCTTGGCCTTTTGCTCGTTGTATCGCCTGGCGAAAATAAATGTTATCAGAAATGATTGTCATCATGGTCAGACATGTCTTCCAGTTGCGTTGTTTGATGGAATTGTCATGCTCGAGAAGAATAAGCGTTAGATCCACAAAATGGTTGCTAAAAATACTGAAGGGGTCAGATCCGACTCGTCCGCTGCTCATTAGTTAGTTAGTGGAGTTAGTGGAGTTAGTGGTTATTAGCTGGTTATTAGGGCAGGGACGGGTAACTCGGGTACTTGGGTCGGGTGGGTCCAGAGTAGGACCCGGGTACCCAAAGGACTACCCGGACCCGTGGTTAGTCACGTGATATATTGTTTAATGACAAAAATTATCTAAAACTCTATGGTTACACTTCAAGTCACTAATGTTCCCATTTCTTTGTGACAATGCACCCATTCCTTCTGACTTTTATATGTTTGAATAAAGATAAAACTCCATGCAGTAAACTTCAGTGTATGCATGACCAGATCATTTTACACATGGATCTAAATTCATTTTGCCAGGGCTACTGTCAAACTTTTCCAAATTGGACAGTTTGTATCTATCTCTAAATATCTACAACGCGTACCCGGGTAGAGTCGTCAGGTAATAGGGTGAAGGGTACCCGGGTAGTAAATTTGGACTCGTCCCAGCCCTACTGGTTATGTTAAGTAACTACATTTTAGGAGGAAACAACTTCCATATTTCCCTAGTCTGGCACTAATGGACTAGGCCTAGACCAGTAGATGTGCCTACCGCTGCTAATGGCTTGAATATATAGGATGAGAGAGTAGTGGTGGGCACTTGGATGAACATGTTGTAGTAATGGCTGTTGCAGTGGCAGTTACTGTGACTCATTCTACCAGCAAAATATTTGTTGTCTAAAGTGTAGCCTAAAACAAGCGTTTTAATTATTTAAAGAATGGGAATATTGTAACTTGTTCAGTATTGATGACTATGGCCCGTGAAGATCTGGGTTAGAATTGGTCTCAGCAACCCATGCTTGTCGAAAGATGCGACTAACCATGCTAACAGGATCAGTGGTCAGGCTTGCAGAGTTGGTTGATGCATATCATTGTGTCACAAATGCATATTGGTCGATGCTCATGATGTCAATCACTGGATGGCTTGGTCCAGACTTGATTATTATTACAGACCTCCATCTTAGAGATGGAACAACAAACAAAATGCTGACCGGCAATGATTAAAACGACAATAGCCACCTCTGATTGAAACAACTGGTTTGACATAATGACAGCCGCATCACCACAGAATCTATTACTTTAGGATAAATTCTACTTTAACGGTTATTGTTAGTAGACACTTTGAAATCATGATATGTACATTAAGGTTACGTATTGCAGAGTTGCAGTATGTGTGAATACATTTTGGGCAGAAATCATGATAGAAATCGACAAGGAGAGTGTATTTCAAGCTGCAGGGACAACAGAGTAGGTTGAAGTTTTTTGGCTTTTGCTGGTCTTGCTTTATCTACTTTAATGTGCCCACTTCATGTTGGCTTACAAAGTAGCTGTGTTACACACTTTCTGTGCCTCCCATGTATGCAAGTAAATTATTGTGCAACAAATGTTATATTTGGGAGAACTCTTTCTTAGTGAAATACAGATTCTTGTACTTTTTGGGTTGAGTCCCAATCTGGGATTCGATCAGACACTGCCAGAGTAAGGCACCTATCGCCAGCACACATAGTCAGCAATCTAACCCACTTAGCCGCCAAGGCTTCCACACAAATGAAAGCCCGACAACTGGTAGTCAGACCACACTCTCTGTAAATTGCCACGGCTTCCATTGCCGAAAGCTTTGAACACACAATGCCATTTAGGAAGTGGTAAAATATAACAAATGTTATATTTGTGATAGCCAAAGACCCGGGTTCGATTCCCAACATGGGTACAATGTGTGAAGCCCATTTCTGGTGTCCCCCGCCGGATGTTGCTGGAATATTGCTAAAAGTGGCGTAAAACCATACTCACTCACTCACTATATTTGAGATAACACTTTCCAAATGGTATTGTGTGTGTGTGTTTATATTGTTGTAAACAAATAATATTTGAACATATAAAGTGCCATTCTTTGTGTAAGGGCTGTTATCTGTGCTTCAACCCATTCTGAACAGTGGACTAAACCCAATGCTGCTTTACTCCATATCTTTGCAAACACCAATGATTTCATGTTTAAATGCTTCATGGTGGAATGGGGACAATCATGCTTTGTAGAGATAGGTTACCTGTAGTCTAACCACTTTAAATTTAACATTTAAAACCTCACATACTGCGTTTGGTTCCAAATTCAACTGAAATTGAAACCACAGTGTGTTTACTTAAGAAAATAATTGATGATAAGGACAAGATCAACTTCCACACTCAGAAGGTTGTGACATACAATAAAATATAATAGAAAGTTTCCCATGTATGGAATCAAAATGCTCTATTCTATATGTGGATGTCATATGCATGTCAAGCTGATCAGTTGACAGGCTGATTGAGTTCAAAATACAAAACAGGTCTTTAAATTAAGTTAGTTTGGGAGTCATACTTTGCACAGATCTCTCTATTGTTTTGTGAAGTTTGGAAGATTTCATTCTGTTAGCATTAGTGGGGTGTAACAAACACTGTGCATCATTTGTATTACCTGATCTGTCTTAAGTGAGGCATGACAGTCTCGGCCATTTTGACCCAGATATTTTATGTAGTGTTTGCAGACATCAATGGTTTACAATGTACACTGCCGTATCCACTTGTCTAACTCGCCCGTATCATTTTCTAATTTTAAGACAATTTTGAAGTGCAAGTTGTCAATTCAGAAAACACATGCACATGATGTAGGCCAGTTGTAATATTTCATTAACATGTTTCTGAACTAATTGGTAATTATGAGTCATCTGAACTTATTAAATATACTGAACAACAAAAGTTCCTGTGACATTGACTAAGATTGAATGCAAAGTTATGTTTTTTACCAAATCTGAAACAATTTTGGTTTGCAACAGATAAAAGACTCCTGTAAGTGTTCAAATGGTTTAATTTGCCATACTGACTTCAGAAAATGCATGATTTCATAAAAAACATGAACATGCCAAAATGTCAATTTACAAATCAATAGCATGTGTGTCCACCTCTGGTTGCCATGCAAGCAACACATCTTCATGGAATGGAATGGACCATGCATCGCACAAAGTCCTGTGGGATATCTGTCCATATCTGCTGGAGCATGTTTCGAAGTTCCTGGAGTGTCAGTGGAACACGTGGTTGACGTCGAAGGCGCCGATCCATCTCATCCCACATGTGCACGATTGGTGAGAGATCAGGGGAGCGAGCCGGCTAAGGGATAACATTCATGTTGTTTTCTTGAAGAGATTCCCGAACAAGTCGAGCAATATGAAGCCCGGGCGTTGGTATGTTGAAAGGTAATGCCTGTGCCATGACGACGCAAAAACGGTAGAACAACAGGGCCAATGAGCTTGTCGCGGTAGCGCTGTCCATTGAGATTTCCCTCTACCACTATCGAAAGGGTCCTCTGTCTTGCTGTAGTCCCACCCTATACCAAAACGCTGCAGCCCCCGAACTGATCTTCTTCCATGGCACAATGATTGACGTAACGTTCACCTCGATGTAGGTACACTCGAATCCGTCCATCGCTGTGGCTGAGGTGAAAATGAGACTCGTCAGTGAATAGAACTTGTCCCCAACTGCATGGCCGTCCAGCGTAGACGCTGTCTGCACCACTGTAGACATGCTTGACAGTGGTTTCCTGTCAAAATGGGACGTCTGGCGGGTCTTCTGGCGACAATCCCTGCACATCTGAGGCGACGACGTACGGTTTGTGAAGATATTCGTCGAAGGCCAGGGATGCTTCTTGCAGTCACTGTTGCTGGCTGGAATCGATTTCTTAGATGTGTTGTTCGAATCCATTTGTCTTGTCGATTATTGGTTACGCGTGGCCTGCCACTCCGAGGATGGTCTCTGACTGCATTCGTCTGTTGTCAACGTTGCCATAAACACGGAGATTGTGTTTCTGTGGACGATATATTGTCTCGCAGACGCTCATTATTGGACAGGCGTGGCATTTCATAATGTTGAATAATTGCGTAATTTTGTTGTTTATCCGAGTGGTTGTTGTAGGCACGATGCTAAACAATGCATATGGAATCCCGTTAACGCACATGTTTTTATACCCATTCTTGGGTAGTGAAATGCATGGGGCTTGCATAAAAGTCAACTTTTGCATGGAATGCATGCTTTTCTGTAGCAGTTGCGTTTTTGTGACTTGATTCCATACATGTACTACACTATTGAAAACCAAACTTTACTTGTTTGAAAATTACACTAAAATATTGTTGTCACAGGAACTCTTGTTGTTGAGTATAATTGACGCTGAAATTTTGTAAAACTGTTAAACATATTCAAACCAGTTTTAACGTAGTTAAAGCATATTCACTCAAACAATTATGCTGGAGCTTAAACTGTAGCAGACCGCCTCCGTGGCCTAGTGGTAGAGCGGAAGGTCTGGGGTTCGACCCCCGGCCGGGTCATACCAAAAGACGTTAAAAGATGGTACTTGTTGTTACCCTGTCTGGCGCTCGGCATTAAGGGGCTAAAACAAGGACTGGTCGGCTTGGAGTCAGTATACTGTGTCTGAGTGGGGTATTCATGTTAAACTGCGGCATGGTATCTCTGTGTGCTAGCACTATAAATCGGCATCAGTCCGGACTAGTACAAGCAGCCACACACACACACACACACGTGCATGCACGTCGCTATATAAGTGCAATAATCTTGGACGAGAGGTTAAACCCAATTTCACCTCACCTTAAACTGTAGCAAATAACATGAATAATAAGGAATCTCTAAAACAGTTGATGTTTGGATGTCAATGCTGCCTAGTTTGACGTGAGTGGGTAGGACTCTTTGACCCCAGCAGTGATTACTCACCGGATGCCCATTGTGTAACTCCTATTCTTCAAATGACATTGTTATATACTTGTTACAACTACTGCTCAATAAACAGTGTTTGTGTATATATTCAAGTTGTTATTTCCGCTATTCAGAGTGTGATAAATGCGAAACTTCATTAATGCGAACAAAGACCACTCGCATTTTTCGCATTTAATTCACCAGCATGATACAGTTAAATTTATAGTTTCAGTTATTGCTACAATGGAACCTCATTACAATTGAATGTACTGTGGCATGAACATGGTGATATAAACTCGATCAGGTATCAACTATAATCATGATAATAAAATATGTTTCTTTTAATTAAAAAAGGCCTCATTAAGTTCATTAAGTTCATGAGTGATATATCGTCTATTAAACTCAGACCCCTCTCAATTGTTAGTTTGTCCAACATTATCAAAATGAACATGTTTTGTTCTTAATTTCGAACACTGTCAATATTATGAATTCATCAGTAATTGTGTGTTTACATGAAAAGGTCTTCAGCAACCCATGCTTGCCATAAGGGGTGACTATGTTTGTCGTAAGAGGCGACTGATTTGATCGGGTGGTCAGGCTCGCTGACTTGGTTGATGCTTGTCATTGTATCCCAATAGCGTGGATCGATGCTCATGATGTCAATCCCTGGATTGTCTGGTCCAGACATGATTATTTACAGACCGCCATCAAATAGCTGGAATATTGCTGAGTGAGGTGTTAAACAACAAACAAACATGAATTTGGAATCATTGACATTAAGGAAATGTGATATAGCTGTCATTATTCAGTTTCTATTGTCGGCATATGCAACAAAATAGGCCATGCAAAAAGGGCATCTCAAATGTTCTGAGAAGTTAAAAGATTAAAAATAATATCCATTTATTGGGCATGTTGGGTACTATTTTCTTTTATATAAAATACCTAGTTTGGCACACCCCTTAAATCATATATCACTGAATATAGGTGAGCTTCTGTACTTGTGATACTCTGGTTAACATTAGCATGATTATGGTTCACGTGACAAAGATCTCTTGACAATACTTTTGTTCTGAATGTCAAACACCACATTCACAAATATTTTTAATCCCTGTACTACGTTACAGGTTATTGGTCAGTTTTGACCTCAACATTCAACAACAACAATAACACCAACAACAACAATGCCAGTACAAGGACCACCATGGACAGAGTTCCTGTCCTGCCATGTCTGCTTCAGCATGTTCGATGAGCGGCTTCACCGCCCCATCAGTATGGGCTGTGGTCACACTGTCTGCAAGACCTGCCTCATCAAACTTCAGCATGGCAAGTGTCCCTTTGACCAGAGTGCCATCACTCGCAATGTGGATGAGTTTCCAGTGAACTATGCGCTACTGCAGTTAGTGGGTGCAGCTATCCCGGAGGAAGTCCGTGATACGGAAGAGAGTCTGATCAACTCGGATGACCTCCAGTACTACGAATCTGCCCAGAAATGTATTGAAGATCTGGCTGTGTATCTGAAATCAGGTGAGGTTGCTGAATATTGTTGAAATATGTATGATTACCAGTAACTGAGAATTGGTATAATAACTGGTCATAACACACCCCAGATAGTAAATAATATTAGCACACATGTTACAATGCAGAGGTGCTCAAAATATCTTTCCAAATTTATGATTCTTGTTTTATCAGCACAATACCCATGCTTGTAGGTTTTACAAATGGCAAATTGTCTTTAGCATTGTATCAGATTAGGCTGATGCACCGTAAAGTCCTCTCATAATGATAGTGAAATATGCTATTGTTAACGTCAAGGTTAAGGAATTGAAGTTTGAAATGAGTGTTATTATAAAGCTGTCTTCTTCCTTTGTTGTTCAAAAAGAAACTTATCAGAACAGGTTGCACTGATTTCCTTTGTTCCTTGTGTATGTAAATGAAGTACTTAATTTCCAGCAGACTCTGCTGACCTCAAGTGTGATGGCGCCCTGGATGATGAAGATAATGGGAAAGGAGGGCACCTTCTCAGCAGCAGTACTCTGAGTCGACCGATGCAGCGCAAACTGGTGTCCTTGGTCAACTGTCAGCTGATCGAGGAGGAGGGGCGATCCCGTGCTATGCGGGCGGCACGGTCACTAGGGGAGCGCACAGTCACAGAGCTGATCCTGCAGCACCAGAACCCACACCAGCTCTCCGCCAACCTGTGGGCGGCCGTGCGGGCTCGAGGATGTCAGTTCCTCGGACCAGGTAAGTTAAAACTTATATATTTTAGTGAAAAACAAGGAATTACTTCACCCAGAAGGTCAGTTAGTTATACAGTAAACTACGTTGATAACGAACACTCTTATGACGAACTGACCAATATAACAAACTTACTTTTTAGTCCCGGCCATTTGTTGTATACAGTCAGGTCTCATTAATCCGACACTCGTTAATCCGACACTCGGCTTTATCCGACACTAATGATGGGAACTGATTAAATCAGTGCTATTTAGACACCTTAATCCGACAGTCTGGCACTCTGACTTCAAATCACCTAATTTGCAATGAATTTCCAAAATCACTCATTAATCAGTCTCGTTAATCCGACAGTGATCAGCATACTCCGTGGTCATCTGCCCGCGAGTACACAGCCACATGTTTTGATGTGAGATGAGTCGTCGAGTAGCTGCATATTTCAACGACTGCAGAGATAAACTTGCTTAACAATAAACAATTACTGCTTTAAATAAACAAAACAGGATTAATCACATGTCTAGATTACCTCAATCTCTTAAAATCGGATAAAAGTTCTCGCTACCGCTGAGGACATCCCATTACAGGTCACTTCAGAACGACCTTTCACGAACTTTGACCGACCAATGCAGGGTTAGAAACTAACAGTTTTTGTCCACTAGTCCTTATAATGATAACATATAGCAAAACCCTTATAATTGGCCAATTTCTACTAGTCCTTAGGATACCTTTACCATTGGGCAGTTTGGTAAGGACTACAGGACTAGTGCCAATTTCTAACGCTGCAATGAAATTGCTAACAGGAAGTCAACATTAGCCACTAGGAAATCAGCTTTCTTAAGCATTGCGGCACTAGTTTCAAATTGGTGACTTCTATTCCAGACTATGCTTTAAAACGTATTTTGAATCAGTCATATATTGTGTTAAACTTTTGAGGTTGCATGATTAGAAAACATGTATATATATATATATATATAGTGCCTTTTTCCTCTCTTTTTATGACAATGTGTTTGAATTGTTATCTATCGTGTAGTTGTCCGATTTTTGATCACAAACGTTGATACTACCTAATTTTGTTTATCCGACATACCCGTTTATCGGACATAATCATATGCAACCAACAGATTCGGATTAACGGGACTTGACTGTATATGATGTATATACAGCATTAACAAACTACGGTTACTGTATTACCAACTAAAATTAGTGGTCCTTTTGAGTTCGTTATAACCGTAGTTTACTGTACACAGATAACAGGTTGTCCAAGTATACAGGATGTTTGCTAAGTACTATCAGTGTGTTTTGACATGAAGGGTTTGTGTTGTGTTAAGGTCTATGCCTATCACTGATTGATGTGATGATGTCCATGTAGTTATTCTGGCGTAGCAAGATATGTATCTTATACTGACCAGTGCATCAGGATACATACCATATCTTGGCCTTCTGTATCATTACGGGGCGGTCGGGTAGCCTAGTGGTTAAAGCATTCGCTCGTCACGCCGAAGACCCGGGTTCGATTCCCGACATGGGTACAATGTGTGAAGCCCATTTCTGGTGTCCCCAGCCGTGATATTGCTGGAATATTGCTGGAATATTGCTAAAAGTGGCGTAAAACCATACTCACTCACTCACTAACTCTGTATCATTACTCCTAATTACTATGGCATACGAAGTTACCCATTTCTTAGCATTAATACCCTCAAATTTAATTACTGTTCCACCGTTGAAATGCTTTGGCTTTAAAAATGAAAACAACCTATATTCATGCATACTGCCCTCGTCACGATATGGCTGAAATATTGCCGATGTGACGTTAAAAATTAACTCATTCACTCATGCATACTGCTTTACAATATGATTATTCGTTTATTACATACACGTGGAATCATTAGATGTTGTTATGCTATGTCATGTATATGTCTGATATATATTGGTTAAAAGGTTCCATGTTTCTTCTTCGGCTCGTTTTGAAGTAAATGTTGTAGTAATAATTAATGGTCTTTTAATGGGAACTTGTTTAGTAATCTCTGTATATCAGGACTTTACCTCCATCGACATAATAAGTTCTAACAGAGAAATTGGGTGTGGGGTAATTATTAATCATACCTCACTTAATCTTTCTGAACCCTAAGTTAATGGGCATGCTTTTGTCTATCGGTCTATTTGACACAAGACCCCAGACTTACCTGTTGTCTGAGTCTCTGCGTGATGTTGTCAGCTATGCAGGAGGAGGTACTGAAGCTGATCCTGCTGGTGTTGGAGGATGCGTCATCGCTGTCAAGGAAGGTGCTGGTGCTGTTTGTGGTGCAACAGTTAGAAGACAGTTATCCTCAAGCCTCCAAGACTGCTATCGGACATGTTGTACAACTTCTCTACAGAGCTTCCTGTTTTAAGGTAATAATGGTTTCTTGTTTTTGTTTGCACGACTTGGCAAAGTAAAACATCTGCAACCTGTGTTCCCTTTATTTTGTCTCTGTCTTATTTATTTGTACCATCTTTAGGTTACAAAGAGAGAAGAAGAGTCATCGCTGATGCAGCTGAAGGAGGAGTTCCGTACCTATGAGGCACTACGACGGGAACATGACTCCCAGATTGTCCAGATTGCTATGGAGGCAGGACTTAGGATTTCCCCGGAACAGTGGTCATCTCTGTTATATGGAGACACAGGCCACAAATCCCACATGCAGTCCATAATTGACAAGGTTAGTCATTCATTCATTCATCTTCCCATCCATCATTCTCGTCCATCCATCCATCCATCGTTCTCGTCCATCCTTCCTTCATTCTTGTCCATCCATCATTCTCTTTTCATCAATCCATCCATCATGTCCTGCTTGCCACGCTGAAGACCAGGGTTCGATTCCCCACATGGGTACAATGTGTGAAACCCATTTATGGTGTCCCCTGCCGGGATATTGCTGGAATATTGAAAGTGGCGTAAAACCATACTCACTCACACACTCACTATATTTGGGATAACACTTTCCACTTACTCACTCACTCATTTACTCACTCACTCTTATCAACCCAACTATCCATCCATCATTCTCATCCACTTATCTGGGGGGCACGGGTGGCCCAGTCGTTTCTAGGTTTGTCAGCACCATACCCGTGCTCGTGGGTTTCACTGAAGTGGTAAACCTCTAAGACCTGCATCATTTCGGGCATTCCTCACACATTAAGCTGACACGCCGTGATATAACTGGAATGCTGTTGAAAGCGGCGTTAAACCCAACTCACTCACTCACTCAACTTATCTGTCATTATCGTCTGCTCATGTGTAATTATCATCTACCCATCGTTCAATCCATCATTCTCATCTACCCATCCTTCATTCTTATCCACCCATGCATCATTTTTATCCATCATTGTCATTCTTCCATCTATACATCCATCATCCTTATCCACCCATCCTGTATTTTTATCCACCCATCCAAATTTTCCAGTTCACGTTATTGTTATGACTAATTTTATGGCTTTGTAGAGGTGACTTGTCTTTCACTGATAATAATGAGGAATGAAGATTCTTTAATGAATAGTTTTACACTATTTCATTGAAAAAAGTCAATGAAACAATAATCCCAACTTTGAAAGTAGTCATGATTTGTTCCCTGCCACCATCTTGTATCGACACATTTCAAAATTATTTTAATTATGTGGACATCAAATACAATGGTACTGTATGGGCATTTATAATTGGGTAGTGAGAAATTTTGTAATTTGTCCAAAACATTCAGTGGAATTGACATTTACTTTGAAGATGCTGAAATAGCAGCCAACTTTTATTAGATCAAGATAGTGTTTGTTCTGTTTTCTAATTGGATGTTTTTCTGTGTCCAGCTCCAGACTCCCCAGTCTTTCTCGCAGAGTATCAGTGAACTGGCCATTGCCCTCCAGAGAACCGGTGACCCGTGTAACCTGCAGCGTCTCCGACCTCACCTGGAGTTCCTGGCTAATATTGATCCCAACCCAGGTAATTACTCTCTCTGTACCTGTAAACCCTAACCCAAGCATGTTTCTGCTCTCAGTACCTGTAGTCCCCCATCCAGGTAGGATGTTACGCCCAGTAGCTAAAGTATGTTTTTGTGTGTGATGTACAGAGGCTCCGCCCCCGTCATGGGAGAACCTGGAAGCCGTGTTGAAGGCCCTCCGCACTGTGGTGCAGGCGCTCATCGATTTCTTCACCAACTTCAGCCAGAAGAAGAACGAGCTGCTTCCTCTACAAAATGCTCGCTACAAGACAAGCATGTGTCGTGACCAGACACACAATGGCATGTGTCCACGAGGAAACTCATGCACCTTTGCGCACTCACAGGAGGAACTTGAGAAGTAAGACTTTCCTGGCCCAATCTCACAATGCACCTCAGTGCTACTACCTGTCTTTCTTTATGTGTAGATTTGGCAGTAAGCTCCTTTTTCAAATTTGAGTGCCAAATACTGTATCTTGAATCATTACGGTTGCTGCAAAGACAAAGTACCCCAATATTCAATCAACTATTGTAATATTTAATCATGGCATCTGTGTCAACCCTAACATTCCACTCTTAGTGCAGTGGAAGGCAGGACAAGTAATATTCATCAGTAGGGTAACATTGCTAGTTCGTCATGTCATCAGTGAAAGCTACAAATGATATGATATATGCTAGCTGGAGCATGTTTTATTCGCTGCATAAGTCTCTTATTTAGCTGATAATATTTTCTAACCTGCAGATACCGAGCCCGCAGTAAGAAGCTTGGTGTGAAGGGGACAGGGGTGATGCCCACATTTGCTGCCCTCAGTCCAAAGGAGAAGGCAGAGCTGGACCAGGTGACCAAAGTCACAAACGAGAAACTAGCTTCCTATTCAAAACTGGCAGGAAATGTCAGCACAGGGAAGATCCATAGTGAGAACACGCCTCCCAAGTGAGTCAACGATTTCCATATGATTTCCTTTCATTATAATGCTGTTGCATTTTAAAAGTTCTTGAAGCTGCTTCTTCCTGTGGTTATGGAGCACCCTTTTATGTGGACGGTCATAAGTGAAATTTTCCCTACATGGTTTTCTGTCTAAAATAGAGAAATCATCACCTGGTTGAAAAATATAGGAAAAGCTAAAGTATATTCATGTCGTGCTGAGGTTTAGTAGAAACATTTCAAACTTTTCCTGTTCATGTTGACATATAGAGGTCCTCCTGAAAATTCCCTCTTTGGATGAACATGAAGTAAACACAAAGCAAAGCTGCTACTGTGAACTGTTTGAGGCGAGGGATTTTGCTTATTTTGACTTGTCTCAACAGCACTTAAATTTCAGATGCATCTGCATCATTGATCCACACTAGTATTTAGTGAATATATTATTCCTATTGTCAAATATCTTTTTCTCTTAAGATATTAAATCCCAGACTTCATCCCATTGAAGAGTAAGGTATGAATATCATCTATTTCAGACTCATGTTATCAACAAGTGTGGCCTCCTTGACACAGACTCTCAACACTATGTCAGTGTCCCCCAGACAGCACCCTCCCTCGGATCGCTCGCCTGCCCCTCTCGGACCCAACAGTGGGATCCCCCGGGGCAACCCCACCCCCAGTGTGGCTACACCGGCCCACTATCGGAAACCCAGTCTAGGAACAGGGCCTGCTGTCAAGGAAACATTTTACCACACACGTATGCCGCAGGGGGCTACTCGAATGTCACCGTATGAAATGCCATCAGCTGAAGGTATGTGGTTTTGTCATTCAATGGAAGTCATTTATGTAAAGTTCTTTATGATTCAGCCTTGGGTCCTTGGAATGTTCACACATTAAACATACTTTGATCCTTGAATAGGACATGCAATTCTGTTTATGGTACCACTCCAATTGCTGATAAGAATGAGCAAAATTAAAGCAGGCGTGTGTGTTTTTTAAGAAGAGTCATTTTAGGCAAGTGTGTTTTTTTAGTGGTTAACAGTTTAATAACAACTATGCTATTTCACAATTCTTGACAGGTCCGATGATAAATCCTCCATATCACGTTGCTCACCGTGGCCACCAGAGAATGAGAGTGCCTCAAGGACAGTATCCCACAATGCACTACTCCCAGCAGGATCCTACAGGCAACCCCTACGTCATGTGTGACCATCAGCCTCCCACATCACCACAGCACTACTGCAGCCCGCACGACAACACCTACGGATCACCGGTGCCGTCAATGACGCCCCCGAGCTATTCATCCTTTGACTACCCAGTGTGCTACCAAGGGGTGCCAACGTCACCATACCAATCACCATCGACAGGAGCTCCATACCAGGTAAGGAGTCACAGTTTTCTATGATTGGTTTGTTCATGGTAAGTATAGGTGTTGATATTGCAATATTTACGGTTTTCTATTCCAACTCGGTTTTTGGATGTTTGAACGCTCCGCAGGACAGTGTTCAAAAACTGAGTGGAATGTTGTGAAACATCTAGCATTATAGCTTTCAACGTGAACTGCTGCTGTTTCCAATTTCACCCTGGATTATGATGATGTACACAGTGGGCTGTATCCCACAGGTCAAAGAAACTTGAGAACCTTTTCCCATGGTTTGGAAGAAACAAAAGCATATTAATGTGAAAGTGAATTGGATTCCCGTGGAATTATTTTATTTCTAAACTTGATATCTTAAAGATTTATAAAAGAATATGACCTTATAATCCTGTCTGTGAGCTGTGGGATGACAGCCTATGCTTCTTGTAAAGGTGTAATTTTTATCTTCAGCTTACCAATCTACTTGTTCATTTGTGTATAGTTATCATCATCACCTGCATTCTGTTGGTTCCTTCATTTGATTTTCATATGATACACAACACTGTAGATTCCTACAAATCCTTGAATAGATCAACATGATAAGGAGTACATACTACAGTTTCTTTCGATCTAGTAAGCTTTGCTTATAAAAGTCCACAAATTAATACTGAGATCTACTGAAAATATCTTGTTAACACACAGGATCGGGTTAGTAGACTCAAAAGTTTTTTGCACAGACTGTGTCAGTGTCCTTGTTAATAGTTTTGTCAAATCCTGTTTTATAGCACAGAAAGTTGTGTCATATACAGTATGAAATTAATTTGGTGATGTGACAGCAAATTGTATTAGCTGTCTCCTGTTCAAGGATTTATTTTACAGGAAACCTCATACCAAATTTCTACATACAAGCCCAAAACTGCCTAAAATATGATTATGTTCAACAGGAACTAGTTCTGATTGAAAATGATATTGACATTCATAATTGAATTTCTTGTATGTTGAAATATGATTGACTCATACATCTTCATAATTTATTCATTATCATCTCTTGGACTCCGAAACATGGCTTTAGTATTAAAGAATGTCTATCAATGGGTTTTAGTGCCCATGCTGTATCTGTCAGTGGACACTTATGTTGGCTTATTATTGAACAGGTGTTTCTCTACCTATCTTGTATTTGAATGATGATGTTGTCTCAGGACAATTGAATCTTAGCAGGTCTTGATGAATACTTATGTAGTGTGTTCAGAGTTGATGAGTGTCTTCACAGAGATGCTGACATTAATACTTTGACTTGCACTTGTCAAAGAATGTCAGGAAATTGGCTAATAGTTTGGATCATTGTTTAAAACATGGCAGGATTATTCAGTTTCTGGTATTCAAACATCATGCAACATGTTCCGACTAGTATGTCCTTGATCCATGGCAGAAATTTGTTTCTGTATTGTTGATTGTTGTGGAAATAAACCATCAGGTGCGTTAGTAATTTGACCTGACTCTTGTCCTCATGGAGCCCTGAATTCAGTTGTAAGATCTAAAACAATCATTTAATCAGTAGGTGTCTGCAACTTTCTAGGCAGGATAAGAAATGGATTTGAAGTGGGTGTATTTAGTGTCTCTGGCAGAATGAAGTGTTGATGCTCAAACCAAGCAATTTTGAGACTGGACTAGAATGTGGTACCTGTACAAACATGTATATTGCAGCCCTTGAAGGATTCAAACTGATTGATTGTGTTGAGTCAGGCTTCTTAATTTTTAGGCTGAGTTTTGGTATATGTAAGTTTCTTACCACAGTTGACACACATTTATGAAAACTCTCGCTTGCTAAATGTAATTTTAATGGTAGTGTTTTCAGAAACCAAAATGTGAATGTATATCCTGACTTGCTATAAGACAGTCTGCTTTCGTCAATTTCTTTCCATTTGGCAGTAACATTTATCTTTGAGACAACTGGCTGCTGATTATGGATGAATAGTACTTGGCATTGCAACCATCAGGAGAGATGTGTGTCTTTGTACCCCTAGAATGAAATCTTTGCCCCCACTGTTATCCACTCTCTGGTTACTGTGATGTAGCCTAACTTGAAAACAGTGTTCAACCCAAGTCCCTCAATAAACTTACACTGTATGAAGTGAACAGTGTGTAACAGTAGTGGATCAGATTCATCCTTCAAGGGCTGTTGGTGTAAGGACAGACAGGCATAGAGTTGGTCAGGAATCATAAATTGATGTTGGAACTGTAGCGAAGGATGTTCATTATGTTGGATGATGTTCTCTGTGTAGGGCCATGGCTCACCATGTGTCATTTCTTTCAGAATTACGACAGTTACTTTGTCCAGCGTGGGCCAACTGCGGTTCACGGCTTAAATGTTGTATATTACCCCCCACAATCCCACTATCCGACTCAAGGGTCAAGGGTCATGACCCACATGCCCCCCGACCCTGCCTCCTATCCACTACAAAACTTGCATGTTCAGTATAGCCAGGAGGGTGTCAACGGTGACAAGTACAGCGACTTAGACGAATCAGGGGATGCCACGCTCTAACAGATATCAGCGTCGCCATGTCCAGTTATTTCATTAGTGCATTTTTATGCTGGAAAAGACAGATGCTTAAGTAATGATAATCTCATTGAAACTCATTTCCATTGCGGAATATTTTACCTGATGGAAGGTGGTACAGCATATTAGTGCTGTATGACATTCAACAACTGGCTTTAGTTATTAGAACAAGTCAATTCCTTTAAGATTTGTCATGAATTTGCGATAACTTCACAGACATTTGTCCCCCATGTGATAGATATACTTTGATGCATTGAGATATTGTGTAGGATGTTTGTGATGCTTAACCTAGGGAGCAAACAATAACTTCTTGTCTAGCCTGTTTCTTTGTACATTACATGTATGTTTATATGTTTATATGCTTGTTTAGTTTCTTAAAACCATAGGTTGATCATGTATCAACAAATTCTCAATTCCATTCACTCAACAGTATTCAACATACTTGGTCGTTTCAAATATTTTCCTAGTTCAATGAGAGCTCCCTTGAAAAATGAATACTTGTGAAAATGATTTGTGAAAGTTATAGAAATACTTTATTTGTGATAAATATATTTCACCTGCAAAGTGTGGCAGTGATAAAAAAGAAAACATATTGGTATGAATAAGCATATATGCATGTTTCATAGTTTTTTTTGGAGGTATGAACATGATGAAGTTTTGCATCAAAACACTATTTCTAGTTCATATTGAGACTTCCTGATCACTTTTGAGGGATTTGATAACGGAGACATTCTTTTCTATTGTCTCACATAGAGTGAGTTTCAGACATGTACTGTGTTTGAAACTCGAGTAATATTTCATCAGTTTTCTGGTGGAGACACTATATGTTGTTTCATGAAACACTACGTTCCCATACTGGGACACAAAAGAGCAAGTAATTCAGTAAGGGAGTTGGGCAACTAACAGACTGGAGGCATGTTCTTCCCTTGGAAGGCAATGGTTCTTCTATTTGAAGAAAATTTAGAAGTTGATAATTTTATACACATAGACATTAGGTTTCAAGTTTATTTTCTTGATTGTCCAGATTATTGCTTATATAACTTTCCATTATATTCAGAAGATAATTTTCCATCAGCAGTATAGGTTGTACATAGCATGTGATTTTTTAAATTAAATCATAAATGAATAAACATTGAACTTGTACAGAGAATTTTTTAATGAAAACTATTTTATTCCCAAAAAATTATCACAATATTAGATATATCTACTTGCATGCTTTTGATTCATTTTGTAATAAAATGTGTAAAGGATCAAATAAATGTGGCTATTTTTTTGTGCAGTCGTTTTGCCCTGTTTTGATAATACACAGCCTTGAAAGGTCGTTCACACCATTCCATTTTTCCTATCTGCCCCGCATAAGGACCACAACAAGAATCTTGACTTCATGAGGCAAGATACGAAGCAGTTGAACTGTAAATGTCGACATGTCTACGTAGCACAGTTGTAGTCAGCAGAAAACATGTTAAGCTGATCATTTGGGAGTGTGAACAGTTTTTCAGATGCCCTGCGACAAGCACTCTAACCTACTTTGAAAAAGCATTTCTACTAGCTTACTACTACAGAATATAACCTTCAAAGTCGACTAGCCCGCAAAGCCTACTAGCCCGAAGAATTATATCATGAATGGACATCTTTCATCTTATAGTGCACACTCGTGTATAATCCACACCCCCTCTAGGTGATTCAGTATTTTGGAACCAACATTTGAGTATTATTTATACACGAAAAAAAAGGCCTCACATCCCTTCTGCGAATTCAGGTAAACGAACAGGTGATAAAGCACTTGGAATGCAAATTTGAAATATTACATCACTAGACATTATGATTTCAATTTAAATTGTATTTCTTGTTCTGCTAGGCATTGCTTTACATACAGGGATTAAGATTACTATGTGTATTGTATCGTGAACTATAAGCCGGAATCCGCAATTGGCTGTACACATGGTTTCTCCCAATCTACCGGTGATTCCATCATCCTACAAGACCTACTACATGCATGTACACAGGGATTGGACCTTATTGAAAACCTGCTTCTCAGATAATACCACTCTGTCAGAGTACATTACACACAGTATATCATGCTTAACAATTTCCAATAGTGGACAGATGACAAACAACACAGGTGTTTATGTCATGATGCAGATGTGAAATATGGCATGTGTAAACGAACCTTTACAGCGAAATGAAAAACAGGAAAACAATTGTAATTATCAAGGAAAGGAAAGAATATGCAATAAGCAGATTGACGACCAAGGATCGTATGTTATTGTATTTAGACAGCAAGAGGATCAGAATAGGGAATGTATGAATGTGAGTCATGCTGTCTCCATGCCCTTTTCAAACCTCATAGTGTTCCAGTATCCTGACAAATCGTGAGTATTGGTAGTAATGCCTGTCTGGAATGACCTTCCTGATGCGTACAACCCAATGTGCGAAAACATAAACCATAGTTACTACCTGTGGTTAGTTTTGCTAGTTGTCATTAGCAAGCAGGTAGCGTCTCAGGTTGGTGGTCATGGGCGGGTTTTGCTAACTCAAATGTTTAGGAGTATGTGGTCAATCAGCTAGTCTCAAACGTTGAGATGAGAAGTACATGCATCTTTACATCATCCAACAACTGTTGATCTGGCAAATATTGTTAATTGTGAGGTATTATGAGCAGCCGAAATGAGAACGTTTTATAGCAGGATAGGATGTATGACAGTGTCACTAACAGACTGCTCCCTGTTGCCTTCGTGTTCAGGTCCCCATTTAGGATAAATTGTTTGCTCCTGTATCACATGATGATGCCCCAACCAAAAACTTGGAATTGAAAAAAAGGATAAAAGGTCTTTTGATTTTTTTAAGCCTAAATAAATCATATCCTACATTTTCCTGCTCTCTTCCTTTTCTCAAATGGTGAATGAGTTTTTGTGTGCTCGTGTGTGTGCCTGTGTGCAAGACTTCATGTGTGGACATGTAAGATTACATATTTTTATGAATGTCGATGTACCTGGAAAGTTAGGAATGATTTATTTGAGCCTAAATCTATTTTAGCTTTGTTCATTTTTGAGAAAACGATTTGTGATTTGTTTCACAACAATATTTACTGCTCATTGTAATTGCAACATTTACTAAGAATTCCATGTTTTTTGTTGGGAAGAAAAAGATCTCTTCATTATTGGCTTTCTGAGTGAAAATATGATGTCCATCAAAGTTAGCACAGAGAACATTGCTGATAAGAGAAGTTTGTTCACATTCAGAATGAATTTAAAATTTAAAAATTTGATCAAAGTCCAATCAACAATTTTGAAACTTTATTAAAAAACTTTTTAAGTGTATGTATTTTATGAGTATTTAAGTAAAGGGAGGTAATGAAAACTGTAATTATGATGTCCTCTACAATCCATGAATCCACAGCCAAGTTAAATTGTACAACTACAAATTGTAGTCTGTCCATGACCCTACAATTCTGAAGTAAAGGATCTTGAAACATCTTCTATGCTGCAATGTTTCTCAGAGCAAAATGGCAGTCTCTGGTTGCCTGAACACAGGGGTAGCAGTGGCCGATGAGCGGTCGTATCTAGAACTCTTTCAGTGTCAAGGATGATTGGTCAGCGAATTATTATCCAGCGAATGCGGCCGGGTGACAGCAAGTGAAATGACCATCCTGTCAGGTCAATGGTTAATGCCTGAACGTGAGGTATTTTCTTCAAGCAGTTTCTATCCTATCACAGTAAATATTCAACATGATGATGCATGCCTAAAACATCCTAAATGAGTGTACTCAAGTACATTGATGTAGTTTAGTGGGTATCAGTACACCGTAGTCCTGGAAAGTGGAATCATCAAGCGACGGGTTTCCACTCTATGCTTGATGCGTCCTGCTTCCCTGACAACTAATTAAACCTTTTGATTGTTTGGCTTTGCTTTTATTTGAAATTGCCATTAAATTCTGCTCTTCCCTTGTGCCTCTTGAGTGACTTTTTAAAAGGATTTCATTAACATATATTCTTGCTTTTTAGCAAGCTTTTTATAATTTTATTTGTTAATATGTGTATGATAAATCATATGTCCAAAATCAATGTTTGGTAAATGTGAATATAGTACCATCTTTTTGATGGATGAAGGAAGATGGCTTGGAATGTTGGCGCTCTGTTTGCGAAAAAATGTTAAAATGTGATAAAAGTGATAACTTTTAAGAAGAAAAATGAAACATATCTAAGCCCTCCCAATTTGGTAACACTCTTTACTCCACGAAAATGTATTCACTCCCATAGAAAACAGCCTGTAGTCGGTTGCTCATGGTGTTTTTGGGAAGCAGAGTTGTCAGGCTTGGCGTCTCTGAAAGTTCTGTATCATATACCTGGGTTGTTCCGTTCATTGCATCAACACATATGTTGTTGAGTGAACTTCAAAACGTTATTGTGAGTCCCAAAAACACCATGTTGTGGCAACTATAGTCTGTTTTGGTTCTCAGTCCCACCCTTTCAAGCTGCCTGGAGTTAGGGATATATCACAAGGCAAGATCTTGTTTCAGCTCCCAAAACTTGAGGAAGGTTTTTTCAGAACTCTGTGTGCTTTCTTCTTCTACCAGGGTATGCAGTCACTGACTGATCTCCACAGACGCAGGAACAACATCATTGCACAGCTACATCCGAATAAACCATGTGCTCCTGGCAAAGTGCAATCATCGGGTAATCAACAGACCTCAGCCAGCCCAGTTTTGAAGAAGCAGAAATTCATTGAGGACCTGCCTCGAATCTCATCGTCGGATCTGGTCAAGTCTGTGGCGGACACCTACGTCGCGGCCAGAACTATGTTCTCATTGGCCAACTCAGGTTAGGATAAAACAGAAATGATTTGTTGTGAGAACTTGACTGGTTCAAGTTGCATGCAACCCTGACATCTTCATCACATCTTTATCACAACTTCACCTCATCTTCCAGAAACCCAGATTTAAAAAAAATAACCACATTACCCAACTACAAACCCTTAGGGTCCAACCATTTGGGTGGGTGTTTGAGATCTTGTATGGAGACTAGATATTTTCGGATCTACAGCTGACAAACAAGATATTGTATTAATTAAAACTGAGCTTTTTTTAAAAAAGCCTCATGCAGCCATGAATTTATCGTGTCAGAAAGTTTCTTCTTTTTTTCAACAGTTTGAAGCATGAGTATTTTTTTCATGCGTTTTTGGGGACAAGTTATTTAGCTTTTTTAAGACTTATCCTATCTCACAGTGCGCATTTCCCTTTCTTTCTCATTTCCTATGTAGAAACAATCCTTGAACATGTTTCCAGCTTAAAATAACACACCCCAACACATCCCAGCCATCTCCATGGCTACCATAACCCACAATAGGCTGTGCTCTTGCTAGCTTCCCGCCTAATTGATCACGACGTTCCAGCTTACTCATTCTCTTTCAAATTGCCTTTGTGTGGGAAGGTTTGTTTTTCACTTTGAAGAGAATATATTTTGTTTTGTTTTTTTAATCTGTGAATTCAGTCCTTGCATCATGGAAGTCACAGAAACACAATTTTTGTGATAATTGCAAGACAATGCATGATCCTCATCTGAGATGTTGTGATGGTCAGGGACGTTGCTCTGACAACAAGAAATGTAATAAATATTAAGATCTCTCAGGCTGAATCAAGACATATTTGAGCAAATGCAGTAGATGGGACAATGACAGAAGATCTGAATCCTCTTTTGTTGACCTTCTGGTGAGAAGAAAGCCAAGAAGTTACACTGAAAGCAGTTCGTTCCCTGTCTCCCAAGTTGACAACTGTCAGCAAACCAACCACCTATCCAGCGCTCTCCTTACCAGACAACGAAACATTAGATTTAAGAAATACTAAGGAATCAGAGACATCATCACAAAGATCACAAGAGTGCCGACGCTCATCTGTAGAATCATCCAACAGCGAAGACAGGCGCAGTCACGAGCATGCAGATCGTACTAGAGATCACAGTTCACCTTGATGATCGGGCCAGTTTGGAGGATCAGAGTGTATGCCTTTACAGAAGTTCATTGGATAACTCAGTCGTATGGTCCTTCCCAAGTGGACTTTCAAGCCTTGGTTGACGCTATGCCTGCAGTGCTTGATGAGCAACAGTCGAACAAGGATAAAACGCTCCCACCACAGAACTGCCCTGCTACGATTCCATCTCCGTCACTTAGAGCCAAACCTCAGAGCATTGAACCCACTTTTACTCTACAACCACATAAAACTGGAAGAGAACTTAGGTCAACTTCCACTGGGACCGGAGACGAGAGATTCTTCCATCTCCCACTCAGACATTTTACGATGTGGTCGATCAAGCAGACACTTATGTGGATTGCAGACAAGCTGGCATTTCAGCGGGGACATTCGGATGAGAGCCATAGAACTTGTTTCTTAATGTCCAGTCGCAATTTGGATACGCTCACCCTACCGCCTAAGTCCGCCATCTTTGATTTCTTGAAGGACTTGAATACGTCCTTCTCACTATTTAGAAGAATTAACAACCGAATCCTAATCTTAACCTTCAAGATTGCGATACTCATTGACTCAATAGCCACAGCTCAAGAATTGGATGGAAATATTCACACCCTCAATCTGAAGACATCATTCATCTCTTATGTCCATCATAGACGATCGAGAGCTTTGATTGTAGCTCACGCTTGTACCTTAGAAGAGACTCACAGAGGAGTGACAGCCCACATGCATAAACATTTTCTAGCAATAATGGGCTCGATCTCTTCTAACCTGGGTTGTGAAGACCATTTCAAGTTTCAGCTGTACCAGCAGTCCTGGTCATCTCTCTACCTATTTCTTGATAGTATCCAGTAGTGGTGGGACGATACACCGATGCACCAGTAGATTGCGATTTTTTACTTCTCTCGATCAGTCACACACTAAGGAAAAAATGTCAATTCTGACCTTAAATGTTTGATTTGATAACTGTTCCACTAAACACTAATCAGTAGTGCAAGTCGATAGTGAAAACATAAATATTTTCATTTGTTGTGCCATACTTGACACTGCCAACTGTAAATCAACAGGGAGCCAGATATTTTGCCATCCTGTCTATGAAAAAGATGGCTTATGCACCACAGATAAGAGCACATGCAAGTATCGAGATACATATCGGATCGTGAGTAAGGTATCATGATTGTATCAGTTGGTGTATCGTCCCAGCCCTAGTATCCAGCACGTAGTATATCAAATTAAGAAACATACTGCAGACATGAGTTGAACTCATGAACCTACAGAGACAACAGCTTGGAGATGTGCAGCCACACAGAGAGCACCTTACGTTCCATGACCGCCCCCGTGGTCTAGTGGTAGAGCCTTTGCCCAGGGAGTGGAAGGTCAAGGGTTCGATCCCCAGCTGCGTCATACCAAAAGACGTTTACAGATGGTATTTGTTGTTACCCTGTTTGGCGCTTGGCATTTAGGGGATAAAACAAGTACTGGTCGGCTCGGAGTCAATATAATGTGTCTGTTTCTTTGTTGTTTAACACCGCACTCAGCAGTATTCCAGCTATATGACAGCAGTAAATAATCAAGTCTGGACCAGACAATCCAGTGATTGACATCATGAGCATTGCAATTGGGAAACAATGACAAGCATCAACCACTTCAGTGAGCCTGACCACCCGATCCCCTTAGTCACCTTTTATAACAAGCATAGTCGCCTGTTACGGCAAGCATAGCTTGCTGAAGACCTATTCTACCCCGGATCTTCACGGGTAGTATATTGTGTCTGAGTGGGGTATGCATGTTAAACTGCGGCATGGTATCTCAGTAAGCTAGCACTAAAAATCGGCAGTAGTCCGGACTAGTGCACGCACGCACGCACGCACGCACTTAAGTTTCCATTTAAGTGCAATAATCTTGGACGTGACGTTGAACCTAATTTCACCTCACCTCACCTCACCTTACATTCCAAAATTAATTTTTTTATGTTTTAAATTTAACAGTTAATTGTATATTTATAAATACTTATCCTATCTCACACAATAAACACCAACCCAACCCAACCATCCCAGCAGTACAGTTACAAAAGCCTCTATGATTCGAACAAGAATGAGTGAGCTTGGGATGTCATGTGATCAATTAGGGGGGAGCTAGCTTGAGCACAGCCTAATATGTGTTGGGGTACATTGTATTTCTAAACATGTTCAAGGATTGTTTCCAGATAGGGATAGAGAAAGAATAAATAATTATATATGTACAATTTATTGTAAAATTTACAATTTTGATAATATCCCAGATTGAAATTGGTCAGTACACATCTCGTTTTAACAAAAGAAACTGACAAATACCGAAAGTGGGGTTTATTGTAAAATTTAAAATTTTGATAAAATTCCAGATTGAAATTGGTCATACACATCTGGTTTAAAAAAAATAAAAAAATGACAATACCGAAAGTGGGGTATAATATTGTGATGACCATGTTTGTTTCAGGTTTGCTGACTGAACCCCAGTACAGTTTGAGCAGCAACTATGTGCCCTGGTCGAGCGAGGACAGCTATGATGGTAGTGAGAAGTCTGTGACAAAGGCAGACTCGAAGACTGACTGGTATACTAATGAGACAGTAAGTACCAAAACTGCTGAAGAAGCATTATTTACTCGCTCATTAGACTAAGAAACGGCTTGAAGAGGATTTCATACCCATGCATGTTGTAAGCTGACAATAATATGATAAGGCTGTTTAACATGATTGATTGTGTATCAGAACTTTGTTGTGTAGATTGATGCTCATATCATTCTTTGCTCTCATACAAATTCTGTGACTTACATGTATTAATTGCAGTCCTTTATTTGATTTTGTTTAATACGAGTTCTGTTTGATATTGGACAACTTGGGTTTTTTTTTATCACAAGGGCCCACTTGCACAAATCAAACGTTGTGTACGACTACCGTAAGCCTATGTTAAAGTATGGGTGATATGATCACCGTAGTGCTAAGATTGCTTTGTGCAAGTGGACCCATTAGTGCAGGTTGGTGCACTGTATATTCCAAGAACCTTATGTCATGTGTTTTGTGACCAGCAGGTCTCGGACTTGGAGGTAGATGGGGATGGTGAGGATGCTACAAAATCCCTGTTCAGCTGGTTTGAAGAGGAAACGGCCAAGAGAGTCACAATGGTGGATGAAGTATGGTAGGTCACTGAATTCTGTCCGGAATATTCTCATACATTGATTGATGGGTTGTTGACAAATGTTGTTTATTCGTGTAATGCTGCATTCAGCAATATTCCAGCAATATGACAGCGGTCTGTAAATAATCGAGTCTGGACCCGACAGTCCAGTGAAATGTTTCAAATACATTTTTAACATTGTGCTGTATGGGCGTACCTCTGGAACATTTAAAATTGTCAAAAAAAAAGGGCCCATGTGAGAAAATTCCTAGTGTGAACCCTGCAAAACAATACATTTTATTCGAAACTGAATATGTTGGCTTGGTGTGGATGTTTCAGTGAGGTTTCAAGGAGTCAGCTTCAGTTGGGGGACTACAGCTCCATTGAAGAGCAGACCTTCATTCCGTTCGATCCACCACTGGTATCAAGGTTTGGACCAATCTCACGATTGTCACGCGCAAAGTTCAAGAACACAGATCCAGTTCAGGTCACAGCTGATGAGGTGAGAATGACATGATAACAATTCAGCTACTCGGAAACAGTTATTACTAAATCTATTAAAAAGCAGCTTTATGAAATTGTATTTGCAACAGATGCATGTATGCTCCTTGGTTTCACTTCAATACACATCTGTCACTTGGGGTTGCCTCTGAAATTAGTATTTTGGGGAATGCACATTAGGTGGTGATAGCTTGTACCTGATCCATTTTACTACGAATAAGCAAATTTTAATAACAAATTTTGAGCTATTATCAATGATGATAGATGTATTATAGAAAGTGTCAGTTGTTTGAGCCCCATTGTTGATTTTTGACTATGATATGGCAGACTATCAAGAGGATGACCCCTGTGACTGCGGTGACAGCTATGGAGTGCCCCCTGCCAGTCGCTGCCCCAGTCCCCAGCAGGTTCAGCCTGTGGAAACAGCCGTCAGAGGGGACCAGGACATTGGAACATCCCAGCAGTGTCCTGGGCCATCAGATGATGCCAGCACATCGCACCAAGAGATGTCTGCAGCAGGAAGTGACACGCCTAGAGAACCGTGCCCACGATGCTAATTCCAAGAAGGAAAGTCTGACATATGAGCTACAGGCCATAGATATTAAAATATCAATGGTAAGTGTAGTCTTTGAATTTTAAGGGCCTTTGTGGTGGGTATACGAGGGGCGTTCAATGCGTTTGGCAACTTTAATATAAGACCAAGTCGCAGAATATCTTTTGCACTTATATTTTTTAACATAATCTTCATTCACCTCAATACACTTATTCCATTTGTCCTTCAAGATTTTAATACCACTTTTATAGAAATATGCAGATTGACCCTCTAACCAAGCCTCTGTGGCAGCCTTTATGTCCTCGTCATCCTGGAAGTGTCTTCCTCGTAGGGCAGATTTCATTTGCCTGAACAGGAAATAGTCACTGGGTGCTAAGTCTGGGCTGTACAGTTAAATCACCCACCCTACCATGATGGGGGCACTAGGATTGCTCATGTAACTCACAGCCATGTATGTGTTGGAGATGTACAGAACAGTTTTTTAGTACATTGGCCAAGGAACTAAGATTGCGCTGTACAAGTAAGAACTTGTGAACATGTTTACAGTCATACGTAAGGAATTTGAATGATATCAACTGACAGATATCGTCTCATATTGTGTAACCTTAATTCTGCTCTGATTTTCTCAGCACTTTCCCAGTGAATTTTGAAAAATAAGATATTTTCATTTGTTAAGAGGACAAATTTTACATGGGACAGATGTCTTTTGGACAAGTGCTTATATATTCTTTCCGTTTGTAAAGATACTCGTTAATGTAGATTTCATCTGTAGTTGGAGAGGATATTGCTGAAAGACACGTAAGCTCTACACTGACTCGCTCTTATGCTGAGAATCTAAGAACGATCTCATGAGGATTGGATGACCTTTCTGGCTCAACGTGTGTCATTAAGCCTCTGTGGCTTGACCATTGCTAACCCTGTCAAGCACAGGTTTGCCTGGCCCAGATTGTTTACAAGCTGTGGTGAAAATGTTCACACCATTCAGATATCATGACAAGCAATCAGCAAGCAAGCCACCTGATCCAACTTAGTCACGTCTTGCAACCAGGATGCCATAGCTGGAATATTGCTGACTGCAGCGTTTAACAAGTCAGTCAGTCATTGACTGTAATGGGTTTGTTTTGGTTTGTTTCTTGTTTCCTAATCCTTTCTTCCTCTTTCAGCAAACTGGGCAGAAGCCAGACCCACATGGAAGTGGAACAGATGCCTCCCAACTTAGCCAACTGATGCTACCCATCTTTCAGTCCACCCCTAGAGATCAAATTGCTGGCTCCCCAAGTGTACGGGCCTCAGACCCCACCCTCACAGCCAGTGAGCAGAAGGTTTGTTAGTCCATTGAAAAGGACATTATAGCTATTTGCATACAGTAGCAGTTCTAATATTTACATTTCGTCCTCTTTTTGTGTGAAATGATGGACAGTATCTGCTTGATATCATGTACTGTCCAAGCTTGCCTCAAAATCTGTTCATTGATGGCTTTTTATGAAAGGTCCATGTCATCTAAAGACTGGTATCATGTCATGGAAGTATGTTTTCGCTCCCTGAGAGATCTGTCCTGTTTGAGAATAGTAGTCGCCTTTGTTGCATTTCTGACTCTGAAATTTGTAATGTGTTTGAGCATGTAAATATACTTGTCTGGGCCAAGTCCTAGGTAATGTATATAATTGTCACTATATTTTGTGAGTACTGTCACTCTATCAAGAAAATGTTTTGTTTTCAGAAACTGCATGAGTTGACTGCTACATTTTGTAGCGTCAATCAGAAATGTTCTGAGCAGCAGGAGAGAATCCTGTCCCAACTGTTGAAGCTGCAGGACCTTGGCAGCCAGGGAACTTGCTTCCACTAGTGCAGGTCAACGCTCCACTAGGGTAGGTCAACTCTCCACTAGGGTAGGTCAAAACTCCACTAGGATAGGTCAAAACTCCACTAGGATGGGTCAAAACTCCATTAAAATGGGTCAGTGCTGAACTAGGGTAGGTCAACTCTCCACTAGGGTAGGTCAAAACTCCATTAAAATGGGTCAGTGCTCCACTAGTGCAGGTCAACTCTCCACTAGGGTAGGCCAACACTCCACCAGGGTAGGTCAACTCTCCCCTAGGGTAGGCCTACACTCCACTAGGGTAGGTCAACTCTCCACTAGTGCAGGTCAACTCTCCGCTAGGGTAGGTCAACACTCCACTAGAATAGGTCAACATTCCATTACATTAAAATGGGTCAGTGCTCCACTAGGGTAGGTTGACTCTCCACTTGAATAGGTCAAAACTCCATTAGAATGGGTCAGTGCTCCACTAGGGTAGGTCAACTCTCCACAAGGGTAGGTCAACTCTCCACTAAGGTAGGTCAACTCTCCACTAGGGTAGGTCAACTCTCCACTAGGGTAGGTCAGCACTCCACAAGAGTAGATCTGGTCTTCACTGGGGTATGTTTATATGGCTGCTTAAAAGATTTTCATGGGATGAATCCAGTTCATACTGTTTCATTCCATGTCAGTGTAGTCCTGACCATTGCTTATTCTATGAGCCACTGGTTAATTACAGGTCACCTGGTAATATTGCTGACTGCTGCTTTATCTCCTTTCATTCACTTGCTCACTCATATTGGTATGCCTTTATGATATTTAAGACAGTAGTGTAGTCAGAAGTCTAGTTGACTGAATACCAGGCAAGCTTAACTCAAGATATGTCTGCTTTTCGTTTCAGACATGAAAGCCGTGAACTTATATGTGATATATTCAGGCTTGGGAGGTTGTGACAACCCAGCAGAAGAGCTTGCCAGACAAGTGGAAGACGGAAGACTTGGACCCCATTTGTCCTTGTCAGCCCCGGATGGGGTGGGGTGGAGTCCATTTCACTGTCTGTGCACAGACATTATTGTGATGGCATTATTTACTATACACTGCAAGGAGTGTGAAATCCTGTCATATTTGTTTGACTTTGTTCAAATTACCCCTCTATGTGTCACATTGATAATGTGTGTTCCTGCTAGGGCATGATTAGGAAGGGTGTTTATGACTCTTACTGCCAACTACATTCATTATTCTCCTTGATCATTGGCTGCTCGGTGGAACTTGTTTTATTATTGTGTTGGGTATAAATTATGGCATGTGTTAACAACTGTTCTAGCCAGTGGGCGACCGACTTGACAGTTTGTACATTGTGATCACTCTGTAATGTGTATCGTTAGTTGTTGGGGTATTACACTCATATTAACAATCTTTTCAAAATATGAATTTGATAATTAGGTCTATTTTGACATTTTGCTGTGAACTATTTATCTATAGTTCTAGAGCATGTACTTTTTCATGACAAGTAATTACTATGTAATTATGAAGTATTTTATGAATTCTTTTGTGTAAAAGATATATGAGTTATGTATTCTCATATATTCATGAAACTCATGTATGTTAACACGATGGCTTTCCTTCTAATGACACCTTTACGTCAGAATTAAGCTTTGCCATTACCTTATAAAGGTTTTATGTGACAATATTTTTCATTATTTATAACTTGGTGGTACTTTACCCAACACCCTTATATTGCTCTGCTCAAGGATTGAACATATTGCTACTTAAGTGTGTTAAGAAAAGATTACTGACCAGGTATATGAAAACTTGTAAGACAAGCAGATTTCTACTAACATTGTAATGTATATTATGTATACAAACAAAACTTTGTTCATTTTTTTACAGGGAATATCAGCATGATCAGAAAATAAAAAATATGGTGTATACATTTTGTTACCATAGTAACAGATATTAGAATTCACTGGCCATTCGGAACTTCCATTTTAATCCAGTAAAACTGACACCAGAGGTCATTATACAGAATTATAGAGATTTTATACATTAACCATAATGTGGTTCAAGTCAGAGAAAACACTCAAACCTGTTTATTTCGAAAGTAGAAATCAACAGATTTGTGTGATATCTCCTTTACATGATCCACACAGATTAGATGTGAGTAATAGGCATGGTCTTGTTTCAGAAAGCAATTGTAGCATTGTGATGGTTGTAAGTCTCATTGTTTAACATCTACCCCGTTCACATGCTCCTCTATACATACGTGTGTATATTTTCACACGTGTGTTAATGTCATGTGAACGTGTTGACTCATGTATGTATATTTACACCAGGAGCAAATTTGCTCCATGTCTGGAGCAGGTGCAAATCTAACTTTACACAAGTGCAAATTTGCGCTGGATGTATATGTTGTAATGGGAAGGTTTACGCCAATGCCAGAGGATGATCTAATTAATATATCTGTTGATTTGCCAACACCAAACAAATCGGCCGCACTTTTGTATTTTGAAGTTGACGTTGTTCAGTACACAGCAGTACCGACTTTTATGCGGACATTCAGAGCTGGGTGGACAGAGTTTTCTTTGGGTTTCAAGGAGTGTAAAAATTTATCTAAAGATTAAATCAAACACATGTTGCTTCATGCAAAGATGTCTGTGACGTAACGCTCTTCTCATTTGACTTTTTGGGAAAACAACCTTTTCATGTTGAACGTCATGAAAAGACTGATGACTATGTACCGGTACTTCATTTACACACATTAATTAATTGTCATGTGAACACATAGTCAATTTACATATACACATGTGTGTATAGTTACACATGTGCAAAATTGCTTATGTGAGTAAATCTTCTGCATGTGAACGGGGTAATAGACTATCATCACTCTGTGATCGCTTCATGAAATAATGGGCCCTGGTATGTAGTTATTGATATCCTGTAGACACAATCACAAGTCCAGTAGGCCATCTCCTTTCTATGAATAGGAAAATCTGGATGTTCCTTGGATGACTTGGTTTGTAGTTCTGCAAGACAGGAAGTAAGTTTATAGTAAGGTAATAAGGCATGGGTGGCATCTTACAAGTGACTTCAGAAAGTACCGGTAGATAACTGGAAGTTATCTAAGTATGTGTAAAGGATACATTCACCCCTTAAAAATGTGCTTCATGCTTTCATTTTGTACACTGGTCAAAAGTACATTGTACTGTGTGTATTGTCTTATGGTTGCTAAGTTATGCTGATTAGTACTGAGATTCTTTAGATCATGTACTTCTTATCTGTAATGATTGGTGTAACTGATCTTGGTTTGACACTATACTTACGGTATTCAATGTAATAAGCACCCAGCGCTCTCAAAATTAGAAATAGGGTGCTCTTATTAGAATATTATTTTGGTGAAAAAAGCAGAGTTGAAAGATAAATTTTGTGATTTATGCTGACAGCCTGAAATGTTTATGTACGACAGATATATTTCCAGAATTTAATTGCCCATAATTAAGGGTGCATATAACACACGAGTGTGTATTATACGCGAATAAATAAGTCTTGTGTACATTGATCAATCGGAAGGGGTGCTAATTAGGATTGTTCACTAGCAAATATCGCTGTGGGTGCTTATTACGTTGAATACGATAACTAGAATGTCTGTACAATTAGATATTTTTTATCAATGTTTTGATTGTTATTTCATTTTTCTTTTTACTCCTCATGAAATGTTAATAATAAATTTTCATATTTGAGTTATATGATTGTAAGCATAATAGTGGTTACTTAGGATGTTAATTGAAAATCTGTTGTTTTTGTTTCAATTTGAAGTCAAGTTTTCGGGAGGTATTTACCCTATATGTTTATTCCTTCATATCAAGATGAAACAGGTGAATAAAGGTTGGTTGTGCTACTTGTCAACAAGGAACGCTACCTTCCTTTGCATTTGTGTTGATCAACTTGATCAAGGGGTAAGGAAGTTGTACTTTTCTTTTTGTGTTTTAATTGGTTACGTTATCCTTTAATTTCTTGATTTATGATGAGGAAAAATATCCATTATTGCCTTTGTATCAGACTTAATCAAAGTCAAGCTGTTTTAAACTTGACAGTTTGGATTGTATTTCATTTGTCAAAGGGTGTTAATATATTATATTTGTTTTATGTAATACTTAGAAGGCGGTCAAGATGTATCATAAGTGAAAAGAAATGGCTCAACAAAGACATTCCCTATTAATGAGTATTGAGGGGAAACGTGGCACCCTCTGAGAAGAAAATGTCTGAAAGTCTTGTCTGAAGTTAACTTTTGGAATGAAAACTACAATCTCTTTTGACAACAGAATATACAGGGTTTGACAACTGAAGAACAGCCCGTTACACAAAGTGGTCTTAGCAGTACGACTATTGTACATGTTAAAGAATCGTGCGCAAAGATTGCTCTGTGGAATGGGGCCCCGGTACACACAGGGCCACAGAAAACATCACTGGTTCCACAGAAAATTGGTCAAAAATTTACATTTGGTATTTTCTACTAGCCAGTCATGTTTTTTTTACTACTGGCATAGAATGTTTACAGTCGTTTGTGGAACCATGTGAGTGATGTCTTGACAGTCTTTAAGATTTGCTTTGCTTGAATTGGGTTATGCATTTAGCCTTGAAATTGTGATGGAATTCTTATCATATAAGATATATGCCATGCTTGTCTCAAGCATCTTGTACACTAAGTGTATTTCTTTTTAAGGTGTCCATAGTTTGTAATGAGTGTTTTATCTTGCCCATAATCAACTGACATGGCACAGCTATTGCAGATTAGTCAATTTATGATTATTATCTGAGTACACATTATCCATAAATTGATATGGGTCGTACATCATTGCTCCCTGTGTGAACATATCTTTTTCCAAAGACATTTTCAGTGAAATTATGTGGTTTGTATTAGAAAAACTGTTAAGAGTTTTCTAGTTCTGAACATGTTATTTCTCAATTTCAGATAATAGTATCAATCTTTCATATGTTCACACGAGCGATCCCAAAGCCAATATTTGGCTATTGTTTTTGTCTGATTTTTGCTAATAGAGGTTTGAATTGTATTTCTTTATAAGGAGGAATGAATTCGGATTTTTTGTGAGGTATCTATGAAGGAACATTGATACTTATGAAGTGGAATATTTGAAAGTTTCAGTATGACAAGGCGAGGGTTAAAATACCTTTTGAAATTGGTGAATTCATTGTTTAATAGCGTGTTTTTTGTCAGTCTTGATATTTGATTATAACGGGATGTGCAAGGATACCATCGGACACCATTACAGGGCATCAGTAACATCAGCTTACGTCACTTCCTGCCGATATGGTTATATCAACATCTATGGCTTATCGAATGACTTGATCATGTTAAAATGTTGAGGTAACATGTTCTCAGGTCTTGCAGGCTCTTCAGGGACGTTTGCACGGTTGAAAATCAATTTTGCTGTTATATTGTGCTTGATGTAACAAAGCACAGGAGAACTGTTTCATAAGGAGTGATTGTAATCAGATATGATGGAGAATTGCTCTAAATATTTGCAGTTTACTTTCCACAATAAAACTGATACAACCAAATATTTGAGTTGTGTGTCTGTAGTTTCCCTTCTGGAAGTTGGCCGTGAATATCTAGGGTAGAATAGGTCTTCTGCAACCTATGCTTACCGTAAGATCGTAACGGGATCGGGTGGTCAGGCTCGCTGACTCGGTTGATGCATGTAATCGATCCAAATTGCGTGGATCGATGTTCATGATGTAAATCACTGGATTGTCTGGTTCAGACTGCCATCATATAGCTGGAATATTGCTGAATGCGGCGTAAAACAACAAACCAAACCATAAACCTTCTGGAAGTGGATCTTGGAGTTTTGTCATGTAGCATACCAGTATTCGAGATTGAAGTAAGAGCTGACTAACAGGAGCATTGGATTGTCACCATGTGTGACATGGATGATTGTGTATCATCGTACTGTGACGTGTATTGTTGCTTTAACATGCTGTCAACCTTGGATTTGCCCAGCCCATCACTATAAAGCTGAGTGATGCAGAACATTCACAGACACAACATCATCATCATCATCATCAATATTTCAGGAGCCTGTAATCAGATATAGCTCAGATTGACAACCCATGTCATCAAGATACATCGAACAGATTAGAGCTGTACTGTTGCATTTATTAAATTAATTAGAAATTAGAAACATGAATATTCCAATGGCAGGTAGTCCTGTACAAAGACTGATAAGCTTGAACCAGATACTAAGCAGCTCCTTGAAAGTGGGAATCCTTTTAGCTTTTGGCTGAAATTGAAACCCCTTTTTATATTTAAAACCTCTTGGCACTTGGAATATCTCAGGGATATATCATCTGAAAGTTCAAATATTGGTTTCAGAGAGACTAGCTCAACCTCTTAACCTTGCCTTGCATGCAAATTTGCAAGCATCAATTCCCACCTTCAGTTTTCAATATTATCCAAATAACTAAAGACACTTCCTGCTTGAACCAAAAGACCAGTGAAGCAAAGGCCCCGAGCACCAACTACCTTGAATATAGTATTCAAACTCAAACTAAGATTTGAATGTTTAATTTACACACATATACATATATACAGCAAGGCAACATGGGATATGTACAAGAATAGTATGGTATGTACATAATGATTTTTCATAGTACTTTGTACACCTAAAACATGTGTTTCTTAACAATCAGGGATTCTGTAGTAGGTTTGATGAGGCTTTTGCCACTAGTCTTAAGACAGAGTCTACTACAATTCTGTTCGGTCTAGTGAGTTCAGCTAATAGTCCATAAATAAAAAATAAATCTGCTAAAAATTATGTTCAGAGCCTTGTTCGGGCTAGTAGACTCAAAATGGTTTTGCATAGACTGAAGATATATGTGTTCTACTAAAACTGAACCATGCTAAACCTCTCCTATTTTAAAGACCCCTGTGTCAGTTCCTCTATCATGTGTTCAAGCAATGACTTTGGCTGTGTCCCCCTCTCCTTTATGAAAATCCTGAATCCGACTCTGCTCACTGAATACATGTCTCAATCTGCTTGCTCAACTCATTGGTGCTTTTTAGACCTGAACCTAACACTTCCAATGCAAACAAATACATTTCTTCATCTGCTTTCTCAACTCATTGTTGCTTATAGATGTCTGACACTACCAGTGGCAAAATATCATCAAGAAATCCATCACATCTGATTCCACATAACTGTTGTTTTAGTGAGTGAGTGAGTTGGGTTAAACGCCGCTTTGAACAGTATTCCAGTCATATCGCGGCATGTCAGCTTAATGTGGGAGGAAAGCCTGAAGTGATGCAGGTCTCAGACCTTTACCACTTAGGTGAAACCCACGAGCACAGGTATGGTGCTGACAAAACTAGAAACATCATCGGGGCGAACCGGGATTCAACCCACAATCATAGGCTTCTGGCGTGCCCTAGGGACATAACTCTGCAAAGCGAATCACGGCACCTTAGACGACTTGGCCACCCGTGCCCCCAACTGTTGTTTTAATTCCTCAACACTTGGCATTAGGGTTGAGAAAAACAAAGATTATCTTGCAAGTCTTTTAATACACTCTGTTCAAGTCATCCTTGGCCTTTCCCGCTTTCTTTGGCATCTTCTTATTGGCGCCTGACTCCAGGTCCTTGGCCCGGTAGTAATGTGGCGCCACTTCCAGAAGCCAGCCATTCTCTATCTCAATCACCTGTAACACCAAGTCAGGATACTGAGATCAAGACAAACATGTTCATCAATAACAACAGAATCTATAGAAGGGATTAGATCAAACATGTTTCAAACCTGCCTCTCATGAATTCTTCTCTGTTAATAATTCTTAACCGTTAATAAAAAAAATTGGTCTATTTCTACTACCTGTTTGTTATCTTCTACCACTTATGACCAATTTCAAGGTGAACACAAGATCACATTCTCACTCACGTCCCATGAACTCTTACGAGGTAAACACAAGATCACATTCTCACTCACTTACGTCTCACGAACTCTTTCGAGGTGACCACAAGATCACATTCTCACTCACTTATGTCTCATGAACTCTTTCAAGGTGAACACAAGATCACATTCTCACTCACATCTCAGGAACTCTTTCAAGGTGAACACAAGATCACATTCTCACTCACTTGTCTCAGGAACTCACTCATTCAGGAACACAAGATCACATTCTCACTCACATCTCAGGAACTCTTTCAAGGTGAACACAAGATCACATTCTCACTCACATCTCAGGAACTTTTTCAAGGTCAACACAATATCACATTCTCACTCACTTACGTCTCAGGAACTATTTCAAGGTGAACACAAGATCACATTCTCACTTACGTCTCAGGAATTCATTCAAGGTGAACACAAGATCACATTCTCACTCACTTACGTCTCGGGAACTCATTCAAGGTGAACACAATATCACATTCTCACTTACGTCTCAGGAACTCTTTCAAGGTGAACACAAGATCACATTCTCACTTACGTCTCAGTTACTCTTTCAAGGTGAACACAAGATCACATTCTCACTTACATACGTCTCAGGTACTCTTTCAAGGTGAACACAAAATCACATTCTTACTCACTTATGTCTCAGGAACTCACTCATTCAGGAACACAAGATCACATTCTCACTCACATCTCATGAACTCTTTAAAGGTGAACACAAGATCACATTCTCACTCACTTGTCTCAGGAACTCACTCATTCAGGAACACAAGATCACATTCTCACTTACGTCTCAGGAACTCTTTCAAGGTGAACACAAGATCACATTCTCACTCACTTGTCTCAGGAACTCACTCATTCAGGAACACAAGATCACATTCTCACTTACCTCTCAGGAACTCTTTCAAGGTGAACACAAGATCACATTCTCACTCTCGTCTCAGGAACTCTTTCAAGGTGAACACAAGATCACATTCTCACTCACTTGTCTCAGGAACTCACTCATTCAGGAACACAAGATCACATTCTCACTTACGTCTCAGGAACTCTTTCAAGGTGAACACAAGATCACATTCTCACTCACTTGTCTCATGAACTCACTCATTCAGGAACACAAGATCACATTCTCACTTACGTCTCAGGAACTCTTTCAAGGTGAACACAAGATCACATTCTCACTCACTTGTCTCAGGAACTTACTCATTCAGGAACACAAGATCACATTCTCACTCACTTGTCTCATGAACTCTTTCGAGGTGACCACAAGATCACATTCTCACTCACTTGTCTCAGGAACTCTTTCAAGGTGAACACAAGATCACATTCTCACTCACTTGTCTCATGAACTCTTTAGAGGTGTACACAAGATCACGTTCTCACTCACTTGTCTCATGAACTCTTTAGAGGTGAACACAAGATCACGTTCTCACTCACTTGTCTCATGAACTCTTTAGAGGTGAACACAAGATCACATTCTCACTCACTTGTCTCATGAACTCTTTCAAGGTGAACACAAGATCACATTCTCACTCACTTGTCTCAGGAACTCACTCATTCAGGAACACAAGATCACATTCTCACTTACGTCTCAGGAACTCTTTCAAGGTGAACACAAGATCACATTCTCACTCACTTGTCTCATGAACTCACTCATTCAGGAACACAAGATCACATTCTCACTTACGTCTCAGGAACTCTTTCAAGGTGAACACAAGATCACATTCTCACTCACTTGTCTCAGGAACTCACTCATTCAGGAACACAAGATCACATTCTCACTCACTTGTCTCATGAACTCTTTCGAGGTGACCACAAGATCACATTCTCACTCACTTGTCTCAGGAACTCTTTCAAGGTGAACACAAGATCACATTCTCACTCACTTGTCTCATGAACTCTTTAGAGGTGTACACAAGATCACATTCTCACTCACTTGTCTCATGAACTCTTTAGAGGTGAACACAAGATCACGTTCTCACTCACTTGTCTCATGAACTCTTTAGAGGTGAACACAAGATCACATTCTCACTCACTTGTCTCATGAACTCTTTCGAGGTGAACACAAGATCACATTCTCACTCACTTGTCTCATGAACTCTTTAGAGGTGAACACAAGATCACATTCTCACTCACTTGTCTCATGAACTCTTTCGAGGTGAACACAAGATCACATTCTCACTCACTTGTCTCATGAACTCTTTAGAGGTGAACACAAGATCACATTCTCACTCACTTGTCTCAGGAACTCACTCATTCAGGAACACAAGATCACATTCTCACTCACTTGTCTCATGAACTCTTTCGAGGTGAACACAAGATCACATTCTCACTCACTTGTCTCATGAACTCTTTCGAGGTGAACACAAGATAACATTCTCACTCACTTGTCTCATGAACTCTTTCGAGGTGAACACAAGATCACATTCTCACTCACTTGTCTCATGAACTCTTTCGAGGTGAACACAAGATCACATTCTCACTCACTTGTCTCATGAACTCTTTCGAGGTGAACACAAGATAACATTCTCACTCACTTGTCTCATGAACTCTTTCGAGGTGAACACAAGATCACATTCTCACTCACTTGTCTCATGAACTCTTTCGAGGTGACCACAAGATCACATTCTCACTCACTTGTCTCATGAACTCTTTCGAGGTGACCACAAGATCACATTCTCACTCACTTGTCTCATGAACTCTTTCGAGGTGACCACAAGATCACATTCTCACTCACTTGTCTCATGAACTCTTTCGAGGTGAACACCAGTTCGTGGTAGATGAGCCATCGTGGCAGCTCCTCAAACAGTGAGCTGTTTGGGTGGATCATGACTGTCTGATGGTGCTTGACTGTCTTGTACTGTCCGCCCTTGTCCATCCTGGATGTGTGGTAGAAGTAGCCTGCTGTCACGGCCTAGAGGAACACAATAACACAACCACTTCAGAAACACAATAACACAAACACTTCAGAAACACAATAACAAAATCACTTCAGAGATGAACTGACACAATAGTCTACACAAACATGATGTGGTGGTGGAAATAGCCTGCTGTCACAGCCTATAGGAACACAATAACACAACCACTTCAGAGGTGAGGTGAAATGGGGTTTAACGTTGCACTTACATTGCAATCTGTGTGTATGTGCGTGTGCGTGTGCGTGTGCGTGTGCATGTGCGTGTGTATGTGCATGTGTATGTGCGTGTGCGTGTGCGTGTGCGTGTGTGTACAGTGCTACATTTCCCCGTACAAATGTGTTACACAACATTATTACCATTTGATTGTAGACAGTCCTGATATTAAGATAGTCTGCCAGGGATACTCATATCTGTCTCGTTAGTAGCATTGTGAAACATTGTAACCATCTGATTGTAGAAACTCCTGGTATAAAGACGGTATGCCATGGACACGTACCTTTCTAATATTGACAGTCTCTCCAGGGTTGGAAACAATCTCTATTTCCACTCTGTCCAGGAGTCCCTCGAGTTGATCACGGACATCGCGAGCTCGCTTCATGGACCGGTGCTGTATGAAGTTCTCGTAACACCACTGTGTGGAGTAGTCGGTGTCCTCCCATTGGGTGTATACATTCAGCAGGGTCAGATGGTCTCCTCCAGGGACAAAGAAATTCACACGAGCCGTATCAGCATGGACAATCTTATCTTTGGGACGGTAGAATACAGCATTGTTCACAGACAACATGGCAGCTATTGTGATCACTTCCTTTGAGCACTTGTATCTGCGGGGAAAAAACGTCATTGTTCTAGTGACAGAAAATGATTGTCTTTCAGGCAAAGAATTAATAAGGTGAGGTGAGGTGAAATGGGGTTTAACTTTCGCGTACAGGATTATCATACTTATATAGCGACATGTATGTGTTTGTGTGCGTGCATGCATGTGTAGGTGTGTCTCTCTGCTTGTACGAGTCCAGACTGATGCCGATTTTATAGTGATAGACCAGTGTTTGTTTTATCTCCTAAATGCCGAGCACCAGACAGGGTAACAACAAGTACCATCTTTAAATGTCTTTTGGTATGACATGGCCAGGGATCACACCCCGGACCTTCCGGTCTCCAGACGCTCTACCACTAGACCACGAAGGCGGTCCAAAGACTTAATAAGGATACATATTGTTGAGTGTGTTTCAATGTCCCATTCATCGTGGGGTCCTCGATATTCCAATGCCTGAGTACGTGTTATTTGAGGGTATTTAGCCTTAAGAAGAAACATGGGTTTAATATCAAGGTTATCTTTTTCTAAAATCCAAAGCAAAAACAAAATAAGTTATATATGTCCTAAACGCTGATTTTTTAATAATAATTTATTTAATTTTCATCGACTATTAATAAACAGTGATAAAATGAAATATAAACATTCGAACATTACAAGTTTACGTTGTTGATAGTTATTTAATGCCACACTCAGCAATATTCCAGTTACATGACAGCAATCTGTAAACAATGAAGGCAATCCAGTGATTGACATCATGAACATCGATCCATGCAATTCGGATACAATGAAACAGTCAACCAACTCACAGAACCTGACAATCTAATCCATTTAGTCGCCTCTTATCATTACCTATCTAAGGATAGGTCCGTGGGGACATATATATTCTTTCCCAAAATCCCCATGGGTCACAAGGATCAAAATAATGCTGATAATAAAATCCATCTTACTTTTCGGAAGCAAGGATCATCTTTGACATCATGGGATCGACGGGAAACTCGGCCATGCGTCTCCCTAGCTTAGTGAGCTCCCCCATGTGGTTGAGTGCCCCGAGAGCGTACAGTTGCTCCAGGGCTAGCACCAGTGTCTCGTGGGGCGGCGCGTCCATGAAATCAAAGTTGATGAGGTCGTTGATACCCAGGCTCTTCAACAACAGCACCACGTTGCCGAGGTTGGTGCGCTGGATCTCGGGGATGGTGTTGTCCTCCAATTCATTCTTGTACGCCCATGCCGTGTACAACCGGAAACATTTCCCTGCAGCAACACGCCCTGCCCGACCCGCCCGCTGATTGGCCGACGCCTGGAAGGGTCGAGAATAAATCATACACTCTTGTCATCATTCTACTGTCCTGACTGGTTGAAGAGGTAAGAAACGAGGACAAAAGTGAGCGTGGCTCAATAATACTCCCGACCCGCTTGTGTGTCACTAGTTTCAAATTAAATAGCTAGGATATGGTTAGGTTTTGAAAAATTCATTAAAAAATGGAAAATTCCTAAAAACAATTTTTTTTGGGACTGCACCCCTCCATATGACACAGATTATATGTACTAAGTTTGAGATGAATCCACTGAATAGTTTAAGAGAAATCGTGTGGACAAAGTTTTCGGACGGACAGACAGAGTGAGTGAATGTTCTTTTATGCCAATTTTTAAGCAGTATTCCTGCAGTATCGTGGATGGAACCTCACAAATTTGCTCCACACATTGTATGCATGTGGGAAATCGAACCCGGGCCTTGGTCATAGCAAGTGAACACCTTAACCATTAGGCTAGATGGAAACAAGGCCAATGTCAGTGACTGATGCCTGTATAAGAAAGATGAAATAGAGTACATATGTATTAAATGCAAGTATTGCTGACACTACACACTGAAGTCATGATTGTCACTGTGTGTGTGTGTGTGGGGGGGGGGGCGGTGATGTAAGCTAGTGGTTAAAGCGTTCACCCTAAATGGGTACAATGTGTGAAGCCTATTTCTGGTGTCCCCCGCCGTGATATTGCTGGAATATTGCTGGCATATTTCTAAAAGCAGCGTAAAAAAACATACTCACTCACTCACTATGAGTGTGTTGATGCTTTCACTATTATGGACTGATGCAGGTTTTATGGTGCTAGCCATGCCACAGTTAAACACGGATACCCCACTCAGACACAGCATACAGACTACGAGCCGACCAGTCTTTGTTTTATGCCCTTAATACCAAGCACCAGGCAACAAGTACCATCTCTTAACATCTTTTGGTATGATGCAGCTGGGGATATAACCACGACATTCCGTTCTCCAGCAGATGCTCTTTCAACTACACAATGGAGGTGGCAGATGGCAATACAAATAAATCATAAAAAACAAATGTATTGCAATTAACTGGTGAATTAGAGTGTGTCTATCCCTATTATTAGCAGAACATACCCTCGATATAGGACTGACAACCAGTGACTCCATGCCTGTGCGGGCGTTGTAGCTCTTCATTTTACAGAAACCAGGATCAATCACATAGATGATGCCGTCTATTGTCAGGGACGTCTCTGCGATATTTGTTGCCAGAATAACCTTGAAAAAGTCAGAAGAACATTGTGTGAGGAACATTATGAGGTACTATGTTTGAAGAAGAAATTTAAGATTTAACTACCAAAACAGTCATCTGAGATTTATAGACGTACTATGAATTTTTTTACCTTAAGTAGTAAATTATCTGTTCCAATTACTCGGCATCATGTTAATAAATCCACACACTGATCAATACTACAACTACTTACTTCCTTGCCCCTGGTTGTGTGGGGTCAAATATCTTGACATGCACCATGGAGGGTACATACCAAGCTCATCACAGTGATAGCCCATTTGCTGACCGACTGACCGTTATTATATTTTACAAACAAGTAATGACTGCTGTGACCCTGGCAGCACTGCCACCTACCTTCCTGCCCCCTGGTAGCGTGGGTTCAAATATCTTGGCCTGCATCATGGAGTGTATATACTACAACAGGGAGACAACTCCCGCAAGCACTATTACCTACCTTCCTGCCCCCTTGTGGCGTGGGTTCAAATATCTTGGCATGCATCATGGAGGGTATATACTACAGCAGGGAGACAACTCTGGAAAGCACTGCCACCTACCTTCCTGCCCCCTGGTGGCATAGGTTGACATATCTTGGCCTGCATCATGGAGTGTATATACTACAACAGGGAGACAACTCCGGCAACACTACAACCTACCTTCCTGCCACCTGTTGGTGTGGGTCAAATATCTTGGCCTGCATCATGGAGTGTATATACTACAGCAGGGAGACAACTCTGGCAAATTCTTCCACCTACCTTCCTGCCCCCTGGTGGTGTGGGTTCAAATATCTTGGCCTGCATCATGGAGGGTATATACTACAGCAGGGAGACAACTCTGACAAACTCTGCCACCTACCTTCCTGCCCCCTGGTGGTGTTGGTTCAAATATCTTAGCCTGCATCTCAGAAGGTAGATTGGAGTAGATTGGAAGAATCACCAACTCCTTGATCTTTGACCCCAACTTCCTTGTTCTTTCCTGAAGTTATAAGTTACAGACCATGAAAGGAGGGAATCCTGCTTGTGTGTTGATACCATGTGGCCTAAACTATTTTTTTCTTTTGTCAAAATTCATGTTTAACATAAAATTATTGATGATCTCTTCGAGGCCTCACTTGAGAATCTACCCTACTCTATCCATACTTTTCATCATAAAGTCATTGCTACCTAACAACAGAAGCAAAATATTGCATCCTATCCTGCATGTTACACTTGAAAATGGATGCAACAATAAAGTGACTTCCAGCTTCTATGGACACAAAAAAGTATTTCTGATACTTAACACCATGGCACACATGCCTACTGACACTTAACAACATGGTACACATGCCTACTGATACTGAACAACATGTTACACATGCCTACTGATACTGAACAACATGTTACACATGCCTACTGATACTGAACAACATGTTACACATGCCTACTGATACTGAACAACATGTTACACAGGCCTACTGATACTGAACAACATGTTACACAGGCCTACTGATACTGAACAACATGGTACACATGCCTACTGATACTTAAGAAGAATGTAAACATCCCCACGTACTGTCAACATTTCCTGCGCTGTCTCGATCTCCTCCTGACCTGTGAGGAAGACGAGGATGTCCCCTGGAGCCTGGGTGACATGGATCTGCAGCACCGACACCACCACCGCGTCCAGGTAGTCCGCCTCCGGGGCCTGCAGCAGATCAGGGGAGATGACTCATACAACCAGTGACAAATAGATTTGTTGTTTTACGCCAGTCAGCAATATTGTACCTGTATCATGGCAGCCTGAGTGAGTGAGTGAGTGAGTGAGTGAGTGAGTGAGTGAGTGAGTGAGTGAGTGAGTGAGTGAGTGAGTGAGTGAGTGAGTGAGTGAGTGAGTGAGTGAGTGAGTTTGTAGACCACTTTTAGCATATTCCGGGCCAGTCCCACCAGAAATGGGATTCACACATTGTACCCACGTGGGGAATAGAGCTGGGGGCTTTGGTGTCATGAGCTTATGACAGCAAAATGTTGTGAGTAAAAGGACCACTTTGTGCCAGTAGGTTATAATCTGTTGGCACTGACTGCTACTGGCATACATGTGAGGGAGGACACTGAGCACTAAACAGAAGCTGATGCTTCCTGTAACAAGTCAGGGCCTCTAACACACAACAGATGATGCCTCGACACTGTTTTTCCTATAAGATCTTGTCAGAACCATACAGCAACATCTAAAAACACTATCAAGTCAGTAACAGGGCAAGTACTGTAAATCTGGAACGTTTTGCAAGCAGGAATGTACTGCAAAAACTGCGAGTGACACAGACTCGCAGTTAATTTTGCAGACCAACAACAAACAAAAGATGTATGGAGGCATATTTCTTGAATTCACTTCTACAAGCTGTCACACCAGCCAGAACATGTTTAAACACATCCCGTGTTTCCATAATTACATACTGTCACTTAGTGTCCAGAGCTCCAGATAAGCTTTTGGTGTTGTGGGTATTTTACCCATGCATTTTAAAATCATTGGGTATCAGTAATTCTATCTGAGTATTCAAATTTCTGTTACCCACTAGTTTTTACACATGTTGGTATTTAAGTTAAATGTTTAAAAACACTATTCATCTAGTCCCTGCAAACTGGTGTCGTGTGGGTTTGAGAGCTTTATAGGACTCAAAAATACCACGATACTTCCACAAGAAAGTGTGATGGCAAATGATCATGATGTAACTGTCATCGTGGAGTTTGGCAAGGTTGACGGAATACCTGTTTATAATTTCAAAATAAGTTGCTGATTTGCTAATTGAATACGCAGGGTTCCTTCACAATATTTTGATGATACGCACAAGTTTTATTTTTGTAGCGTATCTGTAATGTTCGTTGCGTATTTGATACGCTTGGATTTTATTTTACTGCGTATTTCTGTATTTCTGATGCTTATTTCACGCAGATACGCAGCTTATCTGGAGCTCTGGTGTCAATAGTCTAATTAGTCTAAGTTCACTAAAGTGCCACATCAAATCACAAAGAAATACAGACATATGCCAGCATCTATTCTCTTAAACCTGTTAATCCAACCTCCCTTGTCAACTACAACTACACATGCATCTATAGTTCAAAATTCACTGACTGACACAGAGTTACCATTTTATCATGCCACTTCCTACTTATCAAATATAACACCTGCAAAAGTAGCTTTGATATTTGATATCTTAACAGGGAGTCACACAACTTTCCAGACGCAGTTAAGGCCATTGCTAGCCACTTGCAATAATTTCATGGCATAAAACCTTCCCGATTTTCAGTACCTGTGGAAGCATTAAGAGTCATTTTAGGGTGAATTAGGGGGAAAACAAAGTAGTATTCTGAAACAGGATTATATACTCTATAGAAACAGAAGAATGGTTCTACAACTTGTATACAGGAGAATCAGAATCTCACCTTAGTGTAGAAGATATGCACAGGAAACCTCCTTCCAGGAATCCGGAATATTGGAGCATCATCAAAGAACTGAAATACAAATTAAAACCTTTTACCAACTACAATAATGACAGTGCATTTCAATTCTTATTCATCATAAATGAACTTAAATAAAAAAGTAAGTTACCTCACAAATATTTCAATATTTAACATGCTTAAGAGACAATAGAACATCAGAATATATTCTCCATGTAATACTTAGCCTGCATTACATTATGCACCAGACTACCCCTGCCACCCTGTGGTGACGTGTATTGTGCATTAGAGAATACATTGTTTTTTTATGTTTTGTTTTGTTTTGTTGTTTCAGTATTTATGCCAACCATCCTCACATCACAGCTCCTCTAGCCTGTCAGCTCTAAGAGAGAGAATGAGGTGGCAGGGGCAGTCAGGTGATCATTTGATTGTTTGTTGTTTAACACTGCACTCAGCAATATTTCAGCTATATGACGTCAGTCTTTAAATAATCAAGTCTGGACCAAACAATCCAGTGATTGACATCATGAGCATCGATCCGCCTAATTGGGATACGATGACATGCATCAACCAAGTCAGCGAGCCTGACCACCCGATCCCGTTAGTCGCCTCTGATGACAACCATTGTCGCCTTTGACGAAAAGCATGGGTTGCTGAAGTCCTAATCCAACTCAGATCTTCACGGGTCAGTCAGGTGATCATGTCATTTCAAAGTCACAACACACGACATTACAGTGCGTGACCTATTTCTTTGGTTCATGACCATGGTGATGCTTGGATGTGCCTGCCTGAAACATTTTTAGAAGCTGGAAACTTTGTTCAAGCATGTTTCCACATAAGCAGTGATAAGGATCGAAAGAATAAGGAAGAAATCCATAGTATGAGATAGGATAAGTTATAAAAATTGACAGTTTGAAGAGAGTGAATTAAATTTGTGTTTCCGAAACATTTTCAACCTTACTCAAAAGGAATACCTAAAACCTTTAGACAAAAATATGTCTGGTTCGACTTTAAATGAAACAATTGTCAGGACATGGTGACAAACCTCTGAGAACTTCTGGGCATCAAGAGTCGCACTAGAAATGAGAAGTTTGAGATCAGGCCGAAACCTTGCTATGTCCTTGACCAAACCGAAGAGGACATCCGTGTGAAGCGTCCGCTCATGGGCCTCATCAATTATCAACACACTGCAAAACAATAATAATAATCATAAATTGCAACACTAACAACAGACCAAGTTTGACCAGTAGTCGTGTTGACCTCATCACAAACAAATTATTCCACAATTTTATTGTTTGACAATTTTACACTAAACTAAGATCTGTAATACAGAGGTGAACCGAATACTTGAATCATTGTATTGAGTCAACAACCTTACATGTAAGTTTTGATACATGTGGGATTCAAACACAGATGCACACACTAAAGCATGCTCAAGGCATTAAATTCTTCCATTCTCCGCTCCCTGGGAAGTATACAGCCTAAGCTAGATTCTTCCATTCTCCGCTCCCTGGGGAGTATACAGCCTAAGCTAGATTCTTCCATTCTCCTCTCCCTGGGGAGTATACAGCCTAAGCTAGATTCTTCCATTCTCCCCTCCCTGGGGAGTATACAGCCTAAGCTAGATTCTTCCATTCTCCGCTCCCTGGGGAGTATACAGCCTAAGCTAGATTCTCCCATTCTCCGCTCCCTGGGGAGTATACAGCCTAAGCTAGATTCTCCCATTCTCCGCTCCCTGGGGAGTATACAGCCTAAGCTAGATTCTTCCATCCTCCGCTCCCTGGGGAGTATACAGCCTAAGCTAGATTCTCCCATTCTCCGCTCCCTGGGGAGTATACAGCCTAAGCTAGATTCTCCCATTCTCCGCTCCCTGGGGAGTATACAGCCTAAGCTAGATTCTTCCATTCTCCACTCCCTGGGGAGTATACAGCCTCAGCTAGATTCTTCCATTCTCCACTCCCTGGGGAGTAAACAGCCTAAGCTAGATTCTTCCATTCTCCGCTCCCTGGGAACCCAAGCTAGAAGGTTCACTGCAGGGTGAACAGAGGCATATTTCGAACAAAGTCACTTGCCTAAGGAGATACTACATGTAGGGTGCTTCAGTGAGGTGGGATGAAATGGGGTTTAACGTTATGTCGAAGATTATTGCACTTATAAAGCAACGTGCATACACGTGTATGTGTGTGTGGCTGCTTTTTTTAGTCCGGACTGATGCCGATTTATAGTGCTAGCTCACTGAGATACCATGCCGCAGTTTAACATGAATACCCCACTCAGACACAGTATACTGACTCCCAACCGACCAGTCCTTGTTTTAGCCCCTTAATGCCGAGCGCAAGACAGGGTAACAACAAGTACCATCTCTTAACGTCTTTAGGTATGATGTGTCCGGGGATCAAACCCCGGACCTTCCGCTCTCCGGGCGGATGCTCTTCCATTAGACCACGGAGGCAGTCTGCGTGCTTCAGTGTGGGCAGGACCAAAGCCCAAGAAACTGGAGAACACGGTCATTACCCCATCTACTCCCTGCAACCAACATTGCTTCACTTCACCTAATTTGTGACCTGACCATCACAACACGAGAAACTAACATATTAGTCCACTAGTCCTCATAATGATAACATATAGCAAAATCCTTAATAAGGGAAATTTCTAACAGTCCTTATGACACCTTAACTATTGGTCGGTTTGGCAAGGACAATAGGACTAGTGCCAATTTCTAACGCTGGTCACTTTTCTATACAGCAGCTTGCAGCACCTTAGTCAACATGGACACACAGAGCCCTACCTGTAACTGGCCAGATCTGGTTCTGACAGGAACTCCCGGAGCAGCATGCCGTCTGTCATGTACTTGAGGATAGTTCTCTCGGAGGTGCAGTCCTCAAACCTGATGCTGTAGCCCACCTGCAATAGACACCAGACTTTCTGGACTACATAGACATTATACAATCACAGATGATTCTTCTTTTTACATGTCCATAAATACAGGTATTGAGCTCATATAAAGTCCATACTGTATATGATCGCAGATAAGCCGACCCCTAAATAAGTCGAGGTATTAACTTGACCATCGAAATATGAAAGAACAATACCAATCGGCCCAATTATTATCTCAGTGCTCATTTCCTTGTGTACCGTGTTGCTTTTTAAACAACAGGAAGCAATCACAGTGGTCACCGTTTGTGACGTCACAGGAAACAGGAAACAGCTGATCACATGTTTTTGCAAATGGTGAACGGAATAACTCGCCGTTTCAGTTGTTTATTTGCCTCTTTCAATAAAGGTAGATACTTGTTCACTGTCAATTTATGAACTTTGCAAAGTAATAGCTATTAGCGATTTCATTTGTGGATTATATATTATATTTGTGGATATTATTGTTATATGTAAAGATGGTGGAGTTTCTGAAGAATGATAAACCTTGAACATTCAATTGAAAACTTATGATCTGAAATAATAACATGCATAATTTTTTTTAATAATGACAAAATTGGTGTATAATGATAATTTTATTGATCATTTATAACAATAATGGCTGTAGTCATGGCAACTTCCAAACTTTCGGGAAGTTGTAACCTGTCAAGCCGTCATTCAGGTGATGTTTCTGACAGTTCATGATATGAAAGAGACAATCATGAAAGTGTATCCCGTGGATAAACTGACCCCTTTCTACAGATTTTTTTTTCTGGTCCTCAAAATTCGGCTTATCTGCGGACATATACGGTAATTGTTTTCTTATATAATAATGAGACAAAAGCAGATTCAATATGTTAGCTACAACAATGTAAAGAGGTTCCAACAAACTGAGACACCTGATTGGCTCAGGTTTGAAGAATACCTCTTCCGGGGAAATCCCCATTCTATTTTTAGTAACTCTAGTCAATACAGTAAATCATGAGCTGCAGTCAATATGTGTCTCTGTCAAATGACATGTGACCGCTTCTTAGCCAATGACTATGGAGGAAATGTTCATAAATGTTAATGACTATATATCCAGCAGGCAGGCCAAAGTTTATTTATTACCAGTACAACAAACTTTTCTTCTCCAAGTCCAAATACATGTAGTTTTTTGAAAGAAACTTGTTTTATCAAATGGACCTCTTTAAAGTTGATTTGGCAGGGTGAAACAAGAAAATATGAGGTGATAAAAAAAAATCTGTTTTTTTAAGTGGACCATGGGTAACTGCCATTTTCTTACTGACAAACTCTTTCATTTCTTAAATTCATTACAAAAATGACATGCACCGGTAACTTTATTCCACTTTTTCTGTCATTTCGGGTTGTAAAGTTCTAAAATAAGCTTTATATCCATGTCAACTCCACATAGTACAGGCTATTGTTACAATGGTGGCCCTGAGGAAGAGTGCCACCGATCTCACCTCATTCCCGAGTTTGTATCCCATCTCTTGTGCCACTCTGGATGCTACTGACATGGCTGCCACTCGGCGAGGTTGGGTGCATCCGACCATCATGCCATTTTCGTTAAAACCCTGAAACATTTATCTCAATGTATGCACAAGAACAAAACTATCACTTTCCATTTTAGAATGACTGTAATGTTGCACTCAGAAATATTCCAGCTACTTGACGGTGACAGACAATCCAGTGATTGTTATAGTGAGCAATGATCCACACCATTGGGGTACAGTCACACAATGAACCAAGTCACCGAGCCATTTGGTCACCTCTTACTACCAGTACAGGTTGCTGGGGACCTGTTCTAAACCGGAATCCCCAAGGTGTAAACTTTATGTAACCAAAATAAAACATGTTTCTAGAAGCTAAAGGGTTACACACTAAAGAGACCAAAAAGTAGATTGTTGGCTTATTACATTTAAAGACTAGAGGATAGAGTGTCTTCGCCTAGAGTAGAAGGTTGAGGGTTCGATCCCCAGCCATGTCAAACAAAAAGATGGTACTTGTTGTTTCCCTGCCTTGCCCTCGGCATTGAGGCAATAAAACAAGGACTGGTCAGCAGATTGTCTGTGTACTGTACTGTGTGGGGTATCCATCTTCAACTATGGCATGGTATCCCAGTGGGCAAGCACAATAAAACCTGACTTGAACAAGCAGTCACACACGCAGTCACGCACGTACGTACACACGCACACACACTCATGCACGTCGCCATATAAGTGCTATATCTTGAATGCAACACTAAACCCCATTTCACCTCACCTACTATTACATTTAAAAACATTTCAGGAAAATTACAATAACATCACAACTGAATAAAACAGCTGTCTAGACACCCTGTCCCCATCATGGCACAGTGATTTGCAAGCCATAGCTTTCAAGGTTATTTCTGTGAACCAACTAATTTTCCCAAATTGTTTTCCGCTTCAAAATTAACAATAATAGTGCCAAGGCAACTTAGCTTAATGGCATATGTATTCAACAGTCCTAAGTGTCAACTTTTTACATGGTTTAAGCTGGTATCATTGATCATGTTCATATTCAAATATTTCCTGCCAAAATACTAAAACCTAACTCTAAAATCTAATCATTGGAACAAAATATGTCAGCTAAAGTTAATCTCCTTCAGCCTTGCAATTTAAGAGAAGAAGAATTTTACAGAGGCAAATATGCACTTTCAGAGAAATTAAGAGCATAGTCACACAAGGTCAAAATGTAAAATATTGCCAAAAAGACAAGAATATATTTTAAGCTACACTATACAAGTACCACATCTGATTTTATTGTGTACATACATGGCTGAGTAATGGCAATAAATAGTTCCTTCAATATGGCTGCCATGGCAGCCATTTTGAAAATTAGATTCAAACAAATTCAGGTGTCATCCTTTGTGTGAACATACATCTGAATGTCAGCTTCGCTGTTCAAATGGTTCCTGACGACATGATATTTACACGGCAAAAAACCTGAAGCATAAATGTTGATCCCAAGTACTAACTACACACATACCAAATTTCATAACATTTTGAACCAAAACGACCATAAGGAGCTTTTTTCAACATGGTGAGGTGAGGTGAAATGGGGTTTAACGTTATGTCCAAGATTATTGCACTTGTATAGTGACATGCATGCACATGTGTGTGTGTGTTGTTGCTTGTACTAGTCAGGACTGATGCCGATTTATAGTGCTAGTTCACTGAGATACTATGCCGCAGTTTAACATGAATACCCCACTCAGACACAGTATACTGACTCCGAGCTGACCAGTCCTTGTTTTAGCACCTTAGTCCGAGCGCCAGGCAGAGTAACAACAAGTACCATATTTTAACATCTTTTGGCATGACGCAGCTCTCCAGGCTGATGCTTTACCACTAGACCACTGAGGCGGTCTTTTTCAATATGGCTTCCGTGGCAGGCACAAGATGAAGTACTGACCGCGTCATTGAGGTACTGTGGTATCTGTGTGGTCTTGCCCGACCCCGTCTCGCCCTCGATGATCAGGACCTGGTGGGTGTGAATGGCATCGATCAGGTCCTGCTTGAAGGGAAAGATGGGCAGGCTCTTCTTCGTCTCCTCAATGGTCATTTTCTGTTTCTCCCCCTCTGACATTTGGGGCATTTGGTCCTAGTAAAGTCAAAGAGTTTGCATTTCTGAATAACGTGATAATCCCAACACTTTCAAATAAACTTTGCACAAGATCACTTCTTTATTATCTGGATTGTTTGGTTGTAACAATACATTCGTTTGTATTTTCGTTCGTCCGTTTTTTGTTTAACGCAGCATATGACGGCGGAGTACAATTAATCGAGTCTGGACCAACCAATCCAGTGATTGACATCATGAGCATTGATCCACGCAATTGGGATACAATGACATGCATCAACCAAGTAAGTGAGCCTGACCACAAGATCCCATTAGTCGCTTCTTACGACAAGCATAGTCACCTTTTACAGCAAGCATGGGTTGCTGAAGACCTATTCTACACGGGTCTCTTAACATTTTATAATACAGAATCTGAAATTTCGTATTTATGTAAATGACATGTAATGGACCTGACCATGGTTGCAGTGGCTGTTATAATTAGTGGAGCTTCATGGACCTTGTGACTTCAGAGCCTATGCCTGTCATAACATATCACCAGGCTGAAGCGGCTAATAAAAGTAAATTGTCAAAACTAAAAAATCTTTTTACACAGCTATTTAATTTGTCTATGCTCTGCATACCAATTTTGCACACTGATGCATACACGGTTGTATATTTAGAGAATCCAGAGCCTTTGGCGAAGGACATACAGCATTCATACATGAGGGACTGATACTCCGTAATTCCGAGATTCGAGTCGGTTATTCGACATATTACTCAATGACATTTACGAGAGAAAATGAAGAAAGAATGCTTATGAAATGTCAACCGCACAGAGAGTCTTCGCTGAAGGCAGTTTATTGTTCAGATGATGTAATGGTCACGATATGGCTGAAATACTGCCGATGTGACGTTAAATCTTAACTCACTTACTCACTCAGATGATGTAATGTATTCAGTTTGTGACATCATGAACAAAGGATGACAACATTCATAATTTTCTCAACAATGAAGCAAAGTGACGTCGTCATCTTTCAACTGACCAATCAGCATTGAGAATCTCTAAAACCTTTAAATATCAGAAATATTTTGGGTAATATAGTAAGTCATGTGTAACGTGACTGGTGATCCACTGACTTACATTCCGATAGTTGTTATAATGATAACATATAGCAAAACCCTTTAAAATGGCAAACTTCTACTAGTCCTTATGATACCTCAACTGTTGGGCAGTTTGGTAAGGACTATAGGACTAGTGCCAATTTCTAATGTTGATTGGTCTAGTTGACAGTGCTGATTCTTTGGAATTTGTGAAAAAGACCATGAAAGCCAGATATGTTTACCAGTACACAAGAATGGTACCATGACAAACACCATGTGCTCACCTTGTCCTTGATGGAGCCCGGCAACTGGAGAGCTTGCACAAACTCGATCTCATCGTCCATGATGACCTCATACTCCGGAGCCTTCTTCTTGGATTTGGCATCTTTGGCTCCGAACTTGAGGAGAGCCGTGGACAGATGGTCCTCCTCCCAGCGACTCTGTTCATAGTTGGGCCCACGCTCCGTCACGTCCTCCACATACTTGTCCTGGGGCTTCACGTCGTCCTTGGGCATGTAGTAGCGGTTCACCTTCTCGATGTCCCCAGCTTTGCGATGGTCCTTGGCCAGTTTTAGCACCTTCTTCTTGTAGTTGAGTTCAGCTTGTTCCCGCCTGGTGAGACTGATGACAGACAACAGCATGTCAGGAACAAGCCCATGTACTAGGGTGGGGCAGGCAACTCGGGTTCTTGGGTCGGGTGGGTCCTGAGAAGGATCTGGGTACCCACACGACTACCCTGACCCGTCATTAGTCATGTGATATACTGTTTAATGACATTAACCATAAAGCTCTATGGTTACACTACAATTATAGGTAATGTTCACATTTCATACTGACAAAGCAAGCATCTGTTCTGACTTTTATATGTTTGAGTAAGGGTAAAGCGCCTATCACCTTCAGATGTTTGAGTGAATGAGTGAGTGAGTTGGTTTTACGCCGCTTTTCGCAATATTCCAGCAATATCACGGCGGGGGACACCAGAAATGGGCTTCACACATTGTATCCATGTCAGGAATCAAAATCCGGGTCTTCGGCGTGACGAGCGAATGCTTTAACCACAAGGCTACCCGACTGCCCCTCAGATGTTTGAATAAGGATAAAGCCCCTATCAACTTCAGTGTATGCATGATCTGATCATTTGACACATGTATCTAAAAAGTTTTTGCCAGCAATTCCCATTCAGACATATCGTACCCAACTGGTGGTGGTGGTGGGTGTGGGGTGTGGTGTGGTGTGGTGTTTGGGATGAGTGAGTAAGTATGGTGTTACACCACTTTAGCAATATTCCAGCAATATCACAGGGGAGAATACCAGAAACTGGCTTCACACATTGTAATCATGTGGGGGTCTTTGGCATGACACGCGAATGCTTTAACCACAAGGCTACCCCGACGCCACATTAGGGCTGAGATTGGTCACCGGACTGCATCATATTTTGCTTCCCCCCCCTATGTTATATAACATTTTTTAATGTTCAAATACATTTAACAGTTTTTCTTGACCCGTGCCCCCACCCATCAATTATAAAAATAAACAACTATCAGCAGCCTTGACACAGTAGTGGGATGACCCATTAAGTGTGCGAGGTAAATGCTGAGTCCAGCTTATCACATAGGCTTGTGTATCATACAATCATATCATAGTGCAATAACGCAAATTTGTAGAAATTATTGTCAAATCTAGCATGCTAAAGAGGGACCTGGTATCTTCTTCTGACTATGCGAAAGAAATCTAGACTATATACACCACAACTCACCTCTTGCCATCAAACAGATACTCATCATCAATGATCTCAGCTTCCAGGTCCTCTAGCTTGTCATGACCTCGCTTCTTGAGGTAGTCGCGGCGGGACTGTTTCCGCAAATCTGGGATGATGCGCTTCCTGTCCTCCGTCTCCAGCTGCAGACGATTCTTGGCTTCTTCGTATGCCTGCAATACAGACACCAAGTTGGGAGACTGTCAACATTTCACTTTCAACAGACAAACATGTTTACACCACAACAAACAAATCATTTGGTTATCATTTAAAGTTTTTATTTGTTTATTTGAGGTTTAACACCTCAGCAATATTCAAACTTTATGACAGCAGCTGTAAATAATCGAGTCTGGACCAGACAATTCAGTGATTGATATCATGAGCATTAATCCACGCAATTGGGATACAATGACATACATCAACCACGTCAGTGAGCCTGACCACCCCATCGCCTCTTAGTCACCTCTTACGACAAGCACAGTCGCCTTTTACAGAAAGCATGGGTTGCTGAAGACCTATTCTAGCCTGGATCTCCATGGGTCTCAGCTAATTATAGTCCATATTATAACACTTAAATGTACTAAGGGGCCAAGTTCGGGGTAGCAGACGCGAACGTTTTTTGGCACAGACTGTTGTCTATTTCATGCCACCACAGATAATGTCAGGTTTTACCCTCTGTAAACATGGGAAGTCAGTGAGCCTTTTGAGTCATGACAACTTTTAAAGGGAAGTGAAAAGAGCTTATGTATATCTCAGATAAAGAAACATCTTGTTATCAACTTATGCTCTCACTAGACATTAGATGTCACATACATACATGTAAAATGTCAGCATTTGAAATTCCTTGGATTAGCTCGACAATGGTACTGATAAAATCATAACAGAATTAAAAAAACTGTCCGGATGACATACATTGTAGTTTGAAACGCTGTTCTTTACCCGAAAAAAGGTGTCAACGTTTTTTAGGTTAACCAGAGATAAATGTACTTTTGCACAAGTAAACTGGACGAACACAAGGAAAATTAACCACATGAATGTGCTTGAAGACATTATGATTTACACTAGTCAGAGGGGTACACAAAGTACGTGATCTAGACTACCAGTTGTTGGACTTCCATTTTGTATAAGCCCCGTTGGCTGAGTGGGTTAGATCGCTGACTGTGTGCTGACAATTTGGTTCCTTACTCTGGCAGTGTGGATGCGTATTCCGGATGGGACTCAACCCCACAAAGTACGAGAATCTGTACTTTACGAAATTAGGATTCACAAAATATGATTCACATTTTGGAAATTGAATAGAGTTTCATCAATGTCAAAGAAATTGAAGGGGGCAACACTTTCCAAAATACAACAGTTTATCATTAAGCTCATGGTGAAATGGTATCAAGCAAGGTCGAAGTGGGTCAAAAGCCTTCTTTTTGTTGGCACACTTAAATTCAAATTAAATTCACCTTAACATTTCCAAAAGTGCCCAGTGGCACACTTGTAAAAAGAATACATTTCTATTCATGCATATATGGTTGTATAATAGAGCAAAATGATGTTATCAGTATCATGTGATCATATGCAAGCAATTATGAGCATCATTGACTTTGTGATGTCAAAGATGCATTTATAAGTTAGAAATCTAGAAAAGGGCACATGGCTGTCAAAGACAGGAGCAAAGATAAGTAAGTTTGCATTTACCAATTACTCGCAGCATATCAAATGCCCCGACTTTTGCTCAGGTGTGTCTTTGAAGAATGAAACAACAAATAAATGACAAAGAAACATGATAAAAAAGTGTGCCAAAGAACCCCCAACATGAGTAACAACAAAGTGCTACCTTCTTGTCACTTTTAGATGTAACAGTTCGTGTTTTCTCCTTGTCTTTGTCCTTCAGTCTCTTGGCAAACTCATCTCGCTCCTTCAGGTCAAGCTGCCGCTCAGCCTCGTCTGGGTCTGACTCCGACTCCGAGTCCATGTCCAGATCTGCATCAAGGTCATCAGCGTCATTCCTGGAACAAGATATAAATACTTGTACTGGCATCGTTCCTGGAACAAGATATAAATACTTGTACTGGCATCGTTCCTGGAACAAGATATATATACTTGTACCGGCATTCTTCCTGGAAGATGCTATAAATACTTGTATCAGCATTAACATCATTCCTGGAACAAGATATAAATACTTGTACCGGCATCATTCCTGGAACAAGATATATATACTTGTAGCAGCATTCTTCCTGGAAGATGCTATAAATACTTGTATCTGCATTAACATCCTTCCTGGAAAATGATATAAATAGTCATATCTGCATCAGCATCATTCCTGGAACAAGATATAAATACTTGTACCAGCATCATTCCTGGAACAAGATGTAAATACTTGTACCGGCATCATTCCTGGAACAAGATATATATACTTGTACCAGCAATTTTCCTGGAAGATGCTATAAATACTTGTATCAGCATTAACATCATTCCTGGAAAATGATATAAATAGTCATATCTGCATCAGCATCATTCCTGGAACAAGATATAAATACTTGTCTTGGCATCGTTCCTGGAACAAGATATATATACTTGTACCAGCAATCTTCCTGGAAGATGCTATAAATACTTGTATCAGCATTAACATCCTTCCTGGAAAATGATATAAATAGTCATATCTGCATCAGCATCATTCCTGGAACAAGATATAAATACTTGTACCAGCATCATTCCTGGAACAAGATATAAATACTTGTACCGGCATCATTCCTGGAACAAGATATATATACTTGTACCAGCAATCTTCCTGGAAGATGCTATAAATACTTGTATCAGCATTAACATCCTTCCTGGAAAATGATATAAATAGTCATATCTGCATCAGCATCATTCCTGGAACAAGATATAAATACTTGTACCAGCATCATTCCTGGAACAAGATATAAATACTTGTACCGGCATCATTCCTGGAACAAGATATATATACTTGTACCAGCAATCTTCCTGGAAGATGCTATAAATACTTGTATCAGCATTAACATCATTCCTGGAAAATGATATAAATAGTCGTATCTGCATCAGCATCATTCCTGGAACAAGATATAAATACTTGTATCAGCATCAACATTATTCCTGGAAGATAATATACATACTCATATCAGCATCAACATCATTCCTGGAAAATGCTATAAATTCTTGTATCAGCATCAGCATCATTCCTGGAAGATGATATAAATACCTGTATCTGCATCAGCATCATTCCTGGAAGATGATATACATACTCATATCTGCATCAGCATCATTCCTGGAAGATGATATAAACACTCATATTGGCAAAATGTCTGTACAAGATATAAACACTCATATCAGCATCATTCCTGGAACATACAATAAATTCTTGAATGAGCTTCAGCATAATTCCTGGAAGATTATATAAACACTCTTATCTGCATCAGCATCATTCCTGGAAGATGATATAACACTCATATCTGCATCATGGTCATCAGCATCACTCCTGGAACATGACATGGCATCTATGACTTAATGCACAGACTAATTACATTGACGAAGTTGTCTGTAAATATTTCTGACCCTGGAACTAGTACTACCAGTCCTACTGGATGGCCTGATGCCCACTGTAGACCTACTGAGACAAATACCTGTCACTCTCGCTACTGCTCTCAGATGATTCTTGCTTCTTGCGAATATTTCTTTTTTTCTCCTTTGAACTTCTCTTTGGCATCTGTAACATAAATGAAGTTTAAGTGAATTAGCCATACAACTCTGAACAGTTTGGAATGCAAGAGTGTGCTAACCACTAAGGGAGAGCCTTGGGTATGTTTGAAGGAAGTCATGAAGCTATACACTCAGACTGGAAGACTTATCATGCTTACAGTAGCATGTCATTTAAATATGCCAATATGGAAGTCCCTTTTAGCATGTTTAGGCCTATAATTGGCTACACAACACCGCTGGATCAATCACTAGATTCCACTATTTAGTGGAGTCTGATGCAGTTACTGGGTACAGAAATTGAAATTATAAAAGTACATATATAGATAATAATAATAAAGATAATAGGGTAATTCTTTTTAAGGCTTTTTGTCAACTGAATAAAGTGTGTCATAGTGATACATTTGGTGTTAGTAGTTAATTGGTGACATCACATTAATCAATGTTTATTTTAGTGACAGATCATTGGTAATGATAGCTGTCAACATTGTTATGACTGTGATAACTTCTAGTACAACATCTTGGTTGAAGGTATCTAACTAAACAAACCAGTTATTCAAACGAACATTGGAGCATCCTGTGTTTTGTTACATGAAACCCAAACCCAAACAAACTAAGTAGCTAGTCTAACAATAGATGTGCCGACAATGGGCTTGAAAGAGCATCTGCCTGGAGAGCGGAAGGTTAGGGGTTTGATCCCCAGCCACACCATACCAAAAGATGTTAGAAGAAGGAACTTGTTGCTACCCTGCCTGATGCTCGGCATTAAGGGGCTTAGACAAGGACTGGTCGACTCAGAGTCAGTATACTGTGTCTGAGTTAGGTATTCATGTAAACTGTGGCATGGTACCTCAGTGGGTTAGCACCATAAATTAGGCATTAGTCCAGACTAGTACAACACACACACACACACACACACACACACACACACACACACACACACACACACACACACACACACACACACACACACACACACACACACACACACACACACACTTTCTCTCGGTATTTTTAGTAGTTCTTCTGTCACTTCATCATGTTCATGACTTACTGTTGCTGCAGGCACAGCGTCCTCCTCATCGTCAGACAACAGAGTATACGTCTTGTTCTTGTGTTCTAATTCCTTTTGACGATGTTGATCTGTTGTCAAGGTTCTCTCTATTTTCCTTTTATGAGGTACCTGCAGAAACAGACCAAAACAATATATGGCTAATTCTACAATTATACACGATACAAGCCCAAGAACCTTTCCTTTTGTCTGCTTGGTCACATGTGCTAGGTTCAATCTATGCTTTGAAGACATTCAGGCAAAGTATTAACCATATAAAGTCACGCTGACATTATGTGTACTTCTATTCTTTGTGACATACAATTATACTACAGAACACAAAACTCATGACACATTCATCAGCTGTTCCGTGTTGCTTGTTTAATACTACTTGCTGCCCGAACCATGTCACAGTTGGTCTAGGGCGCTGGCTATACTGAATATTATCTCCACTGTTGTAATGGGTTGACATAGCTCTCATACTCACCCGATCAAATAATTCTTTTGCAAACTGTGTCACTTGCTCGTCGACATCAACTGCTCCTGTGTCGCGAAGTTTGTCAACGAACTCGTCATGGCTTTCCGATTTCGCAGCAAGTCCAACGAAGTACTGGCCGATGTATTTGTCAGATATGCCTAGTAGATCGTGGAGCTTGTCATTTACCCATGTTTCTATAGAAGCCATTGTCTTAGTGAAACGTTCTGTTGATATTATCTCAAGAATGTTAAGAGAAACACTTCTGTGTTGACTTGATCTCAATGGGCGCAGCCATTTTCTCAAAACGCACAGTAGTCGTTCTTGTGTACACACATACTGATGACGTAGTATGTTCGCTCTCGCACGATAGCCTTGCTCACCACCCTGATATATATATACGACCCAACTCCTCTAGACGAGATTTTTGCAAGGACAGCTACACATTTGTAAATTCTAATTTGGTCAATGAAAACCTAAGAGCTATCGCAGCATGATATTGTGTACTGCAAGTATAAAAGAACAATTTAAGATATGATTTCCAAGGCCGTAGTTAACTTTTTTTTTGCATATGGGGAAGGCTCATGCCACTGATCGGCACATGTGCCAGTAAAAAGTGCCAGTGAGCTGACCCACATCTCTGTGTTATTGTTTATATCCCCTTTCAGCAACAGCTGTGTTGTGGCGAGACTGTCCCTTATCTGATGGAACCCGGGGTCAGGAGACATAGACTTACACAGGCTTTTCCCAAAGCATTGATAACATTTTTGTGTCTTATTATAGTACTTATTCACATATCTTATACTTATTCACATGTTACATTATTTGTCTAGTGCATACTAGGTAGTATATAACACCCTGTTCATATAATATTCTTGTTTCGAAAGTAAATACCGTGAGAGGAGTTTGACCAAGAAAGTCTATACTTTGGGGGTTTATAGTTAAATTGAACTCTTTTAAAATATTGTCCAAACAGTTAAGAGCTCCTGAATAATGTTTCCTTTAATTTCCCCACCACCAACCAGGGTATGAAACTCCCAAAAATTTCAGCCAGACCACAGGACTGGCTAGCAGAAATACTTGCCAGCCCTGACCAAAACCTGCCTGCCCACTATAATCATATGTTTCTCAGGATAGTTTAATTAAAAATATCAAAACTGATTGCTTGTAGCATAAGCGCATCGCTAAATGTTAGGTTGGCTAAAAGCTAACGGGGTTTCTTTTTGGTTACATTTTATCATTCATCTTTACATGTGAATTAATGCTTATCATCGGGAATTATTTAGAATATTTTCACCTATAAAATAAAACCCGACCGTCGGGCAGGGGGATTTGAAAATCTGACAGTACGGGTTAAAATCAACCAGTCTCGGACGGTCGGGCAGGCAGGTATTTCGAACGCTGCACCAACCCCTCCAGCCACCTATATTTAGGTACATTTTAGTTCACTGTTCTGTTTCAGCATGCATGTTCCAGTGTTTTTCTATTGAATTCAATTATGCGTTTTTATTCTATTTCTCCAGTCTGGGTCATCTTAAATAAGAACCCCTCTCCGCCGCCTGCTCAACGCCATTCTCCCGTCAACACGTCAAGGCCAAATGATGACAGCACTTTTGTAATCTGATACGACATCTCCAAATAAACTGCAGCGCGGCCCCGGAACAAATCCCTTCAGTGAAGGTTCACATGAACAAATCTCCCACCTCCTAACTGATAAAGACGAGGACGGCTGGATAATTAATCTGCAAGCTGTTTGTAACAGACGACACGTTCTTTACTTCCGGCTGGGAATGCATTTATATTATACAATATCATCTTCAATTAGTTCCAACTATTTTATCATCAAGCGTGTCAAATAGGTAAAGTAGCCATATAGATAGTAAAGATATATATCAGTATGTTCTTGTGTTATAATGCATTTGTTTCTCATCAAATAATCTTATAAAGCAACTGAGCATACATCGCGTGAAGCTACTATATATAATATGATTCATATGATCAGTAGTTTGACCTTTGTGTAGTTCTTTTGTATGCCCGTCCTTTGCAAATGTTATGTAATGTTACCAATGATCAAAGTTTCATCGGAAACGAAATAAGAAACATGGCTGCAACATTACCATAAAATCTAAGTTAAATACAACACATTGGTAAAGAAAGGGTAAACTAGATTATCTTAGTAGTAAAGTCAAGGGAATTACAGTCACATCATATGCTTCTTCTGCATAACTCCCAACCTGTAAAATTGTTGGTAAATCATTTCGATCTACAACCTCTCTCGTTAACTTTTAACTCATTCACTCGGGAACTATATGTCTTCCCTTTAACATAGGGTTTTCTCTATCCAAACGTCACTATGGAAATAGCCTGAAAATTTCGTAGCACATCTGGAAGCCTCGCATGAATCGCATGGAAATAGTTTCAAATACAGGTTTGAAATATTATTATCTTTTTACTTAAACATTTAGGCATAAAATGAGGTAAAAGGAGTAGCTCTATATCCTGTCTCGGAAACTATATAGCTTCCCTTTAACACAGGGGGTCGTCTATACAAACGTCCCATTGGAAAAGAGCCTGAAAACTTAGTGGCACATCTGGGAGCCTCGCATGTTTCGCATGGAAATAGTTTAAAATACTTGTTTGAAATATTATTATCTCTTTCCTAAACAATTTAGGCATAAAATAACTTTAAAACAGTCGCTCTATACCCCCTTTTGGAAACTATATTGCTTCCCTTTACCACTAGGGGTTGTCTATGGAAACGTCCGTATGGAAATAGCCTGAAGACTTAGTGGCACATCTGGGAGCCTCGCATTTTTCGCATGGAAATAGTTTAAAATACGGGTTTGAAATATTATTATCTCTTTCCTTAACCATTTAGGCATACAATAACTTGAAAACAGTCGCTCTATATCCCCTTTTGGAAACTTTATAGCTTCCCTTTAACACAGAGGGTCGACTATTACAAACGTCCGAATGGAATTAGCCTGAAAACTTAGTGGCACATCTGGGAGCCTCGCATGTTTCGCATGGAAATAGTTTGAAAAAAGTGTTTGAAATATTATTTTCTCTTTTCTGAACAACTGAGGCATAAAATAACTCTAAAACAGACCCTCTATACCCCCATTTGGAAACAATATTGCTTCTCTTTAACACAGGGCGTTGTCTATGCAAACGTCCCTATGGAAAAAGCCTGAAAACTTAGTGGCACATCTGGGAGCCTCGCATTTTTCGCATGGAAATAGTTTAATATACGGGTTTAAAATATTATTATATCTTTACTTCACCATTTAGGCATAAAATGAAGTAAAAGGTGTAGCTCTATATCCTGTCTCGGAAACTATATCGCTTCTCTTTAACACAGGGGGTCGTCTACAAACGTCCGAATGGAAATAGCCTGAAAACTTAGTGGCACATCTGGGAGCCTCGCATTTTTCGCATGGAAATAGTTTAAAATACGGGTTTGAAATATTATTATCTCTTTCCTTAACCATTTAGGCATTAAATAACTTTAAAACAGTCGCTCTATATCCTTTCTTGGAAACTATATAGCTTCCCTTTACTACAAGGGGTCGTCTATACAAACGTCCCTATGGATATAGCCTGAAAACTTAGTGGCACATCTGGGAGCCTCGCATTTTTCGCATGGAAATAGTTTAAAATACGTGTTTGAAATATTATTATCTCTTTCCTTAACCATTTAGGCATTAAATAACTTTAAAACAGTCGCTCTATACCACCTGGTGAAAACTATATAGCTTCCCTTTACCACGGGGGGTTGTCTATACAAACGTCCGAATGGAAATAGCCTGAAAACTTAGTGGCACATCTGGGAGCCTCGCATTTTTCGCATGGAAATAGTTTAAAATACGGGTTTGAAATATTATTATCTCTTTCCTTAACCATTTAGGCATTAAATAACTTTAAAACAGTCGCTCTATATCCTTTCTTGGAAACTATATAGCTTCCCTTTACTACAAGGGGTCGTCTATACAAACGTCCCTACGGATATAGCCTGAAAACTTAGTGGCACATCTGGGAGCCTCGCATTTTTCGCATGGAAATAGTTTAAAATACGGGTTTGAATTATTATTATCTCTTTCCTTAACCATTTAGGCATTAAATAACTTTAAAACAGTCGCTCTATATCCTTTCTTGGAAACTATATAGCTTCCCTTTACTACAAGGGGTCGTCTATACAAACGTCCCTATGGATATAGCCTGAAAACTTAGTGGCACATCTGGGAGCCTCGCATTTTTCGCATGGAAATAGTTTAAAATACGTGTTTGAAATATTATTATCTCTTTCCTTAACCATTTAGGCATTAAATAACTTTAAAACAGTCGCTCTATATCCTTTCTTGGAAACTATATAGCTTCCCTTTACTACAAGGGGTCGTCTATACAAACGTCCCTATGGATATAGCCTGAAAACTTAGTGGCACATCTGGGAGCCTCGCATTTTTCGCATGGAAATAGTTTAAAATACGGGTTTGAAATATTATTATCTCTTTCCTTAACCATTTAGGCATTAAATAACTTTAAAACAGTCGCTCTATACCACCTGGTGAAAACTATATAGCTTCCCTTTACCACGGGGGGTTGTCTATACAAACGTCCCCATGGAAATAGCCTGAAAACTTAGTGGCACATCTGGGAGCCTCGCATTTTTCGCATGGAAATAGTTTAAAATACGGGTTTGAAATATTATTATCTCTTTCCTTAACCACTTAGGCATTAAATAACTTTAAAACAGTCGCTCTATATCCTTTCTTGGAAACTATATAGCTTCCCTTTACTACAAGGGGTCGTCTATACAAACGTCCCTATGGATATAGCCTGAAAACTTAGTGGCACATCTGGGAGCCTCGCATTTTTCGCATGGAAATAGTTTAAAATACGGGTTTGAAATATTATTATCGCTTTCCTTAACCATTTAGGCATTAAATAACTTTAAAACAGTCGCTCTATATCCTTTCTTGGAAACTATATAGCTTCCCTTTACTACAAGGGGTCGTCTATACAAACGTCCCTATGGATATAGCCTGAAAACTTAGTGGCACATCTGGGAGCCTCGCATTTTTCGCATGGAAATAGTTTAAAATACGTGTTTGAAATATTATTATCTCTTTCCTTAACCATTTAGGCATTAAATAACTTTAAAACAGTCGCTCTGTATCCTTTCTTGGAAACTATATAGCTTCCCTTTACTACAAGGGGTCGTCTATACAAACGTCCCTATGGATATAGCCTGAAAACTTAGTGGCACATCTGGGAGCCTCGCATTTTTCGCATGGAAATAGTTTAAAATACGGGTTTGAAATATTATTATCTCTTTCCTTAACCATTTAGGCATTAAATAACTTTAAAACAGTCGCTCTATATCCTTTTTTGGAAACTATATAGCTTCCCTTTACTACAAGGGGTCGTCTATACAAACGTCCCTATGGATATAGCCTGAAAACTTAGTGGCACATCTGGGAGCCTCGCATCTTTCGCATGGAAATAGTTTAAAATACGGGTTTGAAATATTATTATCTCTTTCCTTAACCATTTAGGCATTAAATAACTTTAAAACAGTCGCTCTATATCCTTTCTTGGAAACTATATAGCTTCCCTTTACTACAAGGGGTCGTCTATACAAACGTCCCTATGGATATAGCCTGAAAACTTAGTGGCACATCTGGGAGCCTCGCATTTTTCGCATGGAAATAGTTTAAAATACGTGTTTGAAATATTATTATCTCTTTCCTTAACCATTTAGGCATTAAATAACTTTAAAACAGTCGCTCTATACCACCTGGTGAAAACTATATAGCTTCCCTTTACCACGGGGGGTTGTCTATACAAACGTCCGAATGGAAATAGCCTGAAAACTTAGTGGCACATCTGGGAGCCTCGCATTTTTCGCATGGAAATAGTTTAAAATACGGGTTTGAAATATTATTATCTCTTTCCTTAACCATTTAGGCATTAAATAACTTTAAAACAGTCGCTCTATATCCTTTCTTGGAAACTATATAGCTTCCCTTTACTACAAGGGGTCGTCTATACAAACGTCCCTACGGATATAGCCTGAAAACTTAGTGGCACATCTGGGAGCCTCGCATTTTTCGCATGGAAATAGTTTAAAATACGGGTTTGAATTATTATTATCTCTTTCCTTAACCATTTAGGCATTAAATAACTTTAAAACAGTCGCTCTATATCCTTTCTTGGAAACTATATAGCTTCCCTTTACTACAAGGGGTCGTCTATACAAACGTCCCTATGGATATAGCCTGAAAACTTAGTGGCACATCTGGGAGCCTCGCATTTTTCGCATGGAAATAGTTTAAAATACGGGTTTGAAATATTATTATCTCTTTCCTTAACCATTTAGGCATTAAATAACTTTAAAACAGTCGCTCTATATCCTTTCTTGGAAACTATATAGCTTCCCTTTACTACAAGGGGTCGTCTATACAAACGTCCCTATGGATATAGCCTGAAAACTTAGTGGCACATCTGGGAGCCTCGCATTTTTCGCATGGAAATAGTTTAAAATACGGGTTTGAAATATTATTATCTCTTTCCTTAACCATTTAGGCATTAAATAACTTTAAAACAGTCGCTCTATATCCTTTTTTGGAAACTATATAGCTTCCCTTTACTACAAGGGGTCGTCTATACAAACGTCCCTATGGATATAGCCTGAAAACTTAGTGGCACATCTGGGAGCCTCGCATCTTTCGCATGGAAATAGTTTAAAATACGGGTTTGAAATATTATTATCTCTTTCCTTAACCATTTAGGCATTAAATAACTTTAAAACAGTCGCTCTATATCCTTTCTTGGAAACTATATACCTTCCCTTTACTAC